CGTTATCTATAGACATCTTTTTCATTCTACGTTTTCCTTTTCAAAATTCTTCTACTTTTTTTCTCTGGCAGTTTTTCTTCGACACTGTTATTAATTATACTTTTTCCATTCGGCGTTTTCCTCTTCGACGCTTTTACCTTCTGCAATTTCCAGTTTCGACGTTTTCCTTTTTTTTTCGACATTTTCCTTTTCGGCGTTTTTCCTTTCTGCCTTTTCCGCCAATTCCGTTAATTAAATGTTCGTCTTATAAAAATGAAAACGAATTACTTCGACTAGAACTTGATTGCATTTGCTGACAAGTGCATATTGTTTACCATCAAATGTTAATATATTCATATTTCCAAGGACGGTACAAGTTCTCGAACATGTTCGATTCGTGCATATCCATCGACCACGATCACATGTACTAAAAATGCTCTTCGATGGCTTCAAATCGCAAAAACAATATTCAATTTACCAATCATTGCAATCGATTGATACTTGATATCCAGGCTGATATTGAATGCTATTGTATTGACATGTGCATTCTTCCAATTGCACGCATTCATCTCGAAAACTATCATAGACAGTTCCATTGGTACAAACACATCTCGGAGTACATTCGCTAGTTTGTGTATGGCATTGAGTAATTGTTGATGATGGATTTTGACATGTCCGACGACACGATGAAGCACATTCTTTAAACGCCATATTCGGTGATGAACATTGTTTTGCTTGAAAATGAAAAAAATGAATACGAATATTAGGAAAATAGATGATATACCGCATCCAGTGTTAGATCGCCATTGAATGTAAATATCATGTTCTCGACACTCTTCGGCGTACGCTTCCAATGCTTGACATCGTGCAATATTTATAGATGCGTTTTCTGATTTAGCCGAACATACATCATTCAAACATGCTTGATAAAAATAGCGGTAATCAATCTAAACGTAACACGGAAAAAGAGGTAGTGTTCATTTGCATAGAAATTCTAAATGAATTACTTTATTAAAGCACGGTTGAAATATTTCTGATTGATTGGTCAATGCAATGCATGCGTCAATAGCTTCTGAAGTTATTGAACAGTTATCTATTACTATTGAAGCATCCGGGCACTTGAAAACAATAAACTAATTTATAAGTTTCCACAGTGATAAAAAAAACAATTCTTACGCTTTGACTTGATTTCCATTGATTTCCAAAATCTGCTGGTGTGTTCGTAATAAGACCAGTGGTTAATATTTTAAAATCATCATCTGGCTTCTGATTATAATCTCCACAAAGACCTGATAAACTTTGATCATTGATAAAATTATCATCTAGTTGAATAATTATTGTTTGTTGATGCTGATCATGAACTTTTAATCGGATACCATTCGTGAAGTACAGATCAAGGAAATTAGTTTCTTGTCGTTGAATTATTAAATTCGATGGATATGCTGTAACATTTATTAAATTTGTGCCTGTTACTTCTAATATTTTACCAGCAATAACAATTGTTAGTTTCTAGAAAATAATTCTTTAATAATTCGACAGAAATAAAAATAAGAATGTAGATACTTTTTGACAAGACGTTTTTGTTGTTGTACAATTTATAAATTGAATGTTTAATTGCCACGTACTTGAACCGATTAATTTATATGAACAACTATTGAAACATTTTAAACATCATCTTACGATAGCGGCTAGAATTAATTCTATTTACCTGCCCGGAAATCGATAATATGTTCCATCAAAAGTTCGAATACGAGCTCGACCCCAGACATGACAAGTAGAAAATAAATTTTGAGCTATGATGACGAGAATAAAATGGAATTCAGTTCAATGATATCAACGAAAACTTACAAACGGAGTTTTCTGGTTTATTACAACCAGGACCTTCCCATCCGCTACAACAAATTGCTTTATTCATTTGCCTAAAAATAAAATTCAATCCATTTATATTGATTTCAACCGAATGAGAGTAGAATCTACAATTTATCGAAAGCAAATCATGAAATTTGATTAGTTTTTGATGTATTTTTCTCAAATAGAAAATATTAGAAATATCCACTACGGCGAGTAGTAACACTGTCTAGTTACCAGTTTGAGCTATTTGATTGAAATTCCGTTGATTTTAAGCGGCACTATTCAAAGTTACGTTAAACATATTTCTTATAAATTACAATCGAAAGTCAGTATTAAAATAATTTCCTTGAATGCAAGACTAACATTTTCCATAGAAATACACTCACATAATTTGTTTGTATTTTTGCAAACTTTTGCTCGGAAACGTATCGAATCATGGTACAATTACGAGAATGATTTAATAGAATAAGACTTTCTAGAATGTTGACCTGATTACGAGAAAAACAAATTTTCTAACTGAGAACATAAAACTCTCGGTGACAAATATTCGGTCGCTTTTTTATTTTTAAGATACCACCGGTTAGAGCCATGAGTAGTTAGCAACAGAGTTTTTAGTTATTGCCTACAATAGAATTAGATTTTTCCTCACACAATAGGATTGAACAAATATGATTAATTGAGTATTCCGACAAGAAAAAAGATTTCCTTTGAAAGAGCTAAATTTATGAATCAGCCATAATATCATTGTTTTGAAAAACTGCCTATTAGGATATAAACTCAATAGAACAAACAAACAGAACTACTTCAAACTAAGGAAGAAGTAAAATCCTTCAGTCACTTCAAAACTTCCCATGATGATTGAATGATTTTTTCGAAGTATACAATAGACCGTGGTTATTTAATACAAAAAGAATTCCTGTATCCTGTAGTTTAAAAGAACCAATCTTTTATGGAAGAGCAACCATTGATGACATGATGTGCGATGCCGAAATTAGATGCAATTTATGTAGGCCATCGTCCTGGTTACTCGGTAAGAAGTTAATAAACTTTGCCCTTGCACATTTCTCTCCATAGTTGATGAGATAATTTTTCGGCAAATTATCCCAATGAATGCAATAAATGTTATCGACTTGAACAGAACGATAATTCAAGATTTACACTTACCGTACATAAGGACAAGAGTTGCCTTCGTCGAAACGTTTTTTAAGTTCTTCAATAATATCAATGTCGCTTTCATTTTTTAATATCTAATCAAAATAAAACTGCATCGTTTCAGCAAATATAGCGAAGAATAATCTACACTCACTGGAATATTTAATTTCCAAGATGATAATGATTTTGCATATTCTTCGAGAATATCGAACGATAACGGGTTAGGACATTGATCTTGTTTTGTTGTTGTATACAGAGTAGAACAAAATTGGGAATTCGAATAAATCGATCTAAAACTTATTTAAGAATTAATTCAAGCCAATGTCTTAACGGTTATCGCTTAAAACTTACTCGACAAAGATGATAATGGTGATAATAAAAGCGATTCGAAAAGAAAACACATGCATATTGCAGTGCTAGGGAAACACTAAAGTTGTGTTTAATTTCTTTTGTATCATACAATGATTTCTCTTCGACTCTTAATTTTTGGTCAAATGAAAGAAAACATTGCACAGCTTGTGTCATAATACATATTCAAAGGCCAATATTAGCAGATTTTTATAAAGTATCCACTTGAAAAATAAAATATGATATGCAATATGGTGTTCGCTCGATGAATTTCTTTCGCAGTTTACATAGTTGACAATATCAAAAATGTGTCATTGTCTGTATGGTGCACAAAAATATTGAAAAATATAAAACATTAATTGCAGTATTTCGAAAACCGTGCTTAACCTTTATGTGGCATTGTTTTCAATTGAATAAGAGCAAGGAAATGGTGAAAATACATTAGATTGGTTTATTATGACGAAAACGTATTATTTCATTTATAATATCACGAAGTGTAATGCACGAAAAAAATCTTACCAACAAAAAGTGTGTATAACAATTATGCAAAGAACTTATATTACTTCAAAAACAAAACAAAAACAGAGCAGAAAAAAATATTGGCACTTAACAGACAACAGTGTTTATTAGTAAAACATTTTGGAACAAAAAAAACTTTAATCTATGATGACTCTATTTAAGTTCATAACTGTTAAAACATTTTCTCCTAATTAGAAAAATGAAATATTTGATATGATGTTGATACAAAAATCATTCATACCAAAGACAAATACTGAGGGTTCAAAAAATAAAAGAATCTCTCCATGATTTTTCTTTCAAGATGGAGGAATGTAGGAAGTTTTTACTCATAAATGATAAAATTACTGGCACACTAATAATGTAAAATTACGCGCGCGAACGTCTACATTGAAAAACAACTATGAAAATGCAGGGATCTAAAAGTGTATTCTTTTAGACTTTACTCTAAGCATTCTGGACATATTATAATTTTAAATTAATTTTACTAGATTAAAGAATGTATCGATCTTTAGTTTGGAATGTTTTGTTTTTTGTGCGTTTTCTATTGGCTATCTATGCGAGTGCTCTACTGAAAACAAATTTTAATTATATAAGCCTATAGGGCATCGAACGTATCAAGACATCTAAGAGCATCCTGTGACGCTAGCTTGATTAGAGAAAAATCAAAATCTGTGACCACGAGAAGCTGGACAATGTATTAAGGAAATCGAAAATTTACTGTTAATAGTAACCAGAAAGTGTTAGTGCTTTCTCAGTAAATAGCAATAGTTGTTGTTGTAAAAAAACAATTCTAACCCTCATCTACCATTAGTGGAGAAAAAAAGGAAATCCTTCTGGCCAACATCAATGAAGGCGGTATTCATTGACCTGGCAGTTTATTTCTAGGACATCTGATAACTCTGAATTTGATATTTCTATCGTGAGCAAAAAAACAATTACGTTATATCTAAGTGCGCAGTTTACATTAGGAAATAAAAGTTTTTGATAAATCGAGCGAATTTCAAAAGAACATAACCCTTTCTCAAGAGTAATTTCACACAACAATCAATTGCAATAAAAAAATACTATAACAAATCATTTTTCATTTCTAGAAAACAAAAAATGTAGAAGCAAAGGAACATGAGACTAATGCATTGAGCAGCTAATTAGTTCTTGGTGTCAAACAATTGTTGTACTAGATAAGTTTCGAGCGTAAGCTTTTGCCTGAGCGTCCCAAAATTTAGCATTATCTCTAAGTCGATCCATGTTTCTTAGTACTAATTTATCAGGAATACCATAGGATGGCACATTGGATTTTGTATCATAACCAAGTTTTTTTAACATAGGCGCTAATTTATCTATCTCGCGTAGAACATCCACTGGAATATGACCAACCCATTTTGTTAATGCTTCAAGATTAATAGGCTTAACAACTTGAGCCGATGAATGTTCAGTTCTAAAAACAAAACTTGAAAGTAAAGAAAATCTATCTTTTAATGATTAATTAATTACTTTGAAAGTGATATTTTCTTTCCGATAAGTTCTTCATGATGAAGCACATCATTAACCCAAGTTATATTTAAAAAATTTAATATATTTTTAATAGTTTGTTTTGGTTGTAAAACAAGTTGTTCATAGTAAACTATAAGACATCGGTATTTGCCAACTTCTTTGCATTCCTGATACATCGATTCAAAACCTTGATTCCATAATTTAAAATTTTGTCGATAATCAGTTAAACTAAAGCCGGTTATGGTTACTTTCCTGGTTATAACTGAATGAATAACAGCACGTGCATCGCGTGCTACTAGAAGAAATTTTGCACTTGGAAAAATCGAGGTAATATATGATGCATATTTAAGTACAAATGGATCTTTATCACAAAGAATGTCAGCAGATGGACCATGAAGAAAGAGAATTTCATAAATAAATGCACGAACAGCCGAATCAAGAATTTGTTCTGTCATGCCACCAGCCAGTAGTCTACAAAACAAAAGCAAGAAGTTTACTACATTAAATAGAGATACTTAGAAATATTTTATTTAAGATACTATGCATATTATTTTAGTCACGGTGGCTGATGAAAGATAATTTTTCGATTCTCCGAAAAGTATTAGATTAATATTGAACTACCGCAAGGAAGTAGTCTAAGTCGATTACTTTTCATAGTCTATCACTGTGATCTAATACAAATGTTTCGGCGTCCATTCAGGCCACATGTTTGCTGACGACCTCAGTGTACTCATAACAGCACCAATTACGAAATCTTTAGCCACAATCATCAACCATCTGGAAAAAGAGGGCACAGAAGTCTGCAACAAAATAGCAGCCTACGCGAAGAAATGGAAACAGCCAATCAACGTACAGAAAACAGTAGCTCAGCTTTTCTACAAGCAGATCAAGCGACCTGAAATAAAGATACATATGGAGGGACATCAACTAGAAAGAGTTAACACATTCAAGTATCGAGGATTTACGTGGACGAGCAAAATGTCATTGAAAACTACAATCGATTTTTTGTCGAACAAAAGTGGAGAAGACCTTAGTCAAACGAAAGTGGTTGAGTAAAGGTAGAAAAATATCGGTTCACGTTTTGAGAAAATGCTTTTTTCCTAATGTCTTTCGACACGTTGTGTGGATTTTTTCTTCTATCCATTTCTCCCGAAAACAGAAAGAATCATTCAATAGGAAATTCAGAGTTGCAATTAGAATAGTTCATAGATGTCCTTTTATTTCTGCAGAAGACTTATTCACACTAACGAAAGAAAACCACATCGAAGTGTATGTTAAAGGGTATTTAAACAAAAGATTACAAAAAATCTACACGACAGATCTAGGACGCTCAATCTTTCTAGACGATATATTTTATTGGGATGGATTTAACAAGAGTGAAAAACACTCGTTAGGACATTTCTTCAGGCAAAAAAGAGTAAAAAACTTAATTAAGAGATACGAGATGTTACTGATTAAATGATTGAACTTTATATAAGAATAAATGATATATCACACCCTACACGACATCATATAAAATTCAACGTGATGGAACACGGAAAATGCGATGCTAGGAATTGACCCAGCTATGGCAATTAGAATCGCTTACACTTGTTCCCTTCTCCCCTCCTTTTCTATGTAAGCACTCTAGAGTCTAACATAAATAAACAAAGCATAAATTAAAAATAATTCTTCGATCCTATGTAACTTTATCAGATGTAGTTGCCGAGTATTAATAATTTTTCTATATAGAGTTAAAATTACTGAAGAAACTCGATCGGCAATTCTGATGGAAAGATTCAATGATTTTTGATTTATTTACGAAGCGAGCTATTGACAAGCGTTTATTTTCATATAAATATCATGTTGGAGAGTTCATTTATAGGTGCAAGATCGAATGTCATGTTTTACATCAATATCTAAGCGATCACCAAACCAGCGATAGTCTCGTCAAAAAGTACAATAGGATTTCAACATGTGATATTGTACCCATTGTGCAAATGATTTTCTATCGGTGGTATCCAATGGACAACAACTTCACCGCGGGTGGACTACAATCGAGACTCGAGTTTTAAGGCTGCTTAGACAGGAAGCTAATTTAAAATTGTTGGTGTATAGATAAAACTATGGTTTAAAATTGATTGTTCTGATTAAGATACAACTAGTGCTATTTATTTATATAAATATTTCTCGAAACAGATATGGAGATGGAGATCTCAGTTAGTACTGCACTGGCATTATCATATGATCAATTGATATTATCAGTATCTTTTCTTTTGAAAGAAATTTAACTACAACTACACAAGCATATCGAATATTTCTTGTTTATGCTGATACTCGAGAGAATCTCTATTCTTATTTTGTTTTACTCTGAATAAGATAAAAGTTCAAAAAGTGATTTAAGATATTATATCTTACCGGTTCCATTCAATGGCTGATTTTTCCCAAGCTGTTCTCATACTTAAAATTCTTGGTATAACCCTTGTTTCTTCGCCGCAACGAACTTGTGGATGTGAATCGATAATGGCACGCACTAATGTTGTTCCACTTCGAGGCATTCCACCGATGAAAAAAATTGGTTTTTCTGAGGATACATCATGGTGAATGAGTTCTCGGCCTTTGATTTGATTCAATTTTGAATCACATATCTGTTCTTGTTGTGAAATAAAACTATTTGTGTTTCGTAATAAAAAGAAACTAATTACGACAATAGTGATCATAATGCAAAAGACAAAGAAACGATGAGTTCGTGTAGACATATTTGATAGAAATCGACGCGGTCGACGCAACCATGGCATTATTATCGCGTACAAGTATTCATATCTACGAAAGCAAAAAAGGAAAAAGAATTTGTTTTTTTATCCAAATAATAAATTTTATCAGTCGAAAATATAAAGCTGATAAAAAATTGATCATTGCCCCAAAAGATAAAATACTGGTGCAAAATGAATTTAAGCAAAAAATAAGAAATAATGCTAAGGTGAAAGTTCTAGAAACTGATTAATTAGTCAAAAGGAGTTTTCGGTTAAGTTAAATATGTTTTTTCGTTTTCATAAACGATTTTTGGTCAAAAATTGAGACTCTCAAAAGAAGCTTTCTAGATATTATCTAAAAAAAAACACTCCACTCATATAAATTATCGTGAAAATCGACTTGAAAATCTCTTACACAAACATGGTTATTCGCAACAAATTGTTTTCATTATTCAATGAACGTGGGAGCGAATTATTTTCAATTGAATCAAGAAGATTAGTTTAGAAAGTATTCTAGAGAGTTTTCACCGAAAACTATTAACAGAAATTTAATAAGTACACCCTTGGGTAAGAAAACATTTCGACTAATCAACTTCTTTCTGTAAAATTTCCCTAACTATTAAAGAAAAAAAACGAGAAAAATATCGCGTTTCTAAACGTTTAGTGTTCATTCTACTAGAATGAATGAGTATTGTGATTAATAGAAGTTTGAACACATCATCGTACCTAATCAATCGCCCTTGCAATTGGTTCCATTGATAATCTGTACGCTTAAATAATAAAAATAATCGACACGATTATTTTTTTTTTCCAAGCCACATTTTCATTGTTCTTGTCTCCTCGGAGTATTCCATAAAGAATGGAGAGAAATAGAAATTTATTTATTTGATTTATTTCTAGGTTCATAAAGTCATTTTGACAGATCTATTTTTATAAAATTTCTTTCAAAAATGACTACATAAAATATTCATTTATTATTTAGCGAAACAATGATTTGATGTCATTTTCCTGATTAAATCAATCTGAATACAAGCTATTTATCCCTTTGTGTTTTCTCTGGGAATAGTTCACACATAAAATGGTGATATATTCGTTCATGTGAACTGAAACAAAAAAAAACTCATTTCTTCTAAATCATCATGCTTCCCTACTGTGCACTCATGACAACGAAATAATATATAAACGTAACATTAATTTAAATGTTAGTATATAAAAACGTCCGATCTATATTAGCAATCATGTCTTCGTTGAGTCATGGCCAACAGAATAATGACGATTATCAAGCAGGCACCCGTGTTTTTGATACTAATTCATTATTTCAATGTCCATTATGTAGAAAAAACTTTCAAGATCCACGTATACTCTGCTCAAATGGGCATACATTCTGTTTGTATTGTGTTCAAGTAGGTTTCGAGATACACTAAAGCAACAGCTACACTAGTTCAGAATATTCGTCTGTTTTTTTTCAAACAAAAATTCGCTTTTAAGTTAACTATCTTATATTTAATCGAGACATAACAAATTGCGAGTAAATCTAACGTCGGAGAATGTGAAATTTTACGACAAAATGAATTTTCTTTAAAAAATACAATTTATAATAAATACCTGCCGATGTAAGTTCAATAGTGTCATGAATTGTATAGTGATAAAACGGTATGCATTGTATAGCGGTATGTCATCTGTAATGTTTATACCATTATACTGTTAAATCATTCATACTACTTAATAGCTATGACGCAACACTACTACATTACTATACCGTCATTCCACTATACAGATTCTTTTTTCTCTGCATAAAGCACTTAACCAAATTCTCATGAGCTTAAAAATAATGAGTTACTGTTAAGAGTGTCATGGGAGAAAAACAAATAGTTCCGACTATCATAACTACCATCATATCAATAGGAATGACTGATATTTCTTCCGTATTTCAGTTATTATTTTCTTCAAAAGCAAAAGTAATCATCAGTCACTACTATCTTAGTAACAAGAGTTTTGTAATAAGTTGCGACTTCTTATATATATGTTGCAGTAGAAATTAAAATTTTAATTTCTCCTATAGTAGAGATTGAAATCCACATTTTAGAGTGTGGGTGGATGTGACTCTGTGCTGCCTTCTCTGGCCCAACACCCACACCCTCAAGAAAATTAAATTTAAATTTTTACTGCAACATATATATATATATATATATGTCGGAGTTGATTCTAAAATTCAGTTGATTTTTAAATGTATAATCATAAAGTTGTTATTGATGTGATAAATAACATTTTATTCGATAGACGCAGTTGAGACAAAGAAATGAACATTGAAGAAAAACGTAACTATAGTCAACGAGAAACTCGGGTGTGGTTGTGGGCATGGTTTTAAGTCTTACCCATACCCACACCCTCTAGTTGACTTTTAAAGGCAACTGAATTTTAGAGTCAACTCCGACATATATATTGAACTCTATTATTTTGACATAGCTCGATTTATTCTGTTAATTTAGCATGTTCTACCAGATGATGGCATTCTTAAATGTCCTATTTGTAAAGAATCACGTCACTTCGATAGTGTTAACGACATGGAACAATTACAAAAAAACTACACGTTACAAACACTGAAACGTGCTGAACATCATCGTATGGCACCATTAGGTATATGTGAACTGTGTAATAAAAAATCTGCCTATGGTCGATGTTTTCATTGTCGTTCATTAGCTTGTTTTAAGTGCATGAACGAACACGAGCAAAATATAGTTTATGAACAAACAAAAGAATACACTGATTTAGTTAAAATACGCGATAAACTCAATGAAAATATATCTCAATGGGACAAGAAATTAATTGAATCAAAACATAATATTCGTACAGCGATACAAGCTGATAAAGAAAAACAAATTAAAAAAATTGAAGGTAAAATAGAAAAAAAATAATTAATTTAAATATTTTATATTTATATAATAATAAAAAAAGATCTTGAACAAGCACTATATGCTCAATTAGATGATCTTTGTCAAAATTATTCAACGGCAAAAAATATTAAATTACAAAACATAAAAATCGACGTTGAAAAAGAATCTAAGACACTAGATCAAATTGATCCAAAAAATTGGAGCATATCCGATCGTATACATTCAAGTCAATACTGGCTTAATTTACAACGAAACTTCGACGAACAATCAATCGATTTTATTTACAAATCTACTAGTTTATCTCCGGTTAATCATTCGTATCTTGGTGAAATTCATCTTAAACCATCAAATCAAGAAAATCAATCCTTACAACAATACAAATCTAGTACGTTCGATGATCATCTTCGTTTAATTCCATGCGATCAATTTGTAGGAAGACAACATATTATTAAGACCAAAAAAGATTCTAAAGCACTCTTCAATCAATCACCAAAAATACATCGTAAAAATGAAAACAATAATCAAGCTAAACAAGGCGAAAATAATGAATTCACTACACGACGAATGTTTCGAACTGGTAATCGTCAACAACACATATCCAATGAAGCCGATCAACAACTAGAAGATAATACACCATTGACACCACGAATGCCTATTGCACCAATACATCTTGAAGATTACAGTAAAAAAGCAACACAAATTCTAACAGGTCCAAACGAAGCCGATAAATTTCTTGCACCGAAAGCAATTGCTATGACAGATACGAACCAATTGATTATTGCTGATACGAAAAAACATCGTATTATAATTTATGATTTAAATTTAAAAACAATGCGCGGTATAAAAGGTTTTCTTTTTCCCGATGGCCTTTGCTTAGCTAAAGAACAATATATTATTATAACTGACCGTCATCGAATATCGAAATATGATTGGTTTTATGGGAAAATGGTTAGTTTTATTGGAAGCAAAAACGAAGGTTGTACTCGCTCATCATTTTCATGGCCAAAAGGAGTAGCAATCGATAACAACTATGTATACGTATGCGACTCTTATAATTCACGGATGATTGCACTTACTCATCAAATGCGCTATGAAAATGAATGGTTGGTTATGAGAGGTACAGAAAAGAAACAAAAATATTATTTTGTTTTTCAATCAGGCTCTTCATACTATGTAGCGAAGTAAACACATACATACAGATAATTTTCTAGGCAGAACGTATGTTGATTAGTCGAACTGCGAGTGTTCTAGATGGCTTACTATGATATGTAGATAATGACATTTTTCTTCGCATTACTATGAAAAATGCTCATATTTTCTTAGTCAACATCATCTAACATAATATATGAATACATAACAAGGTTTCGGTTATGTCTTTGATGCATCGCCAGTATCTGTCTTACAGTAATATGAGGAGAGTCATTAATAATGTCACATGACATCAAACGATGAATAATCGTTTTTTCAAGGGCAACAATATAAGCATTTATGAAAACTATTCAGAATTTTCAATACTATACAAACTAAATTGATGCGAATCATCAGAAACTACTGACATTAATTCATAAATAGTATATTTGCTATATTCAGGTACAAAAAAACTTGACCCACAATATATTTCAATATCGACTGGTCTGCTCTTTGTAACTGCCTGGCAACGTATCAAACCTGAATCATGCGCATATAATGCTGGCTGCATCATCGTTTATAGTACAGATGGTAGTGCTCAAAGATGTATCGATACAGATATTCAATCGTGTCTTAATTTAAGTATTCCGGAAGGTATAAAAGCTTGTCATTTGAAACAAATGACTCTCTGAAAAATATCTCATTTAGGTATCGTATGTGATAGTGCAAATCAATTGATTTTAGCTGATCGGCATACATCCAAAATCTTATCAATGAATAATGATAATCAACAATCAGTCATTCATTTTCATGGCGATAAAATGAAAGCACCACATTATGTCTGTTTTTCTAGTGATCAAAATACCATGATTGTTTCCGATATCGGAAATAATACGGTACAGTTTTATGAAAAACAAAGTCAATAAATCTTTTTTTTATTTTTTGCTTCAACCCAAAATAAACATACAACAAACCTTTACAGATACGTGCTTATTTCTTTTAATACGTGAATCAATACTTACGTATTCGTTGCATATTCAATTATGATAAGTGAAACATGTAACTCATTTGCATATTGCTGATGGTAATATGTTGCGTGAAACGTAAATGCAATCCATAGTAAGAATCATTTTTTTAGTACTTCTCATATCATATATAATCTAAAGAGAAAATAATTATGGAATTCTATTTGACGAAATATTTCTTTTCTTTTCTTTTTGGTTTTGTTTATCACGCACTATTATTGACGCAGGATCATTTTCCATCGTCAAAAGATATTAAAGTAATTCAAGACTCAAAAGAAAACAAGACGTCAACTACATGACATCAGTAATCAACTAAATTAACTTTAAGAAAGATTCGAACTATACATGAATATAATTCTTTTCATTTATCGATATTATTTGTAGAAGTGAAAAAACATTCACAGAGAAGAGAAATCTATATTGATTTAGTCATGAAACTGATAATAAGATGTACGAGATTTACACACGGAAAATGCTTTTGAAGAACTACAGCAAATAGACTTGCTATCTACATCGCCTGAGCGTCCTGTTTAGAAATTATATTTTTAAAGAATATCAAAAAAAGAAAAAGAAAACTGTCAACACATCAAATATAATTCCTAATGAAATGCTACGAAAAACTAAAAATTAATGACATTCATAAAATGTTGTCGTTTGTTTTTTCGTAATAAAAATACTATTCTATATTGCTGCACTATTTTTCTCGTCTTCAGTTAATATTAGAAGCGCGAAATTTTATTTTTAAAGACCTGACGATAACAATAACGGTTGTTTAAATGAAAAAGGTGAAGACACGCATCGAATCACATATCAGAAGGTTTTTTCCATCTGGTATTGTAAGGTAAATTTTCGATCAAATAGGGTCGAATCACCATGTCCTAACATAGAAAAACTACGCAGCTTCTTAAATATAACAGTAATTAAATGTTAGTATTTCTCCATCGCTCTAAATTGTAGGTACTGAATAAATCAAATTGGCTCTGAAATTGATATTCGGCCTGCTAAAAAGTTCATATCATGAATGCAATGATCGTACTTTTAAGTTTCTGCTCTGATCGGACTAATGAATTCAAATCTGCCATACAGAAAAAATATAAATACTGACTTTTGAAATTTGTTTTTCATGATTAATGATAGAATTGTGAATGAGAGTATATACAGCCAGATTTTGCATAGAGAAAGACTTTTTACTTTTTCTCACGTAAACCACATGAATATAAAGAATAGTGTTTTTTTTTTGTTTATAAAAGCTCAATGGTTTCAAAGATAAGGAAAGAACTGAAATTGGAGTATCTCTTTTTACAAAAAAAAACTCTATCAACGATACAATAGAGAATACTCGAATGTAGATGTACTCTCTTTAAAACAAAACTGCGATTAGAAGCACAGTGAATATAATCGCAAGACAAACAATTTACTAAGAACATCAATAGATATCTTTGATTTCAAAGAGTTATTTCTCTCGAAGTTGAAAGCCTCTTATGATTTCTAACCTTGTAATGTACCATATCTATCGGCAAAAACAATCAATTCAACTCAGGAGAAACATCTCTTAAGATTATCTCGGATGTTAGTGTTCTTAGATTTCTCTGAGATGTGCGTAAAATTTTAAGAATAAAAGATTCTTTCTATCGACTATTTGTTGAATGTAACTCTTAATGTAGATAATTAAATCAAGAATAACAAGTTATGTCTAATGCTCCAAATCCAACCATCATCTATAATACTCTAGAGAGTTGCTGGGAATTTTATCAAGAATAGAGAGAAAGAATAAATAATACCACGTCTTAATGAAATAATGAGCCAGTTTGATTTAATCGATTGTAGCAGTTGGTGTCATACAGAAATCGAAAATAAATAGATCATTGGATCTAGTCAAACAACCACTGATGATGTGCTGACATGCGATAGAGGTCATTGCAATAAATGTTATAGATGTGCAGCAGAAAACACTTGCAGAATGCTGGTCTTAATAATTAATTAGTGGCTAATTGAAGTTTTGTCAAACTTCAAAGAAAACTAAAGCGCAAGTGCTGCATTTTGCAACCGACAGTTAATTATTTTTATGAATTAAGCGATGCAAAAAAAATGTCAGATGGCTAACATTTCTTCATTTTTAATCGAATATAAAAAGCTCTTTTCTCGCACATGCTATATCAAATCTTCATTCGACAGAATGCCATATTACACTCGCTTATATTTATAGGATTTTAAAACAATGTCGATGTAATCTTTCTAGGGCGGAAACGACATTCTTCACCGAACCCCTGCTGCTCAACCTTCTAATATTACTTTTTCCTTTTCATTTAGATTTTATTTTAAATTCTAATTACTCTTTTCAAGGTAGTTTTTAAAACAGAGATGAGTTCGAATACAGAAACAAGTCGAACAAAAATTGTTTACTACGATTCCTTTATGGCAATTGAGCCTTGAGAAAGAAAGAGTTTTGATAGATCTACGTAAGATAACGATTTTAATCTGTTTGTAGAGATTATAAACGACAACATTGAGAAAAAATTCTCAAATCCTCTATAAATAATCTGTTGTTACTATATATCACTTGATATCTTCTTATTGTATTTCTTGAAAATTACCATGAAAAAAGCCTGAAGCAATGAGTTGCAAAGTATACTGCTATTATGACTTACTGTTTCGTTTATATCAAATATAATAAATGTGGAAACTTCGGATTTCATCCGAAAGTTATGTGTACTGCAAAAAGTGCATGGGGTGTATGAGTCATTCTAGAATGCCTGAACACCAAAATTATCATGAGAAACTAGGCAATTTGATTTCTGGATGCAGTTTTTGTGCATTTTGAGACGTTTTTCAAGCGATGTTTCATCAGAAAGCTACGGTTTAGCTCAAAACTAATATCAGATTCGGAATCAGCGTTAAAAACTGAGTCGATTTAAATATGTTGTGAATAATTCTGAGAAAGATTTATTTTTTGAAAAAAATTCCCTGTACTCCTCCTCAGGGGTGGCCTGGTCAAAAATGACAATTTTTTCGATAACTCAACCATTTCTTGAGGGATTCTTCTCATCTTCGAACTCGACCGAGATATTCATGAGATTGAACTGTGTGGAAAATTTCATCACGGTCTGACTCTCCTTTCGCAAGTTATCGTGCCTACGGCCGGCCGACCGGACACACTGACCGATTCTAGAGTGTACTCACTTTTTGAGTACACAAAAAGCAATTTTATTGCATTAATGCTAATCTATATGGTACTTCATACGTGCAATATGTATATATCAATAAATCAGAGGTCACAAGAGAACATAAATAGATCAACAGTCGGTAACATAGGGACAATGGGAAGTATGGTTTTCTCGTAGCAATGCTATTTGAATCAACACTCTTTTAATCATTACAATCTATCCTAGTAAATAACAACTGGAAATATACTGTATCAGGTCCAGATACTATCATGACGATAGCGTATGTCAAATTTTTCGAGAACTCGTTTGGATCTCATGTTTGAATTTTGGATAATTTATCTAAATCGAATATTTTTCCACTTGATATCATCAAATTCGTTACCTTTAACCATGTGTAATGATTATCATAACTCGTTTTCTCTCTCAATCGACTTCGATTTAACAGCCAGAACAATAGCAACAGTCTCCACAATAGTCATGTTTTGTGATTTACTAATTTTTCATACCGTTCGCTATCGTTATTTGATATCTGGTAAACACAATATTACGACCATTTTTTTATTCTGCCGTATGTAGTCGTAATTATATACCTAGTGAACAGCCGTTAGCAAGCGTTCGTATCAGACACGTGCACAGGACAAGACTTTTTGTGTCCTGGCGGGCGACAGGACAATACGTTAAAGCCGTATCCCGGTTAGTGTTACTCATTTCTTCTGGTTTTGCTAGTGACTGAAGACTAATTATGAGCCCGAACGCTAGCTATTGTTGATCAAAATAAACATTACTATTAGTAATTTTAGAAATAATCTATTTGATATCATTTTCAAATTCAGAGACGTGCGCAGGACAAGATTTTTTGTCCTGTCCTTACCTGTCCTGCTGGCTATTTTGGTCCTGGCGGGCGTCAGGGCAGGGAAAAAATTGAAATCTCATCCTGTCCTCCAGGACAGGGCAGGACAGGACACCAGGACAGCAGGACCGCCCTGTCCTGTGCACGTCTCTGGTTCGTATATGCGTAAAGCCTCTGGCAATAATGACATCAGCATGGCTTATTGCTGAGTGCGAGTCGTTCATGATATGAAAAATGTATCCTTGTACTTTCAATAGATAGTATTTATTTTAAAACAACAGCAATAAATAGAACAACATAAAATAATTTCTGTTCGATCACAACAATAAATGAAGGACATTTGCACAAATGTGACAGAATGATTTCATCGATGCAAAGCATTACCAAAATAAATAGACATTAATAAATATGTTTCACAATATGTAGATGACTAGAATTTCTAACTAAACCAAAGCGAAAAGTCAAAAAAGAACCGATAACAGTATACTGACAACAAGAGAACGAAAACAAAAGTTTATCGTTAATATAAGGTAGACTCAATATTCACTGTATTATAAGCATTCTTTCATTTGTTATCAATTAATTTTTGTAGTTCGAGTAAAAGTTCACGTGCTATACGCAAAATTTCTTGAGCATCATGTCGTTCGGCCATTTCTATAGAAAACGAAAATTTGAAAAAATCAAAAACGTCAAGTATATATTATTCAAGTACACGCGAGCATATATGCAGACTTCTAGAAACTGAAATAATGCTGTATCCATTATCAAGTTTCACTACCATTTACTAGAAGGTGAAACCATCTATTAATGTGATAATAGTAAACAGTAGAAACCCTGATAATGTATACGTCATCAAATAGAAAACGGCTAGATGCATTTCGTATTGTGTAGTCGAAACCCTAGATTTGACTTTGATAAAAGAAAATCTAACCATTAAAAAATTTGATAATATCTGTAAAATTCATTCGATTGTCTAAGATTATATCTCGATAATATTTCATCATCGCCAGTGCAATAAATAGAACAAATCGTTTTGAAACTATTCGTTCGGCGGCAGCAATGATTTCCCATACAAGAAATATATCGTCATAATTGAATTCTAAAAACAAAATCAGTCAATGTACAATCTTGAGCAAAACGAGTATCTATCTACCTCGTTTTAAATCAAGTAAAAACCAACGATAACAAAAATAAAAATGAGTAAAATCTCCCGTTTGATGTATATGTTCGTAGAGTTCAGAATCAAGAATTTGTAATAATGAACGCATATGACCAAAATTTTCATCCATACCAGTCCCATGAGGAAAATTTGGTATTAGACGTTTCATTAAATTACAAAAACAGCTATATGTTATTATTTCTGCAAAAATAGAAAACAACACAGAAAAAATTATAATATTACAGTAAATTAATAATAACCTTCATCATAAATAACCAACAATGGTGCCACAATATCACACATGCCTTGAATATAGCCAACTGTCAAATTATCCCATACATACCTATGAAGAAAAAAAACAATTTGCGTGAATTGATAATAATTAACTATTATTTATTTTGTATCTCTCGCATTTATTGTTAAATTAAAATTTTCAATCACCAGGCAAGCGCACTGAAACTTTGATAGAGAGTGTTGCTGAAAAAGGAAAGTGCAACATTTATATCTCAAACAAATTGCATACTTATTAATTTAACTCTTTATCGTGCAAAAGAGTATCAGAAGCCCAACTTTTAAGATAGTTTTATCAATAGTGTGTTATTCGACCTCAAATATCAATACAGCAATCTAAATCAACGAATTTTCATCTCTTCATGTATGGTCACTTGATTCGCCTTCATCATTGAGAAACATTTCTTGTTAATTTCTGTTAGGTTTTTTCTTGAATTACACGAGAAACGAGAAAGCACGACTTAATGATGATTCCGTAGCTCTCTAATGATACGCTAGAAGTCAAAGTATTTCTATATTAAGAAACAATTTTTTACCATCGAGACTCACCATCTTTGTCATGGCTCCTGCTTAACCGTTTTACAACGACAAAATATTTGTTTTCGCTACAATTCTATGCTTAGATATAATTCGATAATTTTAGCAGGCAGTGGCTACTAATAGTTTCTTTAACGAATGGTTCGTACAAAAGACTCACTTTTTCAAAACTTTCGCGTTTTAAAACTTTTAGGACAAACAAATCAAGATCGATCGAAGCTGATATCGGTAGAGCTTTTGATTCGCTATATTTTTTGATCCAACTGAACTCATCTACCTTAAAATAATTTAGAAATACATACTGTTGAAGTACAAAAAATATTATAAGAACGTTATTAGAGGTTTAGGAAAATTTTCTCCTTCTGAAATTCGTTCACAAAGAATATATCCGCTACAAAATATGTAGTTCAGACTAGCATCTCTCTCAGCAAACAAAGTTAGATTCATTCAGAAGTTGACAATACGATTATTTGAAGTTATTTTTCAAAATCATCGAATTTGCAGGATTTTTGTACCAAAAATTGAAAATTGAAAAGAAAACCTTTTTTTAAATCAATATTTACATCATTAAACTCAATAAAAAAAACTGTTTTTTTATTGCATTCAAATCAGATGTTTTTTTTTAATTTTTTGCTCTTTTTCAGAATAACAACTTTAAGTATTTATAGAATTCTACAATAAATCTTTAGCGTGCATACAAATGCACTATTCTCAAATAAAGCTGTAGTTGAACATGACTGTTTTTATCCAGCCAATTTCCTCGTTAGTAAATGACATGTGACAGTCATCCTACAATCTAATTAACTTATAAAAGAAAGAATGTCCAAATTTAAAGGAAAGTCTTTTATTGGTTTTAGTTTTTATAGAGACTTACGTGCACAGAATGTTACGTAATTTTTTTAAATTAGTCAAATTCATAAAATAAGGATAATTTCTATCACATCTAACCACATCTTTATCAATTCGATGTAAATTAGCTGAAAACGAATTGATAATTTCTTGTGTAAATGAGCCATAATTAATCGGTGCAGATAAACCATCTACAATGAAAGTTAAATATGCGGTATAAAATTTAATTTATCTATAAGTTTTACTGGATTGTTCATCATTTAAAATTTCTACAGCATCCATATAAACGTCAGTTGTCGATACTGTACTTGATGGTGGCGATATTTCATCTTTTTTCTCGTCGTTTTGTGGTTCAGTTATCATGATTTCATTGCTATCGTCTATTGTTTTAAAATACAGATTAGTTTCGTCATCATCATCATCATCGATACGTATATTTGTTTCAATAATATTATAAGGTGACGAACGATCAATCACCGACTCAGTATGTGTACGAGCAATAAGTACAGATTGATGTGCTGGTATAGGTAATTGATTTAGGTGGTCGTGCGTTTCAATTGTTACAGTATGTATTGGACATTCCTGAAAAGAAGAAAAATTACAAATAAAAATGTTTTCTTGTTGATTTTACTTCATAAAAAACATCATTTGAAATATTTGAATCTTTTCGTTGGAAAGTATGAGAAACTGTTAATGAATTTTTAGCAATATTTTTCGATGATGATGGGAGTGCTTCATTGGAGTTTTGACTTGTCTCTTTGTCTATTGTTGAAATTTTACAACAACTTGAACGTTGATTGTTAAGTTTATTAACTATTTCTTCAGCACTTTGCCATTCAGTTGTTAATTTATGATAACGATCAGTTACTACGTGATCGTGTTCTGTTCGTTCGTCACTCGTTGATTCAAATGAATAATGTGAAAAAAGAAATGGCCAAACCTTAAAAATAAATTATAAAGTAATCAAAAAAACCTTAAATTTGCTCTAACTTGTTTTCGAATCGATGGATCACAACCGCCAGAATAAATTCTTTGATGTATTTCTTTCTTATCAACAGGTAAATGCTCTTTTTGCTTATCAACAAACAATTGAGTCCATGCTTCAATTGTGAAAGAAAATTTTTTATCTAATTTGTCATTCATTCCAATTGACATCGGATAGACAAGAGATGCTAAATGCGTACGAACAGTTTTCAAATGACGACAATATGCTAGCCAACCATAAAATGCACGTGATAGTATTTGACGACGCATTGTATCACATAACGATGCCATTAATGTTCTAAACATAAATTATCAATGTAACAAATAACTAGAAAAAGTATATTGAACTATGTTATGAAGAGTTTCGTGAATTTTGGATCTGCAGTTTTTTTCCATAGATACGTCAAATGATCTCTGAAAGAATGTAGCTATGATTGAATTTATATATTGGTCAAACTCAATTGCATACTACTTCAGTGAATAGCTAAAAATTGCTCTATCTCAAGATTAGACCCTCTTGGTCGCGAACTTTGTTAAGATTTTTTGTAGCCGTGTCGAGTTCTCTTCGTGCTCCTAATGAGATTTTAGTCTATAGATTATGAACGAAATAGCTTTGTATTGAAATTAAAACATTTGGTTTCTTAGACTGCTGCCTTCAAATATATACTACGTATGTCATAATGTAGAATACATGTTGGTGTGACATATTCGAAACGCACGATCTCAATATAGTATTTATCATGCCTATTAATACTTATTTGGAATTGGATCATTAATGAAGCTTGAATTAGTAAAACGGATTCTACTATTTCGAAACAACGCAAATTCAATGCGTTTTTAGTGTGTACTTCAAAAATACCTAATTGATAAATTGATATGTCATGAATTTCAATATATTGTATGGAATTAATTACATGTGCTCACATTCCTCAAAATAAAAACAGCAAATCAATAATTAAACTAAATAGGCTTATATGGATTTTCTTTTCATTCAGATCCGATTACCTAAACTATCGTTTCTGTATTACAATTACTGATCGTTGGCATTACAGAAAAAGTTTTCAAATATTAGTATACTTTTATTTTACCTAACTGAAGCACTCTTAGGTAAATCAATCGTTGTTGTAACATTAATAGGTGGATTCACAATTGTTACATTGGTCGGCGAAGCTGGTAATGACATACTACTACATTGGTTCTGCGCTCGTGGTGACAACGATGATTGAGAACTACCTCTTAATGATGGCCACTGCCATCGACTTGGTTTAGTACTAGTCAATGGTTCTGCTAAATAATCAAAAGGTAAAAAAAATCATTCAATAACAATTGTTGATCATATAGAAATAAATACACTATAATTACAGCAACGAAAGCAGACATGTATAGAAAATGCTAGACAATATGTAAATAACTAACGAGTATCAAAGAAGATAATTCGAAAAACATAATCGCCATTTGGTGAGCTCGTATCATCATCTGCTATATCTAGATGTGTTTGTGTATTAGTACTCTCATCACTTGTACTTATTGTCATGGATTGTCGGTCGGTTCGATGATGTAATTTTGGAAAAACGATTCCTAGAAAATTCTTATTCAATATATTTCAAATTAACAAAATATAATTATGATGAATTTCAAAATCAGAGTAACTATGACATAGACAATACATCATTTATATATGGGATATCAATATTGTAAAGATTAGATCTTCATCATATTTTGAAATTCTTTCAAGTAGATTCGAACCATGTAACTATATATATTTAACAATTCGACTAACCTTGTTCTTTTTCGAAACATAAGGGTGGATCAAGTTGACCATGTGGTGCTAAACCATTTTCCAAACAAGATAAAAATGCTAGCAAATGTCCCCCTTTATCTTTGATATGCAATGGAGGATATTGCACGCCATCACAACCGACAAGAACAATACGATCACCGTCAACTTTAAGATGAAAAGAAAACAATGAAAGATACTTCAAGTAAAACATTTTTTGTTCTTCGTCATACCATGTTGATGACAATGAAGATAAACAATAGTAGACATCTTCACTGATATAGCATAATCCCATAGAATACTAATGAGATTTTAATTTATGAAAAAAATATATACTGAAAAAGAAAAATTTCAAACCCCGATTGCTTTGGAGATTCAGTTGTATTTTGATTATCAAATGAATTTGTATCTGGTGAATTACTTTTATTTCCACTATTACTACAACCATTCATTAGTTGATTTGGTGTCCATTTTAAGAACAAACCATTTTGATTAAGATGTAAAGATAAATAACCAGGAATTGGATCATTACCCGGAACCTAGCAATAACAGAAATACGCAAAATATTCTCAGGATATTTTTATCATCATCTTCAAAGGAAACTTGCTTGAGATAATTGAAATGAGGAATAATAATCTAGATCATTTCAATATTTGATCTAGCTTTTTACTGTTGAATAATCATTTAAATCTCGTATTCTTCTATGCTATTCGTTAGAGAATTAACAGACCTAATTTTATTAGAAAGTATTCGGTTGTAATTAACGATAATTATACTTAATTACTTTTAATTTATAGTTGCAGAGGTAACTAGTTTAGTAAATTTTACAATTATACTGTGTCACTATTTCAGTATAATTGAAGCCTGCCAAGTTTTTGCATAACATGAATGTCAGTGCATTTCGCAGAGCAAACATGATAGTTTCTAACGTGATCAAGCTGTTTTCTATCTCGCGCACCATTCGATTAGTATGACGATTTTATTATTTATGACTTAAGTGACATTTTCAATATCTTTCTTGTTTTTCTTCGATGCCATGATCTATAAAACTAAAATGGTCATTTTGACCGAAGTATAAATTGTAGATACGATAGTTTGAACTCAATCAAAACAACTCAATCTAGTGTAAAATAAAAACGTTGAATCTCCATTTTGAAAATAATTATCTACAGTTATCAGCACTTTTTCTAATGGTATACTCTCAAAGTTAAATGTTTAAGCAAACTTTTTTCTACAAGTATCAATTAAGTTATAGACAAAAGATTCAAAGAGTACTCAACATTGACAAATAACCTATTTTATTCCACATCGAATAATATATCAATGTTATTTTTTATTATTCTTGAATAGAAAAAAAATATTAAATATTCAATTTCCATAGAATTTTATTTCTTTTGTAATTGTAGGTCTGGACAGATTTTATTTCTCACCATTTATCAACTGAATGCTTTAAATTAATTATACAAAATTAGTAGGCATCCTTTTCTTTTCTTCTCTAGATATTAAATCCTACGTGATATGAAGACGCATGAATTCTTTGTTGATGACACTATGAACTCAACTAAATAGATTTCTCAATAATAAATATAATTTTTCTTTTTCCTAATTTAATTTCTTCAACAAATGAGCATATTCACGAATGAATAGACTTCTTTTTCTTTTCTAGAAAGTTAGACATGAGATCTTCTCCTTCTGAAATGTAACATGTTTTAATGCACAACTAAGAGCCAATCAAAAGCATTAGCCTCTCTAGGTTGAAATCTCATTTCCTATAGGCATATATATATATACGTATATAAATAGAGAATCACAAGTCCAGAATGACCTTCGAAAAATGTGAGTTTTCTAATTGAACATAGCAATTTCCATATATTACATTCTGGTGGTGTATTGATGTATATTCAAAATTGAGTGAAACATTCAGATTGCTCTAGTCTTTTTTTACCATCCAACAACAACAACAACCAGAGAAAGAATATATTATCTTTTAACCCCTATGAATATGCAGTACCCATATAGAAAACATAAAACAAATAAAATCTCCTAAGAATTTTAAGTATCAAATAATGAGTCGGGGGATTTTGTTAAATTGCATCAGGGAGTTAGTAAGCAGAAGAACAGCAAACAATGAAGATTTCTCTAGATTGACGGATCACTCTACTATTTTACCGGTTGCGCGAAAACATTATTTTTTCCATAAATTAATTGTGATCGTGCATTTTGATGAAGCGATTCAACATAGTCTTTGGCTGGATTCGTTGACAATGATTGGGATTGATCAGTTCGTTGACAATCTTCGCTTGATGAACTCGCATGACGTTTAGCCTGTGTATAGATTTACATCGGATGTATTTTGTTTTTGTCAATTTAAGTGTATCTTACGTTCACTTGTAGTCTTGGTCGAAATTTGGGCGATTGAGAAGTATTCACTGGAATCATCATTCCTGATGAATTATTTGTCGATATTCGATTAGCACTATGCATACGATGCCGTTGTACAAGTTCATTAGCATTAGAATCAGTCCAAAGATGATCTGATATTTGTAATCGAGTGAATTCAATTGCACATGGACCAACTGTTAAAAAATATAATTCGATTAAAAATGACATGAATATAATTCAGTTTACCAAGCAACGAAGCAAAAATTGGACCTTGAACAGAATTTGAAATAAGTGCATAGCGTTCATAATATTTTCTACAACATAGCAGAGTAAAAAAGAAAAAAAATAGTCGATAACTTCTATATACTTACGAACTACTATAAACGATATATTCCACAATTTTGCAAAGTGACCGATGTACAAGTGCCGTACGAATCCATAAATAACGATTGTACATCGCCGATCGGATGGAGCGGCGTCGATTTTCTTCATTGTTCGATAATTTCCTTTAATAAAACGAAAAAGATTTATTTATTTTTTTTTGAATATAAATTTAAAAGAAAAATCTTTAGCCATGTAAACTACTCAAAACATATTGTGATCGGATCTTGCAATCGTTTAGAATAGTTGTTTCGTTGTCAAAATAACGATAAATGAAAATCGAAAAGATTGTTATCTTAAAATTTTAACTCGATAATATCAGCTTCTATTTATATCGATTTTAAAAACAAAAATTTAACTATTCTACAATTCTTTACTGAAGAAGTATTCCATTGTTTATCAATTAAATTCTTTGGTCATAGATATTCCATCGTACCTAGAAAAACTGAATATATTCGTTGATTCTATACAACGGCGACTGTCATTATCAACAATTTTCAGAACTTCGGCAGCAGATGGACAGGTTTTGGCAATTTTTTGTAACAGTGCCGTCGTTGTACTTGTCTTAAATAATCCTACGGAACGTCGTTTAAGACCATGTAGAAGACATGCTTCAACAGCACCTAAAAAAATAAGCACCATCAATGAAATGAAATATGACTTGAATATGCTATTACCCGATAGTGTTATTACACTACAATTTTCTTCATGAACACATTTTTTCATCACTGCTTCTTCCATAATTTGTTTAACCTAATAACAACATTTTTTTTTTTATTTAAAAATAAATTAAAACCAAAATTTACTTCTCGTTTAACGGTCCATAATAACTTTTGACGGAGTTGTTCTTGTTCTAGAAAGTAAAAAAGTTACTTTCAAGATAGGTTATTAAGAACTGTACCGTCAATACTGCTGTTTGTTTCATTTGGTTCGGTCATAGTTATTTTCAAAAATAAATATATATATTCAACATTTATATTTAAATATAAGCAAATGAATAGGACTTTGTATTTGATTCTTAAATCGTTTTACCGTCAATTTTTATTTTTCTTCCTGCTCCTGTTCCCATTCTTGGGACATTAGGATAGGAGCAAACTAGTTAATTGAGCTATTATTAAACCACGCGTTTTAAAAACCAATGAGAGATAACATTTAACCAAAACAATAAATTTGAGTCTTAAATAGAAAACAACATAGTGGAATTAAATCATAAATCACTAAAAAGATATTTTCAGAAGGTAAAATTCTAATAAAGCGCCATCTATATGCGTCAAATGATTTGTCGTATAGTACATGTAGGAAAGGAAGAATTAAAATTCTTTAAAAGCACCACCAGCATTTCTAAAATGGCTGATAGGTGTGGAAGTAGTTTAAGAACATGCTTATTCGATGCAACCGTCTCCTTAAAGATTGTATATATCTATTATTTTAAAATTCTCTAGCAAAAGAAGAACATATGCATTTGATGCTTCTTCCTACGAAGAACACTCCCGTAGTTAAAAGGCGGATATAAAGTTTTATAAAGAAACGAAATACATTTCAAGGATAGTTTTTTGCTAACAAACGAGAGTTTTTTCTGTTACTACTCTTACTGTTTTATGGTAACGCCGAAACAGCCATTGAAAAGCTAAATTTGACGTCGTTCCACTTTTGTTCAAGATTAATGAATAGAATAGTACCTAGTTTACATAATGATTGCATATTTTGAAAGAGAGAAAGGGAAGTCTGTTGAAATTATTTAAATGTTTTTGTCAACCTTTTTTATTAGTCTTCTGTCGTAAGTCCTACGTTTTCATTGTATAAACAAAACAAAAGTAGAGTAAATGTGAGTTTTGCTGAGTATCATTCTTTCTTTACGACCAAATAGAACAAGGAAAAATGAGGATGCACTTCGCTTGGTTTTTATTGAAAATGCTCTCTAATAAAAAGCTTCATGATATATTTATTGAAGCACACTCTACTTATTGAAAAGAATATATGTATGCAAAAACATCTCGTTTCAAATATTCATTAAAAATATTGTTTACATGTTAAAATACTTCAGATGAGTGAACCAACAACAAAAAACAATTCATCAACTACTGGTCCATTAAAAATCATCGTGCTAGGAGATAGTGCAGTTGGCAAGTCTAAATTACTCGAACGTTTTCTAATTAATTCTTAGTAAATATTGTTAATTTAATCTCCAATTGAAATTTGATGATATTTCTTTTTAAATAGTGTTGGCGCACGTTGTTCAACATTTGCTGTTAATATATTTAAACATACAGCTAAAGTTGATGGAAAACAATTCGATATTGAATTTTGGGATACAGGTTAGATATTTAATTTATTAAATTTTTATTTCATTCTTTTAAAAATATTTCAGCTGGTCAAGAGAAATTCAATAATATTCATCATTCGTATTTTCATCAAGCAGATGCTTGTATTATGGTGTGTAATTTTAAACATATGTATATTCTATGAAATTTTCGTTTTTCTTCTTCATGACAAAAGATATTTGATGCAACTCGAAAAATTACCTACAAGAATTTAGATCGTTGGTATAATGAATTACGTGATATTCGTCCACATATTCCATGTTTATGCGTTGTCAATAAAGTAGATGTTGCCATGGAAGTAACAAAAAAATCATTTTCTTTCCCAAAGAAACATGATATGCCTCTTTATTACGTCTCAGCGGCTGACGGTACTAATGTTGTACGGCTATTTCGTGATGCTATTCGTCTTGCAAATGCTTATCGAACGGGTGATACACAAGATTTTATTGATCAAGTATTACGTGAACTTGAAGTAGGTTAATTTAAAAATGAGAAACGATAGCCGAAATGTTTACTATAAATAAAGGCACAGCACTTAAATGGAATTTTAGTTCTCTTTCGAAAAAAACTCATAACAAAGGAATTTTTTAAAATCCCAAAGACTATGTAAATATCTGAACAAATTAAACATTGTTCTCTATGGTAAGGATATTTAACTTCCAGATATGTATCCCTTGTTTCATGCTAGATTTTTATTTCCTATGATTGAAAATTTAATTCATTTTCTTTAAGATTACGAATTCTAATAGATCTAAAGGTCAACACGATTTAAGAGTACAATAAATATAAGTTATTTGTAGTAGCATATAAAATAAGACGTAGATTGAGTGTATATTTAAATGCATCAAACTTCCTCTCGGAGTATGTATATAAAGACTTCCGAGTAATTCGAAATGTGGTTGTTGTAATCAAAATAAAAATCAAACTAATCACAACAGTTCCTTAGAGACTGAAATATGGAGTCGACATACTTCATAACACAGATAATCTAGTAAACATATATCAATAATCAAATAATACCCAATTTCAACAGCTAAACAAATTTTTTTGTTAGATACTGATCAAGTTAATCATTATTTTTGCAATTTGACTCATTTTCAACCAGCAGAACTATTAGTGGTAGAAGAAAAGACTCGAAAACCTCGATATAGGCGTGGACTCATATATTAATAGGGGGGGGGGGCCCACAGAATAGAAGCCCAGTGGGCTTCTATTTTGTTTTGAAAATTATAAATCTAGACATGGGCTTCTATTGCGATCAATTTCTTTTTATATTGCAGCTAAGATTTTATCAGCTTACAAGCACAGAAATGCTCAGAAATTAAACTCAGAATGTTTAAATTCTCTAAAAGTTTTCAAAAGAACTGGCAAGGTTTCCTAGAGAATATAAACTGGCAAAGACTTCTTTTTCGGTTCAATACTATCAAATCAAGAAAGTCATGCGTTGTTTACACTAGTATTCACATTAAAGCGTTCATCTACTTCAACATTTCATGGGACTTTATATAATACGAAAACTTCCGTTAGCATGATGCATTGATTTAGGAAATTATCAAGCTTTAAAAAGTCGAAAAACTTTGTATCAGACATATACGAATATAGTACTACCAAACGACTTCATCATGAGCGCTTATTCATACTTCAAATTTGAAATATGAAATGCGGCATCTTTTAACTACCGAAACTGATAAGAATATAGAACTAAACCGTTGACAATAGAATAAGGATCTCTCATTTCTAAAAAAAGAGATTCTCGAGATCTTATAAGTGTTATAATAATCGATACCACACCGGCATTCATTGGCATCTGTTTTTGAGTCGTATGATCTCCTGCGTGAGCTTCTATCACAATGTTGTTAAGTTAGAAAAATTTTAATCATTCGGCTTTCGAACTCTACCTAATTTCATAAGAAGAAGAAACTTAACAGGATGACATTGTTGTCCTCAAATTTATCTCCAATACTTCTTAGACAGCTAGAATTTATTAATATGTATGCCTCATATTTCTCAATTCTCGATAGAAGCTCATGTATCTTTTGGTATTAGAATGCATACAAAAAAAAGCAAATGAAGCATATAAATTGAGTTACAGCGAAACAGGGATAAGCAATAAAGTAGTCCATTCAATATGTTAAATTCACCGTTTTGTGTTTATTCAAGACAGGGTGGGCTTTTAATATGTCCGTAAAATTGTAAACCCAGGGCTGGGCTTCTATTATAGGATGAGCGTCTATTCTGCGGGGGAGGGGGGGGGGTGCCTGTTCTAGAATTACTAATGTTTGTTTTCTGAAAATAAAATATTTCCATTGCGTGAATCAATAGAACATCAAACAAGAGGGATAACCTTCAAAGTATAAATTTCGAGGGGAAGCCTGGAATTCTCATTTTTTCCTGACTATTTATAATTCTTCTCGGTTACTTATAACTAATCGACAATGGAATCGTAATATATCATGTCACGATTTTCTTTTACACATTGATTATATACGATGACTTGTCAAGACGGTTTTCGTATAGAGGAATATTTTCTAAATCATAGCGAGAGTGTATTCAAACTCTATCATCAATCTTTTTCTTTTCATACTCTTGCAAAGAATTTCAGACAATGATCAGAACACATAACATATATAGACGCTTTATTTATAGCATAATCGTTCTCAGGAAATTAGTTTTTATCGTCTCAAGATGTAATTTTTCTTGTTTAGACCATCAATGATGACACAACGACGAAAGATTAAATTCTTTTTACTATAGTCTGTAACAATTTGCACACTTTTTTAGCTGTCAGATAAATGCATATATATATATATATGTTGCTTTTAACGTTCATTAGAAAAGAATATTGGAAATTAAAAACCAATGACAATCACGTTTTTTTTCCGAAACGTTATTTTTTTTTATACATGTTGGTCTAATGAATAAATAAAAAATACAAAGCATCAGACAATAAAATAAACTATATTTTACACTGAGACATGTGTCCATTTTCTGAACCAGGAAAAGTAAAAGTTTCGTGCTTTTTTGATGGTGTTTGTGATAGCATAGGTGATATTGGACTATTGTGTTCAGGTGAAATATTAGTGCGATCAATAGAACCAAGTGGAACAGCTAATAATGATCTTCTCTTATAATCATCATCGGTATTTGTAATTTTAAGATTTGTATTTAATGAATTTGTACAATTAAATATTTCACTTAGTTCTCGACGAAATAATGATGATGTAGCTGAATAGAGAAAAAAATTACAACAACAGTTTAAATAACGAAACGTTTGTGTTAGTGTGAATAGAGTCGAATTGGGTACAGTCAATTGACGAATTTGCATATAAAACCAATAGATTCTGTTCAAAATAAAGAAACAAACAGAGATATGTAAAAATAGAAATTTCTTTTTAAATTTCTTTCTTACTGAAATGGAAATGACATAACCATAAAAGCAATAGCTACAGTAATCAACATAAATGTTATATTTCGATCAGTATTCCGCTGTCGTTGTAGTCTTTTACGAGCTGATGACGTTGAGTCAATACCAACTATATTCGTTGTTTCCATTAGTGAACGTTTTATTGACGTATTTTGACGAACATGTAAACGATAAGCAATTAAAGTATTCAGTACGCCAAGAAAAAAAAATGGTACTATGAGAAAAAATTTTAAATAATCAATTAAATCATAAGTATATACATATATATTAGCGTTGACTTTAAAATATTTCTTAATAGTTGGAAAGAAAAAAAAGAAATATTTCGATTTGTTTTAAAATCAACTGAATTTTAAAGTCAACTCCGACATATATATTGTCTTTGTTTTTACCAATATAAGTAAATATAACTGAGATTGTTCCAAAAACTTTATAGGCAATAGGTCGAGATAATCGACACGTCTCGACAGAATTCGATGCATTCGGATTATAATGTAGTGTCAATGGAAACCATGAAAACAATATTACTGATATCAATATATAACTAATAACAGTTATTTTTGTTGCTTTAAAAGTAACATATTGTGCTTTTTTAAATGGTTTCCATATTGAAAACCATCTTTCAACTGATATAAATACTACAGAATAACCACTTAATGCCGCAAATAACAGATCGAAATAGCCGTGAAAGTGACTAAAAACAAACACATCATAATTATTCTATTTGTCAAAGGAAACAAAATAAATCTTCATTTATTGCAAACGTTAAATAAATGAGGAAACATCGGATTCGCATCCGATTGTTATTTGTACGGCAAAAATTGAGTCAATTTATATATGTTGTGAATAATTCTAGGAAAAAAAATCCCTGTACCCCCTCTCTCCCCCTCAGGGATGGTCTGGTCAAAAAGGACAATTTTTTTCGATAACTCAGCCATTACTTGACGGATCCTTTTCATCTTCGAACTCGACCGAGATATCGATGAGATTATTCTGTGTACAAAATTTCGTGGCAATCGGATGAGGTTTTCAAGAGTTATCGTGCCTATGGATGGACACACTGACCGATTCTACTGTACTCACTTTTTGAGTACCCAAAAACAACTAGGCCACGTAACTAATTTCATTACGAGGAAAAAATAAACTATTTTCCTGATGATTTACTAAATTTATTTTCCAGATAAAAAAACGAATAGACGCTAATTCTGTACGGTCATTTTGAATTTACAGAGAGCATATACTTTTACATTTAGAATCATGTTCGAATCGTTAGGATATCATATTTTTCTATACAACAAACATAAAAACGTAATCATTTTTAAGTACACTAATTAAATTTTAATAGACTTTAAGTCTTGTATTATAATTACATACCACCAAAAGGTTGACTGATCTGACAATGATATACTGAGGTAATCGGGTAAGATTATATTGAATAATGAAGTTGTTAACAAAAGAATATCACTAACTGCAAGAACAATTGTAAATATCGATACACAAAATTTGATCATTTCACGACGTGCAAATACCAATATAGATAATAGATTACCAATAACACCGATGGCAACTGCCCATGGCATAATGAAATGAATACATATATAAACAATTAAACTCTTTTCATTTGTATGATGTAAATTAGTACTGTTATTAGCGTAAGTCATAATTATGATAATCTATACGATCATCATATAAATCTAGAAATTTGAAACAATAAAATGAAACATATGTTCTGGTAAAAATATGGATAGGAGTTTTTTTTCTTCTTCTTCATGCAAAGCACGATCAGTCTTAACAAACCAACGATGCGTACATTGAAGGATGGAACATTAAAAATATTCTTGTGATGTCTCGTTCTCGTTGAGCTTCAATAGTCCGTGGTTATATTTTCTCATAGTTTATTCACTTTCGACTTATCGAAGAGTAAAAAACCTATGAAGCAGAAAAGGAAAGTTTCGATTATTCAGTTTTCTACTGTTTTTTCTTATGTTATTATTGGAAGAATATTTTTATAAAAAAACAAAGATTCACAATGAATATGTTAGCTTTTGATTTCATCGCCACTATCATGTCTTTAGAAATTACAGTGATTGTTTGAATACTCAATAGTTACCAGCAATCTATGGAATGATTTATATATCTTAACTTTCGTGTTGCTTCACTAAAACTATTGAGATAATTTCATATCCGAATTTTAAATAGATAAGCTCAATAAGATTCATCTTCATTCTAACGTGGGAATATTCCCAAGTGATTCGCATCATTTGGTCTCATACTTTGCTCATAGGTAGGATCCAATGAGACTAGGAAAAACCTAAAAGGTTTCGCGCCTGCAGGCCTATCCTTCGAAGTTATGACCGTTTTACTGGATTTTCGACCGCGGCCAAGGGATTTATAGAAAAATTGGATAATGGAATTCTGAGCTGAAATTTTGTCTAACAATAGGTCTCGTTGGTGTTAGAAGATTGTGAAACTATCAGTTAACACTGATTCTTTCTTTTAGAGATATTTCAGATTGAAGAAAACGGCCATGGTACAAAAATTATCGTAAAATTGACTTTTCTTCAATCTGCAATATCTTTAAAAGAAAGCATCAGCGTTAACTGAAAGTTTCATAATCTTCTAACACCAATGAGATCTATTGTTAGACAAAATTTCAGTTCGAAATTCCTTCATACATTTTTTCTATACATCCCTTGGCCGCGGTCGAAAATCCAGTAAAACGGTCATAACTTCGAAGGATCGGCCTAAAGGCGCGAAATCTTTTAGGTTTTTCCTAGTCTCATTGGATCCTACCTATGAGTAAAATATGAGACCAAATGATGCGAATCACTTGTGAATGTTCCCTCGTAAGCTCATTAATGTTTTCTATTCTATCGTGTTTTTGATTCAAATAAATTTACTAACAATAATAATCTCTTAAAATATTTTATAAAAAGAAAAAAGACTAGCTAAAAAGCAAATGATAATTATATTTCATATTGAACAATAACTTTATCTTTGATTAGCAATTTATATTTAGACAATCTAATCTCTATATGCTTGATTATCGTATGTCTTCGCAATTCCTATTTTTAGAGAAAAATTAGATAACTAGCGAAGCACAGGAAACAAGCCATACGGAAAACAAATATAGTAATGAAAAAAAAATTAAGGATGCAGACTGTCAGCCATTAGAAACTTTGGATGTTTTTCCTATATAAGTTCTATTTTAACATAGGCTTTAAGAGATAGTCGAAGTTTCGGATTAGTCCTAGCGAGTGCTAGGCTTGAAATAGATTGACGGCTTAGTTATGAATGAATATTTCAATGAACACATTGTTGCTTTCAAATGTTCATCAATTGGCAGTTAGGGCACTCACAGATGGTAGATAAAAATAAAAAAAAAAGAAGAAATATAAATATCTGTCTTATTTCACGAGGACACGAAGAGAAATGCTTTACCAATGCTAACATAGAAAAACTGGAAAAAATATATTACTAAGTAGATTCATTATGGATAAAGGTAAATTCTCTTTCTTTAAATTTATTCATGAGATCTGATGAAAAGGCGAGAAAAATTCATTAAAGTAAAAAGAACTTTTTTCAGATTAATAACTGAATGAAAGGGCATCTCTGACATCTAGTTACCTCGTTTTAATATATAATCGTCTATATGAGTATAAAGTCATGCTCACTAGTCGACTAACACAATAAATAATTCATTGGAATAAATAATTCATCTTCTATTTTTGACACATGAGAATAAATTCTAATGAATTTTGCTTACTCTCTCTCTCTCTCTCTCTCTCTCTCTCTCTTTTCTCATATTGATTCACTAGTCGAGAAAAATCCGATTTAGTTTTTATTCTCTTACTTAGTACTAAGAAAAAGTTTTGGTCTGTTTGCTCTTTTTTTGTTTTCTTCATATACGCAAAACTGGCACACGGGCATTTATCAAACAATATTATCTATCATGAGTTTCAGCTAGTCAAGGACAAAGAGAGCTTCATTTCCTATATAAAGATATTATCAATAAAAGCAGTTTCATATAACATCTACTGACCCAAAATTTATTCTAATTCTAATAACACCTGAGAATATAATTTTTTTCTTCAATTGATATTCATTCCTATTTGTATGCTCACCTATATCAGGTGCTATAAATAATAAAACAATATTGCCTTTTGTGACTATTTAAATATCAGTACAGCAACAAAAAAGATTTCAGTAATTAAATAATACTATTATTCAAACCTGCAAAAGAGAACATAATCGTCTCAGATGACAGAAATATCCACCGACATAGTCACACAAATATTTTTCTTTTTCTTACCTTGAAATAAAAATATGCAAAATTGATTTTGATTGGTTTCCGAATCAACTGTTGCTTTCAATGACATGCATTTCATTTTCAGTTCATTGACAATGCTATCTTGAATAATTTCACATGCAACAATACTAGAAATCGACAGTCTTTGGAAAATTCATTCGGCGACTATAGATTTTAAACTAACAGTTTTTATTGTAAGTAGCTTAATGAGATTAACTCGTACGTTAGGATTAGAATCTTTGTTTTTATTCTGTCACATAGAGACATTCATATTCATTCGTTACTTTGTTGATGTATGTTTCTAATATAATTTAATATTCTAATATGAAATCGAAAGAAATGCCCATCCTTGAATCAGTGAACATTGCCGTTGATAACAACAAGTAACAAAAATAGCGAGAATCAGAAAGTCATATTTTCGTGACATAAAAAGCAAAAATAAACGGACGCACTTTCAAGTGATGTTTGCCGCTTCTTTTTGTTCTTTGGCACAACTTTGAAGAGATTGGGCGTGTTAGTTTCTTTTGCTATTCTATGTGATCTGCTGCGTAAATCTAGAGCATGCAAAGACATTTGAAGAAATAAGTAATAACATGCAGTGTATAGGAAAGGAAACGAACTATTTCCTAGTATTATAATGGAAAAGACGATGCAAGAACATCATCATTATCGTTATTTTCATCAATGCAATGTATTGATGAATCGTTTTATAGTTAACTTTCAATCTTCTTATTTATATATATATATATTCTTAGGGAATGTCGTTAAATTTCAATTAAAATATTCATATACTAATTAACGTATGCATCAGACTGTTCATAAAGCATTTGAAAATTACATGAAATAAAGCATAACAAACAAAAAGTGAATCAATGATAGACAGTTGATGAGTATCGTCAATCATTCTAATGCATATGCACTAATGAATGTTTATAGTTAAATACATATTCTTTTTTATGAGAGCACATATTTTGTTTGTCATAATATTCAGGCCATGAAAAAACGCGATGCTTACTTTTGTAACAAACTAATCGAATTTTACTAATGATCTATTCTTCAGTAACATCTCGTGCTTTTATGCCTATCAGAATAATACAAGATAAAATATTTAGAAACACCCTATCTATCATATGAAAAATAAGAAGCAACTTAAGCAAACAAACTTTTGTTCAGATGTAGCTATCTATGGCACGTACAATTCGATATGTTCGTGCTGGTAAAAGCTAAATATTTATATTGTTCTTTATCTTAATGAAAAAGATCATGCCATAAACATGAGAACTGTTTCTGAGCAAAAATCTATGGTGCTTTTGACTCAGCATAGTAACCTGAGATTTTTCAGGTCAATAGTAATAATAATAAATATCTTATGTGTCTTGACATAATTTATTCATAAAAAAGTTGAAATACTTTTAATCATTGATTGATATTTATAGAAAATAAAGATTTCAACGAAAAAATCATACTTACTTTAGATATGTTAACTGAATGTCGATAATGAATAGCCGAATTATAATGTGTTAGTTCTATTTTTCGAGCAATACGATAAGGCTACAGAAGCGTTTTAGTAAAACAATGATGTTAAATATGCAAAACAAAATTTAACATGGTTAATAGAAGATGAGAATTTTTCTTGGCCCTTCATGTATGTTCGTTTACAGGTTTCTTTTGCGTTCTGTTTTCTTTTTATAATTATCAAAGAGTGTACAATAGGATTTTAATTAAAGCTTTTTTTAGATGTTTTACTTTTACAATGCTGCCAGTCAGATGCTTGAAGTGAAAGGAAGAATATATTTCGTACGTAAATGATAGAAGAAGCGAACCGAGGCAAATGAAAATAACTGGCACATTGTTGCTGTATACAAAAATATTGGCAAAGTTGTTGGCTCAGTTTCTTTTCTTCTCTCGCTTCGCCATTAAAAAGATTATTTGCTCTCTTCACTGTCTACTGACGATAATATTGCTGTTGTGGTCGTTTCTTCTTGCTATTCCATTTCGTTGTTGTTTCAATGATGTCTACCAAAGTGAAAGAAGAAGAAAAAAAAGTAGAAGACGAGTGTTCGGATGTAGACTGGAAACAGTTTAACAAACGAATGCGCTTGTCATTTAGTAAAGTACACACATACACGTATCGATAGTTTTTCTTTTTCTCTCTCTTAAATGCCAATCTAACATTTGCCAGTTTTCTTCATTTTCCGATTGGGGATCTCGTATTTTCCGGATAGAATTCCGGATTTAGCGTCAACGACCAGTGTATTGTTTATAATATGATGGCAACTCAATAATCTACAATGTTTATTCATGTTATATTACAGTTGCCTAAAGAATAAAACAACATTTTAGATGCATTCATCTTGATGTTTTTATTCTACTATTATCAACATAGTGAAGAGTAGATCGGGAAAGCCAATTAATAAAAAGTACGACAGAAACATTTGTTAGTGATGCATTTTCAAGCAAGAAAAGAACAATTTTCTAAGTATAGCCAGAAGTATTTTATAGTAATTGCTTGTCAAACATCAAGCGCCTGTTGGTACTGACAGGTTAAAAAAAGCACCTAACGCAAACGAGTAAACATATAGTTAACTAAGATTCTGAGAAATACGATTTCACAAATAGAACACTAAAAAATAGTGCTAATATTATATTAAAATATTCATAATCAATGAATAAATAAAACATAAGCACAATACTTCTTTAATTAATAGAAAATAAATACAAACAATTATTATGTATAAACTTGAAAAGTATTCTTTTCTGTCAAATTTTCCCGGCCACCGGAAACAACACCTGGGACGACTGTAAACAGCGTATATTTTACCTTATGAGATTTTATCTCAAATTTTCATCTCGTTTTATAACGAGCGCTTTCTCCCGCTAGTCAATCACTATCATTTCCGGCACCAGTTTTATATTAAAAGAGGTTATGTAAGTCGACGACATAATCATGACTTTTTCATCGTTCTATATCAGTTTCAGTATCCGTCTCTCAAACTTGACTACATCCTGTTTACCTTGTTTTTGAAAGATATTTTTCATTATTTTCAATTACAGCATCAAAGAAAAATATCATTGACAATCGTCTCTTTTTCTTCGATAGAAATTTCATACTTATTAGCCTCCATTGAATGAGTCAAGTTTTACTTTAAGATCTTTTCTAATCTTAACTCTCTTTGACATATCACGCAAATTTATTGAGCTATATATATATATATATATATACTTATTTCATAGGACTTCTTAACAGTTTGTATGGTAATAACAAGAAGTGTTTTTTTTTGCTCGAGGCTACTCTTTTAAAACAAAGAAAAAATGTTCTCTATATATTTTTACCCATAATCTTGTAAAAAATGTCTATTTCATACTTCAAATGTTTAAAAGCATTCACGAGAAAAATTTTTCATACAATATGGAAACGACCATCTTTTGTTACATGGAAATAATGACAAAAGATAACGTAGCCATCAAGCAAACATCGAACATAGTAAAAAACAAGTGCATTCAAAATATTTTTGATATTCTAAAAAATGCATCTTGTTTAATAATGATTCAATGCCCTAGACATTTTCGTTTCATTTGTTTTTCTGGAGCTCATTTCATGCAAAAAATTGATTAGATATTGATATCTCATTTTTTCATCTCTTCTATATGAATGAACTCCTCGTTATAATTGCTTCTTAGACTAACCATAAAATGCATAATTTAGCTAAAAGCAAGTCTTCTCTCAGTCGAATCTTCTGGAAGCGATCATTTACATCTAGGTATGATATAATAATGAGTAGATTTTTGGGGCGTAACCAGAGGGGGGCCAGGGGGGCTCAGCCGCCCCTAGAAAAAATAAAACCCTGTGAAAATAAATTTAGTAAATCATCAGGAAAATAGTTTATTTTTTCCTCGTAATGAAATTAGTTACGTGGCCTAGTTGTTTTTGGGTACTCAAAAAGTGNAGGGATGTTTTTAAAAAAAGAATTTTTTTTCTCAGAATTATTCAAAACATATATAAATCGACTCATTTTTTGCAGTACACATAACAGTCGAATGCGAATCCGATGTTTCCGCATTTATTTTCTACTGTCATCGCTATCTGGACTGATCTAAGTCCTTGATTGTCTTAATTAAAACTTGGAATTTCGTTTTAGATCGTTTATCGTCATGAGTTACGTCCAGTTTTACCGATGGAATTAGAGGTGCTGAAAATAATGTAAATTAAAAACTCGTTTTTATACGAATAATTTTAGTTTTTTTTTGTAATTTAGATCGTAAAACTTGAGAAAATTGAAAAAGAATGTGAGAACGACCATAAGGAAGCATTTAAAAGTCTTGACAGCACAGAAAAAACAAATCCAAATCAAGCTGATACAATTAATGAGCTAAAAAATCGTCAAGTTGAAAACAATTTAATCTGCTTTATGCTGGATTAATGGCTGAAAAGTGTGCAGACCAACTTGATTCAGGATTCGCAAAACAACTTCGTAAGTTATATACAGAATTTTGCTTTAGTGGACTATCTATTAAATTTGTTGTAAGTATTTTTAGATAAGAAAACTGGTCAAATTGTTATTCTTGGTTTTCATAATGCTGGAAAAGTAAAATAGGAGGAAAAAAATACATTTTTCTAATAAATCTTGATTTTCTTTGTAGACAACTTTATCACGTACATTACAAGATAATTCATCTGATGAATATACATCAAGTTTATCTTCACGTAGTAAGAGATGTTGAGTTTTTGTTTAATTATGCTTCTTTTTTATTTATAGATTATGAAGAATTAATTAGGGGAAATATGAAATTTGCAGCACTTGATTTCGCTTAGAGTCATGCTCAAGGTAATACAACAAATAAATATTTTGATTTATCGATTTTTTTTCTTATAGGTAGTCATTTATGGAAACATTATATTCCAAGTGTTGATTCAATTATATTTCTTGTTGATGCAATTGATCCAATTCGTTTTGCTAAAGCAACAGCAGAACTTGAGGTTCGTATATCATTTTTTTGTTCTATGTTTTCTTAAAAATTATTTGTTTTATTAGGACCTATTAAAGAATGAAAACGTTTTTAATATACCAATTGTTATACCTGGCAGTAAATCTGATTCACAAAAAGCTGTTGATGAAGAAAGTTTTCTTCCGTGCAGCACTTGGTTTATCAGAAACAATGAAACAAATAAAAGAAAACATTTATTGATTTATTAATAAGTGTATTTTTCTTAGCATAATGAGGGTCGTAATTTACAATTACACATGTGCAATATGAACGACATTGGCATTCTTGGCTGTGCCTTTAGATGCATTGGACGATTTTTAAAAGAGACATAAAATTTTATGCTTTTATCTTAAATAAACAATAAAGTCTTAAATATAACTATTTCATTTATTTCGACTCAAAAGATTTTAGAAGACGAAAAGAAAAATATCACTAAAGAAAATTAACTTAATGTTTTAGCCAAATCTAGAAATGAATCGATATGAACAGTCTCAATCACTCTAAAAAAAATAGGTTTTCCGCCGAACCCTGGAAAAAGGTTCGGTAGATTTGAAAAAGCATCCAGATGCATCATACTGTCGGAAAAACACTTCTTTTTTTCCACGGAACCTTTAAAGGTTCTTCCCCTGAATACATGGGAAGAACCTTTTGCTACGAAACCTTTTTTTAAGTTCCGTACATCAGAAAAAGGTTTCGCAAGAAAAATACGAAACCTTTTTCTGATGTACGGAACTTAAAAAAGGGTTTCGTGGCAAAAGGTTCCGTGGAAAAAAAGAAGTGTTTTTCACACAGTATGATGCATATGGATGCTTTTTCAAATTTACCGAACCCTTTTCCAGGGTTCGGTGGAAAACCTATTTTTTTAGAGTGATCTCGCTCAGGTGGAAGATCTTACTCGCAATCAGTGATTTTCTACATTTTATATGTATCTTGTTATAAGAGGACAGTTTAAATCGTATATTGGTCTTACTGTAAAATTCTCGTATAATCTGAGGTTTGAAATCTTATAAGAATATATACTTTCGTCATTTAACTATGTTCTAAATTAAATATTGGTTCTTCTAGAATTGTCAAATACATATTTTTATTAAATCAAAAAAATTGCAGATTAAATTCATTTCTCTTAATAAATTTATTTCTGTTTTAAGTTATTTATCAATCGAAACTGTTTAAAACTATTTCGTTTTTTGTTTTTCAACATTTATGTAATTTTTTGTTCAGAAAAGGGATTGGCTGTCAAGACCATTACTCATTTATTAATTTTGTCTTCTTCGAAGAAATTAATGGGCAGTAAATCCGCGGACAGTAAATCTTGTAGACGGAATGAAAGAACTCACTGCTAATAGTATGCATGGCAATAATGAACGCAAATTATTAACAAGAAAATTGGTAATAACAGATCATTTTTGGAAGATTTTTGTCATGAAATATATCTATACGACTAAAAATATAGAAACGGAGGATTGTCTCTGTTTTCTGAAAATTGAGCTATAGTCTATTGTTTCAAAGAAAACAATTTTTTCACAGAAAATGTTCAGTATCAATCAGGCTTCGTAGTCGCTCTAGATTTTCTATAATTCCTATAAACTTGAAAATAATAAATATCTTTTTTTTGAAGACAACTCGAAAGCTAGGTGAGAAAACCACCTATTAGATAGATCAGCGAAAAACAAACATAGGATATCACCACTTAGCTGTTGCTGTCATTGTCGCATGATCATAAGACAAGTCAACATATTAATTTCCCCAGTGGCAGATAAAATTCTATTATCATATTATGCCAGAATGCCATGAGAGGCTCCTTCGAAAGTTAGCAAAATATCGCAACAAAGCGAGAAAAACTTTGACACATCGAAATGATGCTGGACTGTGTTCCATCAAGACTAAAGGAAGCGTATAATTAATTGATTTTGTCCATATTCTTAATAAGTAACTCCAGAGAGAGCCGAAATTTAAGTGATTGATGCACACCAGTTTACTCTATTTATTTTTCTTAATTGATAATTCTTTAATAGTTTGGCTATTTTTTTCCAACGGGACACAACTAATCTTACTTTGAATCTGTTATCGAGTTGGGTGGTTATCACAGCTGTCATCAAGATAACAAACCGATGTGTTTATGTTCTATCTACTGTTTTCTTACCTCGCTCAATCCTTGATACTATATCAATTAAACTAGGATAATTTTGTTCAGATTATCTTCTTTATTAAATCTTAATATTTAGTATTTAATTCAATGTCAGGACTGAGCAAAAATTCGGCACTGCAAGGATCGAATCTATCTTTGCAAAAATTTTGAAAATTAACACCTCTGAAAATAGAAGTCTCCATAAAATACTGGAAAAGTAATCAGCAACTGAGATGCGTAAAACAAGGAGTAGATAAAATGTCGTATCTGTTGATATCAACATAATACTTGATGACAATCAAATTTCTAGACAGACCATATATAATGGTAGATAGAAACACTCATATACAGTTAGTTTATCAACATGTTGAGGACGCTTGCTACGCTATTATTGTTTACTGTTTTCATTAAATGTATTGAATCCAAAGAACCGATTCGTTCGTATGTAGCAGTAGAAAATAAAACGCCTACCAAAGGTTTTATACATGAAATGACAGTATGTGATTCACAAGAAAAGAAAGTATTATATCGTATAAAAACTTCAAGGAGTGATATCGATACGATTGTATTAATTGATCACCAAACAAAAAATATTGTGGCTAATCTTGAAGGTATTTGGGGAGATGGAACATTTAATGTTACTTTTTCTATTTATGATTCTAAATTAAACAAATGGACGGATGGAACTATTAAAAGAATCGCTCATATTGTTGATGATGATTATGCCATTCAATATAATAATCACCATTTGAATACGGACAGAAAATGGTATTCGAAAAAAGTCAAAATTCACTATACCACGAACAAAGAATACTTAGCTCGATTTCGAATTCGAACTCGATGGTTCAATTGGTCGCCAATTAAATATGACATACAAGTCTATTCAAATAAAATACCTGATGCTGTTTACCTTTTCTTATTGACAATAATGGAACATCGAGGGCTTTCAAATGAATAATGATTACTTTGCATTTATTATTTGGCACAGCTTTGTAAAATGATAATTGGTTGTGCAAATATGGACATCGTATGTTTACTGAAATCAGTTTAAATACGTAGTTTATTAATAGAACTTCTACATTGCTCGGTCGAATCTGTTTTTGAATTAATAGCTTTTATCTTTCATTAATTGCTAAGAGTTTGGATGGATTCATTTTTTTGGAAATTTTTTAAGGTCACACCATGCTTTCTCTAATAAATTTGTACTAAAGTAGTATCTCACTCCTGCGCACAACTGCTTAAATAGAAATAACAAAATCTTTCGTTTTATCTACACAACAATTATATACAGATACAAATAAAATTCTTAACTAATGAAGGCCAAGTTATGAATCGAATTGGTTTGATTATTAAGAAAGAGAGCATTTTATTCTAAAATTTCTTGCCAACTCTTATGATCGATAGAAATTTACGGATCAAATCTAAGCTAATGTGAGGGCCGAAGAAAAACTAACACTCGGAAGAACGAACTGTCTTTTCATAATATTTATGATAATTTTACTATCGTATTAGAACGTGCGTTATGTGACTCTATTGAAATATAATACATTCTTGAAAAAAAAGCTCAAGATAAATAATAGAAAAGCTAATTGTGCCATACTTCTAGGACACATTGAATAATTAAATTAGAACGTATGCTGATATGCATATAATGCATGTTGATAGGTTTTCTAGACAAACGATATAAAAAGGCAGAAAGAAAATGAAAACAAAATACACTTAGTTAGACCATAAAAATGATGAAGATTTTCAGTGTGCTATTATTTCTTATTATTTTCATTAAATATACTGAATCAAAATCGTTGCGTCGTTCGTATCTAGTGGTTAAAAGGTAAGACTTCGTCTAAAGGTTTTTTTTACATGAAATGGGGATTTTAAGTTCAGACGAAAAAAAATTATTATATCGAATACAAACTTCAACAAGTGACATCGATACAATTATATTAGTCGATAATCCTATTGTGGCAAATACTGAAGGTATATGGGTAGATAAAACATTCAATGTTACTTTTTCCATTTATGATTATGAACTAGATGCATGAACTGATGGAGCTCTCAACAGACCTACTTATCCTATTGATGTTGATTACGCCATTGCATTTAATAATCAATATTTGCATTCAAAGAGAAAACGATATTCGCATAATGTATATGTTTATCGTAATTACAATAACCAAGGCATTATTAGCTCGATTTGAGATTCGCTCTCGAACGCTTTAATTGGTCACCAATTCAATATGATGTGAAAGTCTATTCTAATATAGTACCAGATGTTGTTTATTTTCTCTTACTAACAGTGATGGAACAACGAGGACTTTCGAAAGAATCATCATTACGTTAACATTGGTGATAATGCAACAACGAATGATTTGGTTGAAAAATTATAGACATTCTCTATTTACTGAAATCATTTGAAATATTTTGACTATTACAAAAAACTTTTCCATATTTTGAAAATGTCTTCTTCAATGCTACGAATTCAAGTTAATATAAACTTTTGACCAATAAATTTATTTTTTTTATCAAATCTCACTCGTCACTAAAAATGAATGTGTGTGCAAAAAATAAATATACACATGAGTAAGTAGAGCGCGAGTTTTTTCTTTAGATTAGATAAAACAAATTATACTAATACGGTGGTAGACACAATATGTCAAGATACCAGGTCGGACAACACAGAATCTCTACTTAATTTACAGTATCTTGCATTCAACAATATGATCGATGACAAATGAGCTTCTCTACATTGGTGTCATCGAAGTAAGAAATAAGAGAGTATATTATTGTAAACCTCCTCTACATCGTCAAACACACTTGAGTTCACTTCCATGGAAAGACCTTTTTTGTGTACTCAAAAAGTGAGTACACTCTAGAATCGGTCAGTGTGTCCGGCCGTAGGCACGATAACTTGCGAAAGGAGAGTCAGACCGTGATGAAATTTTCCACACAGTTCAATCTCATGAATATCTCGGTCGAGTTCGAAGATGAGAAGAATCCCTCAAGAAATGGTTGAGTTATCGAAAAAATTGTCATTTTTGACCAGGCCATCCCTGAGGAGGAGTACAGGGAATTTTTTTCAAAAAATAAATCTTTCTCAGAATTATTCACAACATATATAAATCGACTCAGTTTTTAACGCTGATTCCGAATCTGATATTAGTTTTGAGCTAAACCGTAGCTTTCTGATGAAACATCGCCTGAAAAACGTCTCAAAATGCACAAAAACTGCATCCAGAAATCAAATTGCGGAGATTCATCATTTTATTCAGTTTGCGGACATAATTAATAGCACCGAGATAAAGATCGAGTTGTTCCTTTTCCAATTCTTTTTCTTGCTATTATATGATATAGGATGTATTGAGTAATTGAATCAGAGAGCGTTGACACTTTTATATCAATTGATTACAATGGAATTTTTATACAGATATAAATTTAGTGCATAATCATGATGAGAATTCTTTCTTTATTCTTTCTATTAAACGTATTGAATTAACAACAACAACAACAACAAAAGCGATTCGTTCATTTCTAGTTGTCAAAATCAACACAAACTCTACAAGTTTAATACATGAAATGACAATATTCTATGCTGATGAAAGAAAATTATTATATCGATTAAAAGCTTCTACTAGTGATATTGATACTATTGTACTTGTTAATTATCCAGCAAGAAATATTGTTGCTTATGTTGAAGGTATATGAGCAGATGGAATATTTTATGTTACTCTTTCTATTTATGATTCTGAGTTAAACAAGTGAACGAAGAGAACTATTAAAAGAGTTACTCGTGTCGTTCGAGACGATTGTGCCATTCAATATAATAATGAACATTTGAATATCGAGAGGAAATCGTACTCGAAGAAAAGAAAAGCTTTTCAAGTAGAAACCAAGGAAATGTTAGCTCAATTTGGAATTTGTTATCGATGTTTCCTCTATCGTTTATTAAATACAATTTAAAAATCTGCTCGCATAGACTATCGCACACCGTTTATTTCTTACTACTGGCAGTGATGAACCATGAAGAACTTTCCAAGGTATAATAATTAATTTGATCTTTACCACTTACCATTCTTCTTACATAGACAGCAAAATAATTATGAGCATTTTTTTTCTACTGTGAACATTTAAAATGTTTTATTTATTAATAAAACGTGCAATTTCGCTTAGATAGCTTATAATCAGTCCGAAGCAAAGTTATCAACGATTCGATTACGCTCTTTTCTTAATCCAACAACGAACTAATTAATGTTGCTATTATTTTATAATCTCGACTGAAAGACTTTTGCGGTTCAGAATTGGATGTTCTTCTTTCTATTTTGTTGAAAGAAAAAGTTTTAGTTAGAAAATTCATAGACCTTCTTTGGTACGCATAATCATCTACAAAATAAAGTAAGATATTATGGAATTATAAAATTTTATTAATTTAATCGCAGAAGAAAATCAGAGACACTTCAAAATTTATTACATCAATTGTATTGATAGTTTTAAATCAGATTTTGCGAGTACTGTTACCGGCAAGATAACAGTTTTTTGTCGGCAACACTCATTTAAAAAAACGAAAGATTCAAATGGAAACAGAATAGAAGGTGATTGCATTTCTTCGCTATTGGACAAAAGAGATATACTCTATCTAAGATGAATTTACACTAGATTCTCTTGGGAGCATAATAGAAATATCTTTCTTCGTAACGATTATTAGGAACGTCAATTCCAATTTTTGAATAGAATATCTGTAGCGCTTTAAAAATAAGTGTAAGACTTTCATTATTTTATTAATATTCAAATATATCCAGTTGAATTGTAAATTTACTGTAATTCTCTTACTGAGTATTTCAATTTTTCTTTTATTTTGTAAAACAAAACAAGATGCAAAATCGTTAAAAAAAAGTGTTAAAACATTATTTCTTTCTTATGGCTAACATATTAGGGAAAAAATGAAAGTAGTCCTTGTTCTTTCATTTTTTCAATACGGTTACTAGCATTAGGAACCATCGTAAGAACAACTTTAAGAAAATTTTTGATTAGACTTTCTGTTAATTGTTCAAACATTTTCACTAATGTTTTGACGCTAACATCAATATTTTGTTTATATTGATTAAGAGTATTAAGCCAGTCACCTTGAATAGAATACTCGTACGTTGTTAATTCATTTTTGATTTCTTCAGACCATTCATGAATCTGTTTACGGATAATCTGGATTTTACCGTAAAATGCACGAATTCTTTCTTCAAAATGATAGTCACCTTTTTCTAAAGCCAATAAACTGTCACGTTGCATTGTAAATAGATTTTCATATAAATCATGAACATTCGATTTTAAACGAGCAATTAGTTGAGTATATTTTTCTGAAAGAAGATTTCCTCTTGTCGTTATTGGATTATTTATTACATAACGCATAGTATTTAATTGTTCATTAACAATAACTTGCCCTCCTGCTCAAAGAAGAAAAAAAAATAGAAACAAATAGTTAATTTAAAATGAAAATGTACCTTTAAGCATCATCTCAAAAGCTGGACTAAATAAACGCTCCCAAAGAACCTCAGCAGCAACTCGTAATTCATTGATACTGTTTACCAATTTGCCAATAACATTTTCCATATGAGCTGTAATATTATTCCATGAATGCCCTAATATTTGACCAATTTGATTGGTAGCTGAATGAGCTGAATTACCCACTTGGCTTAGTACTTGATTAATAGAACCAAGAAAACCATGAGAAATGCCAATGAGAAGAATTATAATGAAAAGTGTAGATCGCATTTTTAAAATGAAAATAGTGTCGATACGAAACGTCTGTATATATGTATATATATATATACGTGAACAGAGAGTGAGAGAAGAGGAAAATCGAATGATTAATATAGGCGACTCTTATTCTTGTGGCAGAAATAAAATACTCTATTTACGCTAGGCTTTGAGATAGATAATATTTTAAGACCAGAAATGCAAGTCAATGAATGCAATGCGTTATATTATATTGTACAAGGTCGGATTGAAATAGTAAAGATCTGCTTAAGCCCAAATTCGATTGGATAAGTCCTTGAAATGAAGGATAGTGAGTATCAAAATATTCAATAAAATCTCAATGGAAAAAATAGTTTCCCTTTTATCCTTCATAAATGCTATAGTATTGAGTGATAATAAATAGCACAAATACAATATATGAACTCCTATTCGTTTCAGGATATTCACCGTTCATTAGAATCCGTATGCTTTTATTCGATGATGACTGTAGAATAAATGATCATATGGGAGAGAGAGAGTTCATTGATCATATGCAAAATAATGATAAGATGTACTTGGTAATGCATAATTGATGCTTCTCAAATTTGAATTTAATGTAACCAATGACATCTATAATGTTTATCATAATTTGGAGTTTTTATTCGAAGTGCTTCCACAATATTCTTTAGTCGTTAAATGTAACTGCTGTTGGCTTTTTAACAATTTGACTATAAAAAAAGAAGTGGAATATATATGTCTCTTGATATATATATTGCAATATTTTTAAGCATGCAGTTGAATAAATTGATAGAAAGACTCCTACACTTTTGTGAGTAAGCGACACCACATCTAATTTTAATGATTAAAAGTTTGCGAATTTTTTGTATGTCAAATTGTATGACACTACTGATGGGTATATTCCTTACAGTAATGTATCATTGGGATGAATGTGTTTGCCCTTGAGTCTGTTACTTCTAAATCTAAACGACTCATGCAAAAATCGATACTTCACCGCCAATGAAACAATGCAAGCAATAAATTTAAAAAAAAAGAATTTCTTGTTGTGTTCTTGACGTATATGTTCTATTTCAGTGCTTAATCCCATCTAGTGGCGTTTTTTTTCTCAAATAGTTTTGCTCTCTCTTTCTTTTATTATAAGCAATCATTTTCCAGCATGGATCGAAAAGAAGAATATAGTTTTAAACNATAAATTTTAAAAAAAAGAATTTCTTGTTGTGTTCTTGACGTATATGTTCTATTTCAGTGCTTAATCCCATCTAGTGGCGTTTTTTTCTCAAATAGTTGTGCTCTCTCTTTCTTTTATTATAAGCAATCATTTTCCAGCATGGATCGAAAAGAAGAATATAGTTTTAAACCAAAACTACAAGAAGTCGTACCATCAACACGTTTTGGACAAGGTTTGTTGAGTTTCAGAGAAGAAAATTTTTTTCAAACTATTCCTCTATGATATATTGTTATTTATTTTTTTGTAGCAATAGCATCACTATTTTTTTTAAAACGACACAAAAAACGAGAAGATCATGGTCGTGGACCTGTTGTATCACGTCTTCGAGCACAATCAACATTACACATAAAATCATCACCTAGCTGTAATACAATGCCATTTGAAGTTTTAACACCTAGAAAAATATCAACAACACCACCACCTATTCAAGTATCGTCTTTTGAATGAAGCAAAAAATAAAATAAAATAAAATAGATCAAAGTTCAGATTTATCATATTCGTGAATTCGAACACTTTTTTGAAGGACATCAACTAATAATTGTAAAACATTTGATGATACACTTTTTAAACGACTACGACTTATATATTCTTGATTATTTTCATCGTTACTTAATTGTGCCCATATATCATCTGCTGTTGGTAATGTTGTATCTTTTTTTACTAATTCATATGTTACTTGACGAAAAAATTCAAGAAATATATCTTTATACAACTGATCATTTGTACCAAGTAAAAGCAACAAATAATGACGTGCGTCATCATTAGTAATTGTTTGTTTAGATAAATGTCTTGTACCGTGTTCATATCTCCATAGAAATTTTCCTTTATTCAATGGAACATAAATCGGAGGATTTTTTTCACAATCATTTCCATTAAAATCTTCTCGAGTATCGATCGGTGACATATCAATAGATAAAGCTATGGTTCTACCATGTGCTCGTACTTGATGAAATATATAAGCTGGAATAAATAGACAATCACCTTCACGTAGGGTAGCCCAATACCACGGTAGATTATGTAAACGTTTATATTTATATGCATTAACTAAATCTACATCAATACGAGAATAAAGATCACCATTGGATTGTCGTACTAGATCAAGATCATTTGGATACTGATTTGAAACATCAAAAATAATAAAATCTTTTCGACCATCCAATACGCAATGTAATGTATTTGTCGAATGTGCAAGTAAAAGTGATGCCGTATCACCAGCACTTATCCAAAGAACAGGTTCTAATAAGCGATTACGAAATGTTCCACAATTAATCAATGATGGTAATGGTGTTTCAGATTTCATTTCATCAGGTATAATTGTGTTCATATATAAATCATCATGTCGATATTGCTCAAGAAATATTTTGAATGGCAGCAAGACTAGTGTATCAACAAGACGTTGTTTTCGTTTAGCAATAGTAATATTTAAGTGTCCATAACGTTTTGATAGATAACTATCTGTCCATAAAACATCTAATGCTGGCACCATACCACGAAAAGCAACTGAACGATTGCCTTGAATAAATAAATGATAAAAACGCGCCGGTTCTATTTTAAGTGAATCTTCTAGTATGGGCGATTCAGCACGTCGTTGCCAGCCTAATGGGCGAAGGTGACCGAGTGCCATCGACTCATGACGTTCGAGAATAGGTGGAAATGTAACATGTAAATTCATATCTTTTGGAAAACTACTACCATCATCATCAGTAGAAATCCATTGGATTTTCGATTGTATAAGAAGAAATGTTAACAGTAACATGATATAGTTGAAAAGGAAAGAAAAAAGAAAGAAAGAATGATATCTACTTGATTGCTTAAGTCGTGTTGCCACCAGCTGGCTATACCATGCATATAATTATTTTTATTTATTTATGAGAAATTCAGAATAATAATAAAAAGTCAATTATGACGTGGCAAAGTCTGAGTGAACCACTCGATTATTTATTCTGATTAACCTATTCGCAATTGAATAATAGAACTTTCCAATTTAGATCAGTCAGAACAAATGATTGAATTTGAAATTTGCACAGAAGCATTTATAACGTCTCAACATGCGATAGATTTATGCATAGAGTCTATAATGAGCAATTTGTCATGTTGCAACTCTTGAGATAATCACAAAAAGTCATTGAGCTCATTTACGAACAACCAGAATTTTATATAGAAATACGATTGTTATCATTTTTAAGTATGCATCTTAAGGTGAATAAAAAATTCAGCAAACCAATCATAACTAAACTGCTGAGACCTATAGTTAGCATCTTTTTAGGTGTTCGGTAATCTTAAGAAAGTCTCCTTATCGATTCAACATAAACTCAAACAGACCGGTATCAATTCAGATAGTTGGAAACAAAAAGTGATGAGTTGACCAGTAGATATATTATCTGTGTACATTCAGTACAAGATTTAAACTGTTTTTTTTATCTTCTATAGTGAAAAAAGTCGGTTTAGAATCGAAAATTTATTCAATGGCCTACGCGAGTAATTTTTCTCTGATTGCATCACATTCAAATGTTCGCATGCGCAGTTCATTTCTATTCGTTTACAGCTGGTGCCTTTTTTTTCTGATATTGTGTTTGAGAGCTGCTTTCACAAACACGATGCTATTATTGATAATTTATGCTCATAAATATTGAGATCAATTTAACAGTTTCTTTTTTTTTTATTTGTTTATCTTTAATACAAATAAGAAAAAAAAACATAAACAAGATTAATTCGGTTTAACCATAGTTAATGATTTTCCTTCATTAGCTTTGACTTTGTTCGCACATTGTTGTTCAATATTTTTTGCGATATCGGTCGTTAAACGTTGTTGTACAGCTTCAAGACCAGTTTTACCAGTATTGCCAGCTGTTTTCTTTTTTTTATGCATTTTTGTTCTTGATACTTTGCCTTGGCTAAATTTATTTGCTGATTTCTTTTTGAAATTTGATGGTAATTGAGCTTTTGGTTTCGATTTTCCTTGCGGCATGTTTTTGAATAATCTAAAACAAGTGAAAATAAAAAAAAATTAGAATACACTTTTCAATAGATTTAATATCAAGATTTATTTGTCCACGAAAAAAGATCACGTAAAACAAGGCACTGCGCTGAATCTTCTTCATTCTGTGGTCGATATAGAGATTGCTCTCCATCGTGATAAATAAATCTAAATGACGATAAATATAGATTTTAAATATTACTTTTCAAGAAGACTACATACGGAAAACGTAACACCCATATAGAATCTTCTGTCAGATGTATCGGTTGAGTGTAACTTGGAAAAAATATTGGGCTGCTGGGACCACCTGGTACAACTTGCGGATGAAGTACACATTGAATGGGTGTTGCTGATGATGGTGTTACAACGAATGCACGCATTAGTTGTGCCCAAACACGTGCGCCACTAGATAATATTCGACAAGAACATGGAGTATATAATGGCATATCAGACCGAACTAATTTAGCACCGTCATCCTATTTTGAAAAACAAAATGCTTGAGTTTAGAGAACATCTGAAAATGAGTATAAACAAACTTTGACGGCTCCATTTTGACCAACCCGAACGACATGATTAGGTGATGAACAGAGAAATCGATGGCCACGGGGGCATTCATATTCGCATCCAATATAAATACGAATAGTAACGTCCCAAATTGATGAACTTGCTGCACCTGAAAATTCATTGTGCAATTATTGATGTGAGTTTTTGCTGTTCACAAATGTTAAAAGAAAAAACTGAATACTTAGAAATGAAATGCTATTTAATGGTAATCACTAGTTTTAAAGTGGGTTGCTCTGACAATAGATTGCGCTCGTGGGAATTTTTTAAAATTGTTTTATGAAACACGATCGAAAAGCAATGTTCAAGTGTATGTGATAGAAATTTACATTCACTTCACATGGTTCATGATAGACTTTGTTTGTATAGCATCGATGGCCAATTATATAGATAGAGAACTCATTCTTTTCCTTCATATGGAGTAAGTTTTGTTTGAACAACTTTCAAGAGTAGCTAACCTCGTCGATTGTTTTTATAACTACGTGTAGCTGTTGTTCGTTGTTGATGATATTGTGCAGCACCACCACCACCACCACCACCGGCATTCGCGGCTGATGCTTGATTATTATGTGGATTTATATCCCATGGTATCAAATGATTTAAACCAGTCAAAAATCCTGGTTGTTGAAGACCTAAGAAGAAATTTTAATATGCAGCGAGTCGAAATGAGTTTGATTAGTTATTCGAGAATATTTGGCTTTTTTTTCACTATAATCTTTAATTTGAATTCAACAGATAAACAAGGTGTATCGCCAACATTTTATTATCATTCTCAGCATTAAATAAAGTCCCGAGAAAATGACTCTTCAGTCGACAACTAGCATTGTTTTTTATCGTTTCTTCCTTATTTTTGTTCATGAGTGCGATTTTCAAGACGTTTTGTGAAAACAATAGAAAACTTGAGTATAGTTTTTAGTTCCAGTCCCAATTATAACGTTTTCAGTAAAAACATTTCATATACATGTAGAAATAGCTGAACCTATTCTTGGTTTTTTGTTCTTCAGATACATAATCTTACTCTACAGTAGAAGAATTAAACGTTCAGAAAAATACTTTCTATCACTGCTAATTAAATTTCATTGGTTCGTGCCAAGCCAGTAGCTTTCAGTATACACCTGCCTATCAAAGGATAAAGTTTTAAATTACCTTTCGTCGGTACGTAATCTGATGCTCGGCCAATACAACATAAACTCCAAGAACTATGTCGAGGTAGTAATCCTGGTGGGCAATCTGAATGTGTCATACCATCGAGATATTCAGTTGTACTTGGAATAGGTTGTTCATCATCAGTACATGTAACTGTTTTATGTTTGTCTGGTTTTTCACCAGTTATGTTATCTAATATTGGCTGTTCATTGTCTGGTACAGGTGAATAAAGTGCAACTGACGCCGATTGACCTTTTATATTCAATAAGGTTATATGCATATATATTAATCAATTAAACATTATAGAAAGAAGGCAATATTTACTTAATTCAGATGCGCCACTTAGATCATCAGTAGTACTGGGAACTTTCAATTCATTTTTATGACTATTACCTAAATGAAAAAAATAAAAAGTTGAGTCTTTAAAGAAGGCATTTTTTTTTGTTTTGCTTTGAATACAAGGTCGTGCTTCTGTTGATGCCACTGGTCCTCGAAAGATTGGAAATTCAAAATAAATTGGTTTAACTGATAACATTTTATTAACATCTTGATAGAAATCATAATTAGCTTCCTAAAATTGATCAAACAATAGTATAGAAATTTTTCGTTTTCAAATGCTTTGAAATTACTTTTAAGTCAAATGGATCTTCACGTTCTTGTAAAATTTGACCACAATTACTGGCTGCTATTAATTGAATCTTTGAAGAATAAAAATTCAAAAAAACGAATATACATTTTTAAACGCTTACTTTACTATTGTGTGCTCTCAAAGGTAGATGTGCAAAATTTGTTGAATCATTTGTATTTTCCTCGCCAGGTATGCGATGTAACTAAATAGATGCCATAGTTATATAATTCTCTAATGTTAAATAGTTCTCTTGTTTTGAGAAATTCAAGCAACATAATAAAAGTAATCGACTTTCGTATTTTACTCAATAGAAATAAAATATTTTCTGTTGATAGTTTTTCTTCCTGAGAGCTTAGAATTCAACCCAAATTTGCATATTGAACTATTTTATAAGTATTCAAAAATTATTCATACTTCGTTTTTACACGGATTTCTTGTAAGACTAATCGCTTCACATAATTGCCTTCCATCATGCCATAAACGTGTACATTGTTCAATAAGTTGTTGTACATATCGTTTGTAACTTGAACCGCGTGCATAAGTTGCAAAAAATTCAATTGTTGCTTGCAACTAAAAACAAGAAAAGATTTTTCCAAAACTTAGCTAATCAAATTCATTTTTGTTGTTGGATACGAACTCGTTGCTCATGAAAATGTCTTGTATACCTCGATGGTAGACCTTCTTCATAATATTTAATAGCCATGGGTAGATATTTTTTACATCGTGTTTCATTTAGTTTTCCATCTGGATCAATATTAGCTCGAAGCATACCGAATGATTGACGCATAACTTTATTTGTTGCTGGCATTGTTTCGAATAATTCACGTATAGTCGTAAATAGATTTAGCCACACTGAATATGTACATGACTCAAACAATGATGATTCACTACGTGCACCACCTGATATACCATCGTTGGACCAGCCATCTGTCAGTGCCTCTTCAATATGACGAAATAGAAAACGTTTAAAAGCTGCTGTATCATCTTGTTGCTGAACATTTGCACGATTGAATAGATTTGTATTACTTGCTAATAGATAAAAATAAAGAAAAAGAATTATAAGAAAAATCGTTAAGAGTATATTATTTACAAGAATCTTTTGTTTGTTTTACAAAACCTTGTAAAATGCCTAGTAACTTTTGTGTTTGTCCTAACGATGAGGATTCTTTATAACAGCGATGAATAAACACAAATGGTTGTTTATGCGCAATCGTAAACAATGCAGAGTTACTACAGAATGATAAACAAAACAAAAAATAGTCTTTCGAAAAAGCTATTATTTCAATAGAATTTTACATTTGATTTGAAATAACATAAGAACATCGCAATGCATTGAAAATAATATTTTCTAAGCTAAGTGCCATATTGATTAGTTTCTGATCATCATCTCGATCTCCCCCGCTCGGTAAATCATTTCCTTTATGATGATGATTTTCAAAAATAAATAATGCACGTGGTACGCATAAACGCCCATCGCTCATCATAACATCAGTTTCTTTTAATCCACTATGCGAACGAATGGCTTCTAATATAGCTGATTTTGTTTTGTGACGTAAAAGTTCAATAATACGAAAAAAACGTAAATAATTTAAATCAAATGTATGTGATGAATGAGAAATCTAAATAAGAATAAAATTGGCTTAGAACTCATCCTATATATGCATTTCTAAAAATAACTTACAACAATAATATGAGATAGAAGAAAACAAATAAGACTTTTCTTTATAAAATTTGCTTGTTTATGTTCCCATAATTGTGCAAAATTTTTTATCGACGTATCATCATTAATATTATCGATTAAATGTAATAATTGATATGTATCATGAAATGAACGAAGATGAATATATATTGTGTTATTCAAATGATCATAATAATATTCAAAATCATCTTCATTATTGAGAACGCAATGTTCTTTAAACGCAGGTATTTGAATAAGTTGATTGAATTTCCAAGATTTATTACATTGTTGTTCAAATAAAGTGCTTTTACCAATTAATGATACAATACATAATCGATTTTCTTTTCTACCAGAATCATCTACCATATCAGTTCTCTTTTTATTTATTTGTTGTTGTTTTTTTCTATCAAATATCTAGAGAGTAATATATTTTTCAGGTTCCAAATCAGCTATTGCTAAATTTCATCAAAAATAAATAAATAGATAACATTTCAATTTTTGCATTGGTAAAATTATTCATTTTTTCAAAGATGCAAAAGGACAGAAGAGTCTAAGCAAAACATTAGATGGAAATAAGCCAAAGCAAAAAGCAAAAACAAACTGCAGTATGAAAAGAAGAAAAAGAAAGAATTTCAAGATTTAACGAATGGGAAAATATTATAAGAAAACTAGTATTCTGTTTTTTTCTTATATACCAGCTAGCAGAGTAAGCACACATTTAAAGAACAACAATGGATAAAATATCTATACAATGTCTTAAAAGTAATAAATAGAAAGAGGATGGCACAAGAACAAAAAACAAAATTATTTTTTGCATATAATTAACGTTCGATGTCAACTAGAAATTTTAAAAAAGGCACACAACAAAGTATATATATATTCAAAGTACAGACAATTTATTCGTTATTTGTTTACTACTACTGTTCCACATGATGATGATGATGATGATTATAATATTATTTTTCCTTAGAGGATTTCAACATAAGTAGCTGGATAAAGACCAGTACGATTTCCAACGCGTCCTCTACACCATCCTTGATCATCCTCGTCTTCCAATTTAGTAAATACATCACCTAGAAATGTAAAAATAAATAGATTGATAAATCGTTTTCAAAGCAAAACAAAAACGAAAATTTACCTTGTTTAAATGTTAATTCATCTTGTTCTTGTGCTTCATAATCGTAAAGAGCTCGTACAGGTACACCGGCACTATTATCAAGTGATGAACCACCTGCTGATGCTGGCGATTGAAAAGAACGATGATGTGATGATGACGATGAATCAACATTATCGTCATCATCTACAAATGGATTAGCCGCTGCTGGATAAGGTGGTGAATGAACATCATGTGTTGAATATGGTGGTAACGATGGATAACCACTATTATTTGAGCTAGAGAAAAAAGAGAGAGAAAGAAAACGTAAAATATTAATTGATCAATTGAATATTAAAAATATGCATGCACATCATGACAGTAAATATTTGAGTTAGATAACTTGTCATGCAAAGAGTAAAGCTGAAATTTTTTGATGAATGCTCATAATAGCTTAAAACATAAAGCAAGGAGAAATGCAAAGAAAACAACAAACAAACGTGAAGCTTAGATTTGCAACTCTCTACCCATTATTCGTCGATTTTTCTTTTAGTGGTGCATCATTATCTTCGTCATCTTCATCGAAAGGGTTCGCATTGCTTGCAGTACTCGTATCCAACGTCGGATAAACAGTTGAACGTGCGTTTTGAACTGGTGATTGATTTACAGGACTACAGACAAAAGGAGATGATCAATTGAATATAATCATAAATGTAAAAGCAAAAAAGAAGACATTTACGACGGCAACTACGATTCATTCTAAATTCATAATACATCGATAGAAGCTAGTGCTTTGTATAGACATCAACATTGATATACAACATAAAATTGTTAATTGAATGGTGAGTAATTTCTATATTGCTTCAAATTTAGTAAAAACAGAATGAGATTCTTTATACGTCTATATCAAAATAAATGAAATATCGAATTGTATCGACTATATATTTCTTTTTACAACTATTTATTTGACTTCTATTCATGTCAAAAGTATCGAGTTTATGAGTCAATATATTCTGAAATTTTTAGAGTATATTGAATAATAGCCTTTTATTTTGCTACGTGTCGATTTGCCAGTAATAGGATCGAAAACAAATATTGAATTATTTGACTTATTTTACACAGAGATTATACTTAACCTAGACAAAAGAAAATAATACTAATATCTTACAAAGTTGATAAACGATTATCAGTAGATGAAGGATAACTTGGTGGTCCATTACTATTCGAACGAATAGCAGTGACAACAACTGGATTTTCTCGTTCCATTTCACCTTTACCACGGCGACCAAGTGTACGATGTGATTCTGAATATTCCTAGAAGAAAATAATGAAAATTTTAATATCATATGACGACAAAAAAAAACAATTTTTGTTTTCAATTCGTCAATTATACGTTAGCAAATAGAGAGAAAGAGCCAAGCAAGAGATAGAAACAAAAATAATACAATATATATATATGACCAATATAGAAGAAATATATATATATATATATTTATCGTCAGTATATAGACATCAAAGAAACCAGTATATAAGTTGTTGTCTTTTTTTCTAATAGTGGGAGGCTAACTATATGTCTATTTAAAATTTATAGGTATGTGATGATCTACTTCACGCTTGACAAGGCCTCGGCGCATGCGTGTAACAACAGCAGCAGTTCGTCGCATCGATCGACGAAGAGTTGCATATGAATCGCCAACTACAACAGCAGCATTCGTTTCACTAACGATCTCCACTAGTGGTCGTCGATAGTATGTTTCATAACCCAACGATAAATCACCAGAATAAGAAAAGTAATTATGTTGTAATTGTTGTTGTTGTTGTTGTTGATGATGATGATGATGATGGTAATGATCTAACTTTGTTGACTCCTAAGAGGTGGCAAGGCTGATAATCGAAATAATAGAAGCGAGAATAAAACAAAAGCTTTTGGCAAATTTGAGAGAAATGATGAAGAAGCATACACAAATTTATAAGATCAGTAAGTGACAGAGAAAGATAGCTAATGAAATACCTCAAATACTGGCCAATTCATTTTCATTGTCGCACCATATGTATCCGACCACCATGTTAAATCTTTATCTGGGTCACAATTTTCGATTGTATGAGAAAATTGCTGAAATATTGGTGATCTATGAGAGAGAGAGAGTAAGAAAAACAAAATTTCAAGTCTAACATCAATAAAATTCAAACACATTAATTTTGAGTATTTCCGTTTTCTTTCTCATTCAAAACATTATTAGTTAAAATTAGCGATAATTTTTATGTATTTTAGATAAATACCGGATGTTGACATGACAAAAGCAAAATCTTTTTTTATCCTAGTTTCACTAGATAACCTAATCGATGTTTTTCTTTTCTGTTGACATTCATAACACAAATATGGACTCTTATTCAGCTTTCATCTTTTCTTAAATGAAACTCAACATACACAAATATTCATATGACTTTCGAACTATGCTGCATCATACTCACACTTATGGTGATAATCAATCGTTTTTATGTGTACACATTAAATAGATCATAAGTGTCTGTAGCATAAATTAAAAAATTAGAATGCCTTCATCTCCACTACAACTAAAGAGCTATTTAACAAATTTTGTTTTATTTCGAAAAATAGATTTGAAGAATTATAATTTAATTTACTAACATTACTTTTAAATGATCTCATAGATACAACCATATTGTTATTTAACATAAGGAACTTTAAGAATAATATTATATTAAAGCGCATAGAGCAATAGCAGAAAATTAATCATTTTAAAGGTTATCGATTACAATATATATCTAAATATCGGTTTCTTTTTGAAAAATCGATATCTAACAAAATTAAATTGTACATGTGAGTCATTGAATATGAAGTCATATAATCAAGCAAACTAATCGTAAAAGTCTGCACGATATATGTCTATCAATTTATTTAATGAACTTAACAAAGTTCACTTTACATTTTTTTTTGCTTATTTTCATACGATTATCTTTTGTAAATATCTCTAGTGGATTCAAAAATACTACTTCAACAGAGTATTTATTCATGCCACGAGTATTAGAAAAACAAGCGTCTGAATGGTGCACTACATTAAATTGAAGGGGAGCTATTTAAAATTTTATTTATGACTAATTGCATCTATGTACGAACGAAAGTATTTGAGGTGTCCTTAAAAATATTAGAATTTTTCTTTGCTTACCTTAATCGACTAGTAATATCTAGACATTTTTCAGTATGACTTAGAAATTCTTGAAATTTAACAAGACGATCTTTTTCAAATGCTTGACACCGGATAAAAACCTTTTTTTTGTTTTAAAAGAAAGAAAATCAATCACAAAAAAAAGACAAAAATATATCATTCATATTTACATCGTTCATATCATCCATATATTTTGGATTAGCTCGATTGAGATCTTGAAGTGCTTCAGAATATTTTATTTTAGCAGAATCTTTATCTTTACGACATCGTTCAACTCTCTCAACGGCTTTTGAACGCTGAAAATGAAAGAACAATAAATTTTCTGTTCTCATATTAATATCGGCGTAGTCGTTTAGCTACTTGTTCTTGTGGAATCGAACCATCCAATTTAGCATTATTCTCTTGCGTTTCAGCTGTTTTAAGACCTTTGGTTGCTACATGATATTCACGTTTATATTTATCAACTTTAGTATACAATTTAGCCCACGGTTTTTGTGCCTATTGAAAGCAAGATTAAATCATAGGATTAATTTGTTTGCCTAATAAACACACAAATAGATACGAACTCTTTTAAAATCTTCGTCGAATTCTTTTGTTGATTTGACATGCATCATTGATTTAATATATTTTCCTTTTTGCCATGTTTTTATCGATGGTATAACATCATTTTGTAAATCATCATGAACTGCTTGATGCACTTCAGCTGTTGCATCAGCTTCAGACATAACTGCTTTCCAAGCTGATGTCATTGAACCGAATTCCGATGCTGATAAAATGAAAATATTCAATAGAAAATAGATATTCAAAAGAAAAGTTCATTTACATTTTGCTACATAATCAGACCATTTTTTTGACCAACTTTTAAGCATTTTTGAAAATGTTTTTTCAAGTTCAGCTCGTTCACCTATCATACTAATGAGATCAGTTGTTAATTTATTGCCGTCATCACAGCGTTTTACTGCTCGACTGTATTTACCAATCTATGAAAGATTGAATTGTATAAAAAATTTCTTTCTTTCTCTTTCTATGGTGTTGTACATACCTCCCAAAATGAATCGGTTAGTGGTACATATAGATCATGTTCCGCATTTGATTTATCACCGCTTAGTGCATCCATGACAGAATAATAATAAATAGATTGAAAAAAAAATCAAAGATGAAACAATCTAAAACCAAAATGAAAAAGAAAATAAAACCCAATATTTTCTTTTGTAAAGCAGATTAGTTTTTGCATCACTATCGATATATCACAAAATTGAAAAATCCTGTCATTTAATCTTTGGATAAATGTCATCTCATGGAGCGCTTCTATCACGCGCACCCAAAAATAAAAACACATTTATTATCTTATGATGTATAAACGCGAGAAAGAATTATGAGGTAAAGAATAATTATAAGATGCGGAATCGACAGTACGCCTGTTGTTGTTAATACAATACGTACATATCATTGATGAAGCAGAAGTTGTGATATTTTCTTTATTCTGATTAAGACGAGTAAAAATGAAAATAATGGTTTATGAAGATTTCTGTGGTCCTACTACAGAAAAAACATTCATAAAAAAGTAATGAAAATTTTTAAATCTAAAAAACTATAGAAATCCATCAGTACAACATTCTTGTTTGCCAGATGCTGGTCAAATGAGCCATGTAATTTATTTACATGTAGCGGTCGTTTTCTTTTTCTTTCTCTCACATTTTCGATCAAGTTTCTCTTTTTATTCTATTTACTCTTATTCTCTCTCTCTCTCTGTGTTCTTCCTCTTCTCTCATACCTTTTTTTAGTATTCTAGATTTTACCAAGAAAAAACCACGAAGATATACAAGCAAAATGACGTCTAATTTAAATTTCTTTTCTATTGTTAGTCTCGATAAATTAGTCTGTAAACACAAACGACTTTACATATTAAATCCTTGACTGGCGTCCTAGAAACAAACGAAATAGAAAACAATAAGATACGTATGAATAAAAATTCTATGGCCTATCGGTAATAGACAATCATCATATCGTACATCTTTGCTAATTGAACTAACGGCTAAAATATTACATACGAGACACTTGCTTATGATCGTCGTATTTTCCACATTTATTTGCGTGTCTCTCGAGCAATAAAATAGATCATGCTTATTTTTTGCCAATATGATAATAGGCAATATATTTAATATCTATTTCCTTATACCGCGTAAAAGCATAGAATTAAAACTAGATCTATAATTGATCAGTGGAGAAAGAAAATATTATTGATTGATAAAGCGAAAGAAGCAATACCTATGCACTATGACTATTGTTATTATTGTTCTTATTTTGCCTCTTCTGTTCATTCACAGTTCAAACCAATCAATGGCTTATCGACAACATCAACACTACGACGCCTCGACAACAACGTTATGTTAGAAAGAATATACCTTTATACATACGAAAAGAGAATGAATTGAAGTATGTGAACGTATAATTGGTTGGAGTTCATCTCCGTTGTTATGGTGGGAGAAAATGAATGAAGATGAGAATGAACGATTTCTTGTGATTGGTATGTGGCGTTCGATATACAACAATGTACATATGTTATTCAGCATTGACGAAAATGCAAATGAACTTGAACTCATACGATCATCGACTCAATTGATATTGACGCTCGTTTTTATTTTATGTTGGTGAGAGTATTTGGATTCAAACTTTTCCCACTTGAAAATTCTTAGTTTAATCGTTTGGAAACAACAATTTCGTAATAAAGATTTGCCATGTGTGATTCATTTCTACCTAATTTCATGAATCATTTTTAAAAAAGCGAAACTACTCTTACCCGAAACGATGTTCGATTAAGACTTTTTCGTTAGTATGAAGGTAATCGAAAATTGCCTAGTCCTTGTCTATAACCGAAAATAGCTCAAGTACCAAAGTGCTTATAAAAAGCAAAAAATGAATACCTGAGCACGAAAAATTTGATGACTAAGCAAACAATAATAAACAGACAGAATGAGAAAAAAATGGTGAGATAATAGGAAAAAAGGCTCTTCTTACTTCATTGGTGTTTATAAAATGTTCAAAAATAACTAATTGCATCATATTTTATATCATACGATAATTTTATTTTAAAAAGAATTTATAACCATAATTCTCATACTTTATTTTCGTGGATTAACAGATGTCGCTAAATAGATACCAAACGACCTATCAAAATTTTCTGGTATAAGAATTAATTGTGTCGTGTCGTGTTAGAAAAACAGAGAACTTGTGTATATCTTTGTTACTGAATTCTAAAACTTGCTATTTTTATAACTAGTAATAATGGCATCATTATTAGCTCGTGGTTTATCCCAATTAAAAAGCAAAGAAATGCGCGATTATTTAACGAGGTAAAATATGAGATATTTTAGAAGTAATGTATCTATTTTTTTAATACAAATTTTAGCACGGTAAGCAACAAAATATTTGATTTACTTAAATGTCTATGTCTATGTTTATTCGATTCATGGGAATAGCATTTCTGGGGACCTGGTAAATATAATATAATTGAGTAATCATAAATTTATCGAAAACAAAATCTATATATTTTTAGTTGCTAATTGGGGTTTACCGTTAGCTGCTTTAGCAGATTTGAAAAAAGATCCTGAAATTATTAGTCCAAAAATGACCGTTGGTAATACTGGAATAAAAAATCACTTGTTTTGATATTTTATTTATTTAATATTTTTTTCTTGTTACCTAGCGTTATGCTTCTATTCAATGCTATTCATGCGATTTGCTCTTCAAGTGAAGCCAAAAAATCGACTTTTGTTTGCCTGTCATTTTGCCAATGAATGTGCACAACTAATGCAATTAGCGAGATTTCTTAACCACAAGTACAAAAAAAATTTTAATTTGTTTTTCTTTGTTATCATTGTGGTTTTTAAGGTACGGTACACCCAAACCAATGAAACAATATCAAGTTCCATCGGATCTCGTTCAGTCAAAATAAAACAACATAGTCCGGTCAACCTTGATATTTAGCAAAAAAGAATAAAACAATTCCATACGAGAAAAGCGTGCTAGTTTTTTAAAATTTTGTTTGCATTAGCATTTACTTTTCTTCCCTGTCTTTTCTTGTCTACCATAGGTTAGATTAACAGAATCTGTCAGGCATTCATTTAAGTACTGAATCTTCATTAAAACATGGTATCATGGTGAATGAAAAAGTGGATTTAAATTTATGAAAGATGAAAAGTTTGTTTCTAATGAAATAGCATTTAACGAATGAAAAGCTTAGAAGAAGAAAAACATGATTGCTGAACTTTGTAATTTCATTCAACCATTACATATAGTGAAAAATTGCTTGATAAATATTGTTTCCAATGAAAAAATAGAATTATTTGGAAAAGAATCGAAAATAATTCTACTAACGGCTCATATTTACTCAAAATACTCGATTTCTATCCTGCACTGATATTTTTCAAAAAGTCGCAAAATCAATACTTTTGATTATCACTTTTTATATTATTCATGACAAATTGGATTCATACTTAAATGAACATGAATTTGATGGTGGTACTTTTCTCTTGCACGACAAAGACTTTAAAAAACAAAATATCAAAGCTGTGAACGAAATATATTAGGAACAACTACTATCAGAATCTAATTTGAAACTTTTACTGGTAATATCAAAGTAATATTCTGCTGCATCAGATAGATCCATGTGGAATGAGAGTGCACCAAAGTAGAAATGTGTTTCATTGATCTTTACTAGCTGTAAGGAATTTTATTGGCAAAACAAGTGGAGCGCATCTTTGGAATACTTTTTATGAAAATAATTGAAAAGGTTTAATTATGTTTTTCTAGTTCTTTTCACAGTGTTTTATTTTAGTAATCAAATTATATTTCCTTTCAACTTGATAACAATGGAAAATGTAGCAGTGAACCGTAACTTCACAACTGACTTGATTGATATTGGAAATTAGATATAAGTTTGAACTGTTGATCAAAGTGAAAGATTACGTTTGGTTGCAACATCTACTTGGACAAAATGCCGAATTCGAAGCACAACCATCAACTATGTCATAAATGACTTTCTTCGTCGTACTCTAAAGAGAACCACCACATAGTCATGTTTGTCAAGCCTCACGAACATAAACGATTATAAGTTTACAATTCCTCTTGAAGACTTGTGAAAGTTTGAGCGTAAGAAACGAAAATGACTTCTGTTTCGGAAGCCATCCGCATCAAATAATGCAGGCTGGCAAACTCAACTGGCCGTTTTTCACTAATGAAAAAACGTTTCTGAATCGAAGAGCTACAAAAAAAACTTTGGAATAATGGCAGACTTGTACTTAGTGATACTTATTAAGGTTTACATATCAGTATCAAGTTCTTGAAGAGCAACGAGAAAGATTCTATGATAATATTGCTATTCATCGGAAGTCTACAAAAAAAACGTTCTTAGTATAAAAACTATATCACAACTTTTAGGAATACTGATACAATTTACGTTAAAAATTTCTACGGCGTACAATATATATATTGAGCATACGAAGTGACTTCTCTCTTGTAATTCTAGTCATGATAATGGAAAATCAGATCATTTCTATATAGATTTTGAGATACTATAATAATAAAATTGTATATATTAATCTGAATTGAGTTAAGCTAATGGGAGGTGATTCCGATTAAATCCAAAAATGAGGGTATACCAATTACGAATGCATAAGTTGTCTGTAACAATTCTACAGAGAATCTATCTTGACATCAAATTTTCTCTTGGTATAAACGAAGACGATGAGAAACTATTGATAGATGAAAAATCATACAAAGAAAAACTAACGATTATATGCCATTGAAGAACTATCAATCTTTTTAGTGAACGTTGATTAAGTAAAGAAACAAATTTTAACAAACAAATAAATTCGTCGTTTTAATCATTTTAGTATCGAAGATTATTGACTATCGAAGTATTAGTTGAATTATAGTGAATACTTTTATTCAATTACGAATTTAGAAATTTATCTTATGTTGCCAGTAAAATATTGTCCACATTAATGTCAACCGACAAGCTCGTACTAATATTATACCAATCACTATTTCATACAAAAATATTTACCTATTCGTTACACTCGATTAATTGCTGTTTCAAAGTATCGCACCATTTTTCATGACAATTAGTGCATTGCTTCATGTGTAAAGAGTGTTGTTTAGTAGTTGACGACTAATTTTCACAATATTTTTGGCATTTTTTCTTGATACCGTAAGCCGGCCCTTTTATCATTAAGATATCTGACCAATATGTTTAATTTACAAAGTTGAAAAACAGTTTATATGTGAGATTTATCGAATGAAAACGTTGACGAAAGTGTTTTTGACATAATTATGACTAGGAAAGAAAAATACGAAAAAATGGAAGAAGGTTTTAAAAAAAATAAAATACAGAAGTGATGATGGAAGCAATGGAGAACGCATTGAAATCCCATTGAGTTTTATTATACTTTGCATTTTCGAGAAAAACTTTGGTTTGTAAAGATTTCTCATCGAGTGGCTAAAATATTATAAGCCGAAAAAAAAATGATTCGAAATCCTGGAAAATACAAATGTCGTGATTGGATACTCGTACGATAAAAAAATGTCAGCTCCCTAGTTCAAGAAAAAGTATGAAAACTATCATATCATCAATTATGATGGGAAACTCTTGATAAAAGCGATCTGTCATCTTAACACACAAGCACACGCAGGTGGCCAGTGACCAATTAGATACTTTGACGAAACACAGCCAATAAATCTTATTTATGAGATTATTTTCTATGTTTATTTGTTAAAACCTTGACCTGAATGTTGTAGGTCGTATGTCTGGATAAAAAATTTTCGTACTTTGTTAGTCATAAAGGATAACAGATTATTTCGCAATATTTTTATGTCATTTATCTTGTATTTCGAAATGATTGTAAAATCATTTTTTCAAAATTCTGCTTCAAATTATTTTTTCCTTAATGTGCACACAATAATATCTGTATATGATAATATCAATATGAATAATGATTTTTAATTTACCATAATTTTTTTTTATAAGAAAATATGAAATTTCTATCGTGATTCGAAGTAAAAATTAGTAGATATAAATAGAAGTCATTCAGACCCTAGCACTAACATTTTCGTCTTGCGATTGATATCTTTTATGATTGTATGAAACCTTGTGTGCCAATTTTATATTATTATGATTCATCTATTCTGAAGGAGGCGTCAATGACATACTTTCGGTATGGGTCGAGTTGAAAAAAACGACTAACACTAATCATAATTACGAATAAGACTGCACAGGATATGGTGTCCATTGAGCGAAAATAAAAATAGCGAAATGTATTTTCAGCGAATATCTCTTCGCTCAAACTTTTTTCGCTGTTTTGCATTCGCTCAAAAATTTTCGCTAAAATTTTTTTCGCTCAATGGACACCATATCGACCACTAGATCTATCTCTAAGAAAAAGAAATGATATTGATTCAGAGCCAAAATATCGTTTTTCTTATTAATTATCTACAAAATATTTGTATGCGCTTTTATCAGCAGACAAAAATCAAAATAATCTCTAATGAATCAGTAATTAGTATCACATCGCATAAGTTATCAGATATTTATATGACTAATGTAGTGTATGTAATATGTCACTAAACTGATCGTCAGTGATACAGGTGACTAAATACATGAAAGTCAATTTTTTTTGTGTAATTGCTTGTATCTGTTTCACGTTCTCTATTTCCCTTTTCTGATTCGTTATACAAACATGCGAGCAGCAATTTTACTACTGAATGTCATCGCGCCTCAGTACAATCATATCGCTAGTTTTGCCAAATAGAAATACGAAATTGCATCACTAGATAATATTCACTGTAGATTCTGTCACCAATGATAATCATACGAGCAACAATACGAATAAAGTATCAAGCAAAAAGAAAAGATTCGACCTGAAAACTTGAATATACGATTGGAACGTTTTTTTTGGCATTTTTATACAAAAATAAATGAATAGAGTACTCTGAATATCTGTCTTTTTAATGTTAAGTTTATTCTAATTTAGCATCATCATTGCAAGTGAAGGCCATTGCGTCTTTTGTAAACAAATTGAATGAAAGAAAATTAGAACAATGATTCCGATGTCACACCATACAAATATGTATGATTCAGAAATCATACTTGTCATTTAATAATATTACAGAATATATGCATGATGACTATTTTAACATGATTTATTTTACTATTTATTTATCGTGTACTTAGATTTTTTCCAATGGCAATATGTATATATCATTTGAAAATCAGCAGATAAATATCATGACTAATAAACTGGATATGTCCTTCACTAGAAGACAAGAAAGAATGGTCTTTTCCCTTATTTTATTACCATATATACTCTACAGTGAGTCTTTAACGTAACTTCTTCGTTTTTTCTTTCTCACCTTGCTACTACCCTTCAATCATATATTTCATATATATATGCACAGTCATTTGTTTCTAGTCATTGACAGTCAGCAGTAAACACATTGTATCATAACGCATACAGCGAGAAACAAAATATATTGAATCGAACTTTGTGCATCTCTCTTTTGTCGATACGTCGTTTATTAATAACGTTACACCCCGTTCAATGCCTAAGACGGAGAAATTATTTTCCGACTCAACACAAAATATTATGAAGTTAGCCAATGAAGGCATTAGTAACAGACAAGATTTAATGCAAACATGTGGCACGGAATCTGACGAAGCATTGGAGATCCAACAAATTGAGTTGGAACAAAGGTTGATTATTCAACGAATGATTCATTTAGAATTACAAAAAGAAAAATTAAAAGGGTTATTGAATGCATTACATTTACTCGATTCTGATGATGATTCTGATGATGATGATGACCGAGTTGAAGAAGATGATGATTCAAGTATGCCGACGCAGTAGAACTAATTTTTATCGTATTTATAATAATTCTATTTATATAAATGCATTACTGTAATTTTATATGACGAATAAATACAAATGTCTGTGCCATGAAATCAATAACTTTATTTTTTTTAACTCAAGTTTTCAATGTAAATATCGAGGGTTGGGCAACATTTCGATCGGTGAGAAAAATGATCATTCCTACGGGAACAATGCCACCCAAGTCAAAAATGCTACCTTAAGAATAGAAACAACGATATCAGTGCAGCATTGGTGATTCAATGAGAGCGCACTCTGTATATTGACCACACCGAAAAAATGAGCGCAGGCATTGGAATAATGCTAAGCTTAGTTAGAATAATGCTTTATTACAGCGGAAAACTGATTCCATAGGACTTCACGTTTTATATTTTGTCCAGCGGAAAAATGAAAATCCATAGAAAAAATGCTTTCTTCTATAGGAAAAATGCTATAGAAAGATGGAATAATGCTTCATTTAAGCGGGAAAATGCTGTCAGTTTAGGAAAAATGATTTGTATTGGACTTCACATTTTATATTTCGTGCAGCGGAAAAATGAAAATCAATAGGAAAAATGAAAATTTCCATATGAAAAGTGCTATCGAGAGTTAGAATTATGCTTTCTTCAAGTGGAAAAATGCTAGCACTTTAGTTATAATGTCTATGTTTATCGCCATGGAGGAAAAAATAATTTACACTTTGAATCGGCGTTTCTGATTTGTACTTTTGTTTTCTTTTTGATCGAATTCAACTGATTGTGATGAATCCAATGAAATGACAGTAATTACGATCTACAATAAATGAATCTGGAAGATTTCAAATTACATACATGTGGATATTATATATTAAATTCGTTTTCTGTTTACAAAAATTATATCCGTTGTTTTATAAGTTTTTCTCTTTTCTCTCTTTTATCGGATCACATTCGCGTAACATGTCGTGATAATGGAAAATCATATATATGTTTTTATGTAGATGTTGATATAGAAGAAATAGTTGTAGCGCACGTTTCTCGTTTCAGCGGGAGGATTAGACAAATATTTGATCGGTGACATAAATGCTCGTTTCAAGCGGAAAAATGACGTTCAGGTCAAAAATGCTTAAAAACTAAACTTACGATACACACACCAAACAAACAAACAGTAACGAAAATATACCGTTCCCCCAATAACGCCACACCACTGTAAAAAAAATGAATTTGCAACGGAAAAATGAAAAACCCAATGGGAAAAATGCTATTGCGAATGATCTTTAGTAAGAATATTTATCTATTCGCGAGCAGAAAAATGAGTTTTAGCGGAAAAATAGTTTAGATAAATGAAACATCATTTTTCTTTTAGAAGAAAAATGGGTTCGTATGTAATCGAAATGAACATACATGTATTCACGATAAGAGAAAAATGAGTTTACACGATACTAAGGATGTTGGGAAAATTTACAGTCGGTTAGATTATGGTGGACTTTGGTTAAAACAATGATCGGTAAATTTTCAAGAAGATGGGATGCCGAAAATCATTTACGATATAAACGAAAGTTTTGATAGTTTTGTGGTGATGCTTGACGAATGTCAAAGAGCTGGTAAGAAGTTTGATTCCAATGAATCGTGGGGAAAGAAGGAATGTGAAGAATGAAAATTACTCATATTTGGTGTTTGTAAAGTTGTGTATAGCATGGAATATGTTGTATATGCACGGATATCTTTTCTGAACAGTGACGACAAACGTACTCGACATAAATTTAGTGTACACACGCTGACTTATACTTACATAGTTTGTCTTCTGTTATAGACAGAACGGGAAAAGAATTCATTTTTGACCTGGACGGCATTTTTCCGCTTGAAATGGACATTTATCTCACCGATCGATTCATTGCCCACTGCTGTAAATATCATGAACAAGAACAAATCGGTCTTTTCTTCATATCGCATTTTAGCACGACAGACTAGAAACAAAAACACCATTTCGAAAAAAGTAATGGAACCAAAACATTTCTCTTAATCGGTAATTTGAATTCGTGACATGCGAAAATTTCTTTTCACATAATTGATAATTATTTTGATATGTAACACAAAAAAAACTACAGTAGAATGATTTACATAGAACGAATAGTGCTAAACATCACATTGTAGACTTGATGATTTTATCACATTATGTTTTAATAACTTTATAAATATCCTATATCAGCATCATTAATGATCATTACAATAATAGCCTACAAGCTTTGATATTATTTTATGCTACATCGAAAATGCGTGGTTATAAACGACCGTCAGTTATTGTATGACATGACTCAATATCATACAATCATGTTTTTATGAGTGCCACACCGAGTCATTTGGTGTTATTAACAAATTGGCAAAAATGGCACAAACCGACAATATTGTTTCAACTTTTTTTGCTTCTAGTTTCAGAAGTGTTAAATTAGTACGAACAATAGAAAACTATCTTTTTTACCTAAGCGTTTTATTTATTTAACTAAAACGAGTAGATAATAATACAAAATTACAACACCCAAACTTTCATCGATTCCTTTGTCATCATTTTTAATGGATAAATTAAGCGATGACGATCAGGACAAACAGATCTTCTCAATTTCTTTGTATTCGGAGTAGAAGAATCGACAGGTCGAGGAGTATATTTTGACAATGACCAACGGATATGAGCAGGTCGAGGCGTAGAACATAAATTAGCAAGAATTATAGTTGTATCTATTCGTTTTGGTGTTGAAGTCAATTGTGGTTCAAACGCAGTAAAACTAGAAAACAAAAATTAATATACATTTTGTGAAAGAAAGTAACGTGACTTACTTCATTTTAGTTGATGTACACATAAAAGAGATCGAAAGATGATGATATAATGTTTCTGACAAGGGAATATAAAAATAAGCACAATAAGACGCTGATACTGGTATATATTCTAAATCAGTAATTACAACGTCGAAAAGTGGTTGCCTCAATAAAGCAAACCAATAACAATTTATTGGATGTGATCAAAAACGTTAATTGATGTAATTGTTCCCAACGTAAGCTGATTAACCGTTGTAGGAGAAAACAGTACAATGTGTTCTCTCTCGTTTTCATTCTTTGATTAATTAATCATGCGAATTCAACTGATAACATTAGAAAGTTGGTATATCCACGTTTTCTTTTACGAGAAAGAATAATCTAATTCTGTGATTTTGGGCGAGAAATACGCTTTTTCCCCCTTGGAGAAGTACCATAACTATTTCTTTTTGAAAACCATCTTACAAGTCTCTGCTATTGATTCATACACGAGTGTAAATGATTTTCCTGTGAACTTCTTTTTGCTTGTCTTAGTCCTGTATTTCACCGAAATAAATAAAATAACTGTATGATATATCAAAAACTGATCGTTAGAAATGGAAGGACACATATGAATATCTTTGTAGTATGTACTGAATTACGTCAACAGATCAGAACAACAGAAGAAGACGACGAACAAGAACGTGCCTGAGTAAAAAGACACAATAAACTGCAAGAGACGTCAATGATTAAATTGTATGCACAGTGATATGTATTATACATTAATATGCGCAGTTTATTTCCTGAGACAGAGTGAAGTATTTTTACTCAATCAATTGATTTTGTTTATGATTATAAATTTCTCTCTTTTTCTCTGGCAATGTGCATTCAGGCGAACACAAGAACAGAAAGTGAAGATCAAATCTACATTAATTCAAGCAATAATAAATTTTATTCAAGACAGTCTTTATTGCAAATGAAGAAATTTTTTGTTATGAATTTGAGCTTGATTGAAACGATCAGAATTTAAGAAGTAACATACTTATCGATGAAAACCTCAATCATTAGCTAGGCACATGCTAAAGTTATTAAAAATCTGAATATCATCTAATATTAATTATGAAAAAAAAAATCCTGTCGATATGACTAGTTTTTCAAGATTGGATCAATCCACTCAGATGAGCATGCACAACAATCAAATCAATGTGTAACTCGAAAAACACACAAATGAGCCATTGATTAGCTGATGATAATACAGATACAATGGGGCAACTGTGATAAATAATATTTTTATATATTCAATTATTTTCATATTTATTTATTTTATTTCGGTATCGTTTATTACATTGCTGATATAAAACACATTTACCAAGTGCACGATATATTTATATACAAAATTTTTTGATTCGGCGTGAAATCAACACGAACCGTATTCTCATTTTTAGTGTCAAAAATTTCCTTAACAGCGACATTCGACTTTATATTTCCATTGCCATCAGTAATTGTAACATGATAACTATTGTCATCGTCGGGTGTCACTGATATATCTGTTGATGATGATGATAAAGATGATTTTGATGATATATCATCGTTCGAACTATAGCCACTCTCATATGTAGAAAATTGTTCAGTTAAATTTGGTGTTAAAAGGTCTTTTAATGCGAAGCAAAAATGTGTCGGTTGATTTAATTTTAAACATTGATTCTGTATGGCTGGACCAGTTAGTAAAATATCTTTTTCTTGTATTGACTGACTATGAAACGGATTGTTTTCAGCAACAATACTAGCATAGTCAACTGATATTAAATGACGACCTAGTGTCATAGGTGTAAATGAACATACATAAGACGAACGATGACGCCGACGTATTGATACTGATGGAGAATTATCATCATCTGTTAATATCTCAACATGTAGTAAATTATTGAAATCATCCAATGGATTATCGATATAGACCTTTGAAAAGAAAATAAATATGATGGCAATAGTCGATAATGAAATAATTTGTCCGAACTCTCTTTTAGCGATGTAAATATCATATGGAAAGACAGCTTAATCGTGACATACTAGCAGAAAGATATAGAAAAACCTGTTTAAATAGTAGAAGTTACATGTAGGAAGTAATGTGTACGGGATTTAGTTTATTCAGTTCAAAGAAAGAAATAAGCTTGAAAATAAAGAATATTTAGTTAATATTTTAAGTTAAAGTTGGAACAATTACTTCTGTCATAATCAAAGTCACTATGCGTGACTGCTAGTTAATCAATATAGATATAAGAGAAAATAAACGGTAGAGATTTTAAACTCGATAGCACAATGCTTAGAAAGGCAATGTTTATTTTCCGAAATCAATCAGAAGGAGCTTTATCGAATTGACTTGTTCTTTACCCATTCTTCATCGCTGTAATACAGAAAGCGATTTCATCAACAGAAATATAATAGGAAAATTTTGAATTCACCGTTAGAACTCATATTAATTCTATTTAAAGATATCGATATCAATAAACAAATATTCAAAAGCTCATGTCTATGCGACGACCTGTAGTCGAGTTCTGGCTACGCAAGTAAGTTTTCGATATTAAGTTTTTTGCCTGTCAATACATGCAGTGTACCTTGAAATATGTGACTGTTTTAGCTGAAAAAAAACAATTTTACTTTCTCTAGATATTGAATTTCCAAGTAAACTGAATTTGTTTTCATATGTTTGTGACAAACGACTGTGTCAGAAATTTAACACTTCAACATACGATCATACTGATGTTATCGAAATATATAAGCTAGTTTAATATGACTGATATATGTGTTGACAAAATTTTTCTTTCAATATTTCTCCTCACCAAAAGTCTCCCTTACGTTTTTCAGTTAGTAAACTTATAAATAAAAAATTGACTAAACATTGCTTAGATTCTATTTTTTTTTCTTACCTGAAATTCGACAGGTCGATGAAGTATGATTTGTTTTGATAAACCGATAACACGTATACGTGGGTTTTCATGGTGTATGATGTTTTTTTCAATTTTTGCATTAAATGGTGAGCTTGAGATATCTTTATCGTTTTCAAGAATATGTATTGGACAATCACCTTCTTCTAATGGTATATAACGCACTGTTGCCATTTGTTGTTCATAATCAATTTCAGCTTGATATGAAGGTTGTAAACGAAAATGAATATTATTATTTGTTGTTTGATTTAGATCAACATAGAATTCTGTTGGTAAACCAACGATAGCACGTTTAAGACCAGGTCCAAACGGTTTTAATTTTGATAGATAATTTGATTCGTCCTGCATAACATCAATTGTTAATTGACGATCGATTTTATTGTTAAATAAAATAATTAATTTATGTTCACCAATTGACATTGGTTGATATGTTAATTCAAGTACATCCGATGATAGTGCACGACGTTGCACAACTATTGTATGACCATATGGATCAAGAATTGATAGTGAAAATAAATCAACTATTGGACTATTATAATAAGTTGCGGTTGGCGATTTAATTCGGAGGCGAAAACGTGCAATTGAATTAACAATAACTTGAGTTGAACATCCATCGCCTTCTAATTCATATGGCGGTATTTCTATTTAACGAGAAGAAGAAAAAAAGGATCCAATGAAAATAATTAATTTGATTAGATTTTTCTTTTTTGGTTTATAGGAAATTCTATTTTCTTACTTAGTTGTAATAAAGAAAATGGTTGCGAACGATACGGCGGATGTGTCATGGTAGTATATGTAGCACGTTTACCGTCAAATCAGTTCAAGAAGAAAATGGCTTATAACTGAAATTCTATTTAGTGTGCACATGCATGTTGTCGTTCTTTTTTTTCTTCTTTCTCTTTATATCGTTTGAATAAAACATATTGGAGATGATTTACTGGTATAACAAAAGTATTTTTCTCTATTCTATCGTAATTTTTCAGTCTATCGAACTGAAATGGTGATTTTTGAAAAACGTTCTTCTATTTAAGTCAAGTATTATGTTTTGATTGAAAGAATGAATAGTCAAGTCTGAGGTACATAAAAAAAACATAGAAAAATATTGATTTTTTACATTTATAATAGTACCCTAGAAACTAAGTATATTCGTCAGTGCCGATTGCTGTCAACCAAGTACGAAAACAAAACTGTTCTACTTACCGTGTTGAGATTGTTGTGTTACTTTTTCATGTAATAATAATTGTTGCTCTTGCTGATAAGAATCATAATTTGGAGTTGAATCATGTATAAAAACTGGCCATTCTGGATATTTAATTTTTATATTATTGACATAAAATGATATTCTATAGATTCCTACTTTCGTTATTGGTATATAACTGCACGAATAAAGTTTTGTAGCACCTTGATTGTATGTATTTATGTATTTTACATCTGTCGACACTTGATTTTCATCTGAATCTAAGATAACTACATCAACGGGTAGATCATTTGTTGTTGTTAATTCAAAACAAAATAATATTGTTTTATGCAGTTGATTATTAAAATTATTGCCGTGAATACCTGAACCAAAACAGTGTAATTCCGGTTTTATTGATGAAGTATTTTTTTTACGGATTACTGATGGACGTCTTAATTTGGAAATAAAATCATCAAAATAATGTTCATTCGAACATAATTCATCCAGTGCTATTTTTGAGGATGGACATACTTGAAGATATTCATCAGTAAGACAAACTATTTCATTTAAAATTCTTAATGAATCGGAACAATGTATACGATAAATATTTGGACATATTGATTCTAATATAGTATATAAACGACGTATACATGGTAAGACTTGATGAAACGAACATTGATTGTATGTTGTTTTGACGAGAGACGATTTTTTTATTTGAAGTAAATCAAGTTCATTAGAATTATTCCATATGAAATCATTCTGATCTTTCGAAAGATCAGATGCTAATGCATTAATCACACGATATTTTGGACACATATTTTGATATTTCATATTAAAGTATCTGGGAGAAACAAGTTTCTTGTCGTTAATTAAATATTGACAGGTCTAGAAGATATATACAAATAGATGAAAGTGTCAAGCAAACAAGTCGATTCGCCGATAAAAAGAAGCAATTGTGACAACATAATGATTATACATCACGTATTGAATAACTATACGTCTAATTATTTATGTATCACGAAATGTGTCCTTCATTTTGTGCATACCTACGACAGACCAACTACAATTATGTATTGAAAAGAAAAATAGCTTTCAAATGCAATAAATGGAACAAAAATAAAAGTGAAATAGCACGCTGATTACGATTTTAATCTTGAAAACAATTACCGCTAAAAGATTGAATTATATGGCTATTTTCTAGAATAGAGCAAACCATAAATATTGTTGACTCTCGATTCTATTTTTTCAGGGATGCAAACACTTCGCCGTCTAAATATTATTATTAATTATGGTGTCATTTTTAATTTGCGATAACACAAATAAAAATCTTATAGATTACTATCTCTATTATACTCGTATATTGCAGTGTATCATAGAATCGAGTTATTTTTTACGTTAACCAACGAAAAAAAAAAAGCTTCACTCAATTCATTTTGGTTTCATGTTGATACTTGCATACAATAAGCAGTCAAATTTACAATAAAATCTTAGAAATATGTAATAATATTTCAATATATTGAAGTATTATAGTAAAATACATCGTTATATTTTTGTTAATAGCCATTTTACTCTCATGTTCATTGAATATTGATTCAAAAGTGCCAGTATAATATACAATGTGTTTTATGTACATTGGTTCAGTGATGAATAATAATTATCAGATGGTTATATACTTCATATTTGTAATTATAGTTCTTTATCTTTTATGTAAACAACAGCGCCATAGGTATTTTAGTTATGTCATATAAACTGACGTTTCAATGACAGAAGAAGAAAAAAAAACGATTATATAAAGAAAATATTTTTTTTCTTCTAATTAAAGCACATTCTTGAGGGTGTACACGATTTACGGTCCACGGATTTACTGTCCATTAATTGCTTCGAGGAAGATAAATTAATAAATGAGTAATGGGCTTGCCTGTCAATCCCTTTTCTGAACAAAAAATTACGTAAATGTTGAAAAACAAAAAAGTCACCAATGAGCAAACTATTGAATAAATTTTCAATTTAAAATGACGGATGCTCATCAAATTGAGGGGTAAGATAGTCATTAATATGACAATATATATATATAAATTCAAAGAACATAATTTTCTGATCATACTCTTGCTAAAAGTGTCTGCTATATTTACTGAATCTACCCATGGTAAACGACAATTCTGCTCCCTCGATTATCGATATTCCATCATTCTTAAAAGCTGCTGGACTTAGATATTTTCAGCGTCCACCAAAAAAGTTGAACGTCCATTCATCTTTTTTGGGTTATTTATTAAGCAATTCTTTATTCTCTTTGTTATTTCCTCATATATTTGCTCGAATTCTTTTTTTTCTAAATATACATAGTTGATTGCGATAAATATTTTCCTGCTCATTTCTATTCTTCGAGGCAATCAATGGACAGTAAATCCTGTAAACCATTCAATTAGCCAATGTGTGATGTAAGCTATATTTTCTATTGTATATAATCATCCTTCAATTGGTCTCAATCGTTTTCTGTTTTCTTTTCTTGCATTGTATTTCTTATAATAAATAACGATGCAATTATATTTTTAATAGTCATAATGCATTGTTTGTTCTTGCTAAATTGTTAACGTCGAGACATCCTTCATTCTTAGTCTTTATGTATATTTTATAATGTTGACCTTGTTCTCTGTGTTTAATCTTGTAACTCTTAATATATTTTTCTTTTTTGCCGACTGCAACGATTTCTAATAATGAGAATGTAAAACTCTTAAGCTTCTCTATGAATTTCAATGACTTACATACGCTGCCGTTTGCACGCGATGAGTACTTTCATACATATAATTCTGATTTTTTTTTTTTTCTTCTCTAGTTTACTTAATTTCAAGCTTTTCCCCTGATTCTGCAATAAGATTTCTGCCTTCTAGAAGTATTTTATTTTCATTTGAATGTTTATGAATTACGCACAGGTGAAGTTCTATGAATGAAACATAGCCGTTGCATATTACATCATCCCAATTGACAATAGAGAACAAATAAAATAAATGATTGAAATTTTGATGAGTGTTAAGATGACAATCAGCTTTTTATTAGCTTGTGATTCTGAATTCAATGAAACCAATCAATCAGAAGAATAGAATTTTGAAAAAAATTAAAAAATTCAATTTCATTCAGCATGAGTGCCATCTTTTCAGAAATCTATTTATTCATTTTTTAACAACTGAGAAGTACTAGTTACGCATGACAGATAGAAAATACTTGAATAAATCCTTTTTAAAACTATAATGCAATTTCATCCATTCATTTTTCTTTCAAGCATGATGATCAATCAAGCAAACTATTAAAAAGAAAATCACTTTTTTGTTTCATTTTCTTCTAGACAATGATAGAAAAAGAAATACTGAATAGGATGGTTCGAACTCTGATTTTTTCTTTAACCTATGTAAATGCTAATTACTAAATCTACGCAGTAATCATACGGTATTCAAATTATTATTTTTTTCTCTATTAAAAAAGTAAACTACATGTAAATCTATCAAGTGGATTGAGTAGCGTAACTAGAAAAATCATGGACGACGAGATGTAGGGGTGGTGCGTTTGCGTTAATTTAAAACTAACGTTCACGTATTAGTTAACCGTTAATATCAACGGTTAACGTTGTTAATTAGCTCGCATTAAATTAATTGGTTCACCCCTAACGACATGCCACTTGACCTGATCTAAATTTATTATTACCACTTCATAGATTATACGATTAATTCAGGTCTATTTGAAGATTTACAAATTGTGTAAACATTCAATAGCAAGGTCGTTGCTCCTCAAGAACACTTATCATTGTTGCATTGAATCTTTTATATAAATAAAAAATCATATTTTTAAAATGCACTCACATTTCTAAATAATCGGTACTAGTGTTGTTTTGATTAAGAATGACGTAGCTGTAAAGTAGCTCGGGAACAACATGAAAATCATACATAAAATATTACAAGATATGAAAAAACTATTTAATTATTTATACGATTAAAAAATCGACCAAGTACGTTCTCCGAATACATTGTGGTTCTAAAAGAGAAGTGTACCGAACGAGTTTTTGTTTGTTTATCAATAGTTAAAAATCGTTTTCTGGATATGATCAAAAAACAAGTCCTTAGTTCATAGATTATTTTGTGTAACAATCCAATATACTTGTTTAAATGATGCATACTCACGTTGACTGTTTATACCAAGAACGCGAAGTAATAGTTTTGCTTTTAAAACGAAAAGCCTTATCTCCAACTTTTTATTTATTTCGTACGTGATTATGCCGAATGATAAAAATATTACATGAGAATATGCAAAGAAAATTAGAGGAATTGAAATATTCAGCAATATATTAATATACGTAGATGTATGCCGCGAGATCAAATGCAAGATCGATGATAAAAAGATAAATTCAGTTTTTAGTCGCCATGGACATCTGCAGTGAATTTTTAACCTTAAAAAATTATTTTCAATTTTAAAACACTACTATCCTCTCGTATTAAATTTAAAATAAAGACAAATATACTATGTATCAAGATTATATATAAAATGAAATTTTTAAGATTTTGTTGTTATATTATTGTTTAAGAATCGTTGAAATTCCTGAATAAAAAAATAACGTAAGATAAGGTGCCTGAACTATTCAGGATACTTTTTTCGTTTATTCAATAAAACTAATGACTAATTCTATTATACGCTTGATGATCTGTTGGATATTGTTCGATGTGAATCTTGAGCTTTTCTTATCGTGAGTAATTGTTTCACTGTTTGTTCTAAATTAATTTCATAATCTAAAATTTGCTTTGTTTGTGTACATAAAAAATCTAGAATATCGACTAATTTTCCAAGTTCAACTATATGCGGCTGATTTGTTAAAGACTCATTTTCATGTTCATCTTGATTGTGTGCTTTATTTTCAATTGAGTTATTTATATAATTATCATCACTGCTATATTCTACTATATTATGTTTTAACCATGTTTTACTTGGTAATGTTGATTCAATATAAATAAGTTCACGAATCCAATAAGCGTCTAGAGATATTTATTTAGAGAAAACAAAGCAAAATTGAAATTTGATTTACTTGCTTTAGTTCGTGCACGCTCCATTGAACCTTGTATATCTCCAATTGTAATGCCTAATAAAAGATTCATAAAAACAATAGGCATAATAACAATAAATGGTATAAATAAAAATGCTGCTGCTGTAAATGTTGATTTTGAAAAAAATAATGTTTCGTAATCGAATTCTCCAGTAATCATCGTTGATGATTTATGTATAGCATTTACTACAGTTGCGAATGCCGGATGATTGAAAAATAACATTTTTACCGAAATTGTAAATGCAATAAGTAATGGACATGTAACAAATAATAGAAATATAAATTTAATTGATACGGATTCAACCATAACGAAAAATTGGCCGAGAATGGGGACCGAGCGATGCATAACAGCTATATTAAACCATTGTATTAAAACTGAAAATGCTGTTAATTGCCATTGCCAAGAGATAAACTCATCGGTTGTGCTTTTGAACGGTGTAAAAGCTATTGTTGTAGAAAGAAATGTTACCAATCCGAATAATTGTGCAAATAGCACACGGAAACCTCGAAAAAGAATAATTTCTAAGAAAATTTTCAATAAATTTATTATTGATAATACAACTATAATCCATCGCGTGGCTATTGCAATTGTTATTGATAATGAAACAGAGTTTGATGAGGCTTTAATATTCGGGGCAGGCATCATTAGAGCATAGAATGTTGAAACAAGTAAAAGTAAAAAAGATAATATTCGCGGAAAATAAAAAAATGGGCGATACATTTTCCATTTACGTTTCATTAATTGTTGAGCAAGAGGATGCTCAAGTAAACCATGATGTTCATTATCAAGAGCAATTATCAATGGATGATTACGGTAAAGTTGATGACTACTTTTTGTATATAATTTATTATTATCTCTGTTCAAAATAAAAGAATATATGAAATTGTTAAACAATCAAATTGTACCGGTTTTATTTTACAGATTGAGCAATGGAGTCTTTAAGAAAAAGTGTAGAAGAAAATAAGCATTTGATTCAAATTGAAGATGATTATCAAGTCTCACGATCTGCCTAAAGGCGTCTAAACTTGAATTCTCATATCTCGTATTTTAACGACAAACGAAACACGATTGAAACTGTTTGCAAGAAATCGCTACTACGTCTTGGCCGACTTTCAAAAGAGCCAACGAAAATGTGGATTAAATTATAAGGATAAAACTGTTTGTAACTCTGTCAGAAGAATCGAAGAGAATAACAGATGGTAAAATTAAGACTTACATAAAATAATCATCGAGATATCTATATTTATAAGTTGTTCGTTGAAATCTATTTCCAAGCAAATCAATTTCGTTTGTTTTCACTATTAATTTATCCAAAGTATGTTGTGCGCAATCAGGCATATATCGAATTAAATCTCTTAATGGTGTTTGATGAACATTTTCATGTGAATTTCTTATTGACGTCAGCCATTGTTCACTACTTGAATGCTCTAAAAGTAAATGTACTGTCTCGTTTTGTCGATATTTTATCCCGATTTCCAATGGATTTTCTTCGTCTTCGTTACAATTCAAATTCATATCATAATCAATTCCAATATTGTTCGAAATTAAAACTTTTACAATATCGGCAAAACCATATCGGCAAGCAGTCACTATTAATGGTAATTGTTTTCTTGATAAAATTGATTGAAATTCTCTCATACAGTTTGTACAAGCATTTATCAATACATAAACACATGCACCATGACCATGTTGTATTGCAACATGAAGCGGTAATTGACCAAGATAACTTTCAAGCAGAACATTAGCACTATGTTTAAGAAGTATTTCTATACACGATAGATGGCCTTGTTCAGCTGCTAAATGTAATGGAGTTTTTCCATCTTGATTTTGTGCATCAATATATAAACGTAGAAACGATGATGTTTGTTGAAGATTTGATTGATTAGAATCAATTGTTGCCGTAATAGAATTACTACGACTGTTCATGGTTTGTAATCTAGTCGATTGTTGAATGTGATTACAAAGAAGTGTAATCAATTCATAGTGATTATTTTGTGCTGCTATATGAAATGCATTCATACGTTGTTTATCAATTGTATCCCAACGAATACAAGGTTGAGTTAATAGTAATGAACACATGTCGATAGAACCAGTTTGAATGGCAATTAGAAATATTGAACGTTGATGTTTTGATTCTACTTGATCAATAATTGGTAAAAATTGATGATCAAAAACAGATAACAAACGATTAACAATACTAATTTGACCAGTTGATACAGCAATCATGATTGCATTCATTTGATCATGATCGGTACTTGAAATATCCGAGCCAAATGTAATTAATTGATCGATAATATCAGGTTGAGTTGTGACCGATAGAGCTGTTCGACCACGCCGATCTTTTATTTCTAGCAGAGATAATTGTGTAAGATTGTAAAATTCTTGAACGTTAGAAAGACGATTTGAGGCACATGCAATATGAAGTGGAGATTGTTTATTTGAATTTAATAGGGACGGATCAGCTCCATAATCATATAGAAGACGAATCATAGATGGATCACAAATTTTAGCTAGAATTTTAAATCATTAATATTTAAAAAAATATATATATGTAAAATGATTGTTTTAATGTATAGCTTCAAACGTTAACAAGAAACAATTTACCTGCTATATGTAAAGGAGTACCAAAGGGTTCTACTTGTTCGTTAATTAATAATTTTATATTATCACGTGTAAATTTCGTTAGAAGATATTTAACTAATAAAACATTTCCACTTTCTACTACCAAATGAAAACATGTTGCATCATTGTTAGTTTTCATAAGTAGGATTTCTTTAAAGTAACTCTCGTGTTTTAGATAAGTTAACTTAACTATATCTAAATGTCCTTTTGCACATGCATAATGTATTGGCGTCCAGGAATCAGCATCAACAGCATCAAGTTTTGCACCTTGTTCAATTAAATATTCAACAATTGAAAAATAACCTTCTTTACATGCAATATGCAATGGACGAATTCCTTGTCGATCTCTAGACTAAATTAAATGAAGAACAAAACCACTGTAAAATAGGACAAATTTTTATGGTTAATTTTGTTTTTCAATAAAGCTAGCACCTTAAAAGGGTCTATGATAGTTTGTCAATCAGATTGACAAGCATAATGTTCATAATTTAGATTGACCAGAAAATGTTAGACTAAACAATTTTTGGAAAGTCGAATTTGCATTCAGCACGATCAAAAGAATCGAAACAAAAAAATTCGAATAATTTTATGCTCACCCAGGTCGAACATACACGGTCGTATACGACGGTAAATCGCCGTATTTGGCCGTATTACAGAGGTATGTTCAGATTTCCGAAAAAGGAAATTACAGAAATTTCCGAAGCTTCCATCAACTCGATTACTACATAGCAAAGCAAATGAAAATTTTTTGAAAATATTTGAAAGTTTAGAAATTTCGGAATCTTCTGTAATTTCGGAAATTTCGCTTTGTACAGAATTTTGGAAATTTCAGAAATTTCGGAAATTGTATAATTTTGGGAAGTACCAAACAATTTAGAACACAAGTACTTGAAATTTCCAAAACTTCCAAAATTTCCTTTTTTGGAAGTCTGAACACTGCTGGTATTAAATGGCTCCGTATTACGATCGTAAATCTTCGTGCCGTATACGGCGAAATACGGCGCTTTACGGTCGTTTTTTATCGTATTTCACCGTATTACGACACGGAGATTTACGATCGTAATACGGAGCCATGTAATACGGCCAAATACGGCGATTTACCGTCGTATACGGCAGAAAGCGGCCGTACACGGCCCGTATTTCACCGTATACGGACGTCGTAAAGCTCGTCCTGGGCAGTCTTTCTATTCTACTGAGAGTCTGCTTGTGGAACATGCGAAGAATTAAGCTTCTATGTGACTCCATTGTTTTCTTAGCTGTTTTTTAATCAAACTTACTTCAATATCAGCATTTAATGCAATCAGCTGCTTTACACCAGCTAAGTTTTGACGAGCTACAGCGTAATGAAGTGGCGTAAGAAGATATTTATCACGTACATTAACATCTCCATTCGTTCTCGCAAATAGATATATAATTGGATGATGACTTGAAAGAATAGTATGATTGTATTCTTGTTGCCAAGTCTCCGAATCTTGAAACTATATGAATAAAGAATTATATTTTAAATTTTGAAAGTATATATTTATGTAATACTTGAGTTCCAAAATCATTTTCGCTTAGAACTTCATTTGCTGGGTTTAATGTATGATTTGATAAACGAAATGCTGAATACATCGGTGTTCGGCCATGTTCATCTTTTATATTAACACCTGATCTATGCATAGAAGAAGAAAAAAATTGATTCATCGTAACTTGTAAGTTTCATTTTTTTTTCTTGCATGACAGTCTTACACAAGTTCAATGTTTGATAAAAGCATGACACAAACATTTAATTGTTGATGACGAGCAGCATGATGCAAAGGTGAAAGACCAGTATCAACATCAAGTTGGCCAATGATGTTACTGGCTACTTGAGCACAGATTGATGTTTGTCGACTAAATTCAATGAATAGTCGTAAACGATGTATATCACCTTCACGACAGATCTGTAAAGAATAAGAATGAACTAAGAATTAAAACTTTATCAAATAGTTTTACTTGACTTAATAAACTTGTAGTCCAATCATAAGGTTCTGGAATCATAAATGGTACGACTTCTTCTTCTTCATTAACTTTTGCATTTGTTAAAGGAGTCACTTCTGTAGGATTTTCTTCATCAATATCAAGTTTTGATACATTTGATATCAAGTTTTGTTGATTTTCATGAACATCCATCATATAAAATGGTTTATCTTCTTCTATGAAATTCTTGTTAAAATGTCTTGTCTCTTTTTTTTTATCTTCATATAATTGACGTTATCTGACTTCTTCTCTGTAGAGAAGCAGCGATGAGAACATTCGTTCTTTCATATTTTATATATTGTTAAATCGAACTTGACACAAACGTAACTATGAATTTAGATATCTATGATTGCTAAAGTGTGTGGTGTCAAAACTATCTGGGTACATCAAAAATAGTTTACTAATACTTTTCCAGATAATTTCCATTGCGTTAAATAGCACATTTGGAAGTATGATAGTTAACGAAATGGAGACACATCAAGCTGAATATCGAAGGATGTACACGCTTCGAAACTCGAATGCTCAATCACATATGAATGAAGTCAGCGCAAGGTCAAGTTCTACAACTTTGTTCTAGTTCTGCGTTTCATGTCGATGTTTCAAGAGCGGTATAAAATTTATTTCAATGGCTTTCATACCTGTCCACATGGGACTGCATAAATTGCACACAGAAAAAAAATGTTTCACTCCATCTCATATTAATAACTTCTTCTAACTATATTCTATCATGAACAATGTCACGTATGACTTCATAACTGATCTACCCATAGCAAGTTGCGTTTATGGAAAATCGAATAGAATAATGGTGTTTAAAAGCGACTAATATTATGTATTACACTGATATTATCATTAGTGGCGGAGCAAGAGGAAGAACTGAGCTTCCTCTAGAAACTATTAAGCTCCCTCTAGAAAATTTTGTCACTATTTAGACTGTCAAACTTTCTCTACTAAATAATTTCAATGCAAATACTAGAAGTTAGCAGAGCCGTTTGCCTATTTTTAATAGACTAAGAAGAACTTCGTACTTTTTTTTCTCTTCATTTTTTATGAGCAAGTCTTTCAAGTAATTCTATCGATACCGATTATAAATCACTTTGATCAAAGGTGCTGTCACATTTCCTGTATCGTCCGTCGTATGTGAAAGGTCGTTTTCCAGGATGAAATTGATTAAAAATTATGCTCGAAATTCGATGGGCGATGAAAGACTTAGTGTATTCGCTATTGAAAGAGAATTTGACATAGATTTTGAAAAGATTATTGATGTATTTGCCATACAACATAAAAATAGTAGAGTTTTGTTAATGTAATTAAGTGATATGAAATATATTTAAATATAGAATCCCATCCATATGTTGATATAAATGTATATGTTTATAAATATATGAGCAAGAACTGATTGAGTAAGATATGAGGACTCAGAAAACTGACTCAAACATGCCAGTTTTCAAAAAACAAAACTTTTACTATCGTAAGTAGACTTTGAATAATTAAGATGGAGCTGAGCTCCCCCCAGACTGAAATCCTGGTTCCGCCACTAATTATCATAATTCGGTTCAATTAATATCAAAAACAGAAGTGTCAGATCTATACAGCTCTGCACATCATCTATAACATTATTACACACGTGTCGGTTATCAACATGATGAAAGCGATTCATGTAGTGAGCGTTCAAACAACGTGTATAAGCACAACATAGAGTCTGCTAACTAGAGGCAAGCATAAGTTCTGATTTTTCAGATCTCTAGTCTATTCGTCATATTTGCTGCTGAAATTTCAAGAATAAAGTTTTACTGGATACTAACTTGTAGTGAACAACTATTCGGTTACTTCTCGATTGTGTGTGCAACACACGTAAAGAATCATATTCTTAGAGAAGAAAAGAATTGCTAAATTAATTATTTGAGAAGCATCAAAATATGTGTTCAGTATATTTGAAAATATTTTCTCTTAACAATAGCATTTTGTTAAAAACTTCTAAAGCTTATCCTTACTGCAATAAATATTTTATACAACTTTGCTATTCGAGCACACAAAATTCTTGTGCCTTCTTTCTCCTTCGCATTATTATGACAATAGTCATATTCTAAGAATGATACATCAATTATAGCAGTTACTTGAGACGTATCAAAAATAGTCCAGTTCAAGTCGAGGACTCATACTATTCATTATTGGTTCTTTTTCAATGAAAACCTTATACTTTTTTAAGTATCCTATTATAATACAATAAAATAATGCAATGAAAACATTTCGGTAGAGAATGGATCATAAAAGAAAAACATTCCCTTCATTCTTTATTTTCGTATAAAATACTAATCTATGTAATCTATATATCACAGTGGTTAGATTTCAATCTGCCATGCGCATCTTATTTAATTATAATCGTTTCGAGGATGATGATTTAGTTTATACTATTTTTGTTTTGCGCAGTACGTTACAAGTGTTGAAACGACGATTTCTTGTTTAAGTGTATAATCGTACTTCTTGCTCACTAGTTTCACGAACATTTAGCACTCTATAACTTAAGTAGGTTCTAGTTACATATATAACAACGATGAGCGTCATAATTCCAACTGAAATGCTACCAATAGTAATAAAAACTTTCAAATGTTCATTTAATGATCGTTCGTCTGGTATTGTTGAGGCATGATTATTGTAACTATCATCATCATTTTGATCAAATTTATTTGTTTTTGTAATTAAAGAGTCCAAGCGATGATTTCGATTAAATTTATAAATAGACTTTGATGAAGATTCATTTGTATCAGCCAAAATTGAACAGGTAAGGTGCGAAATAAGAAGAAATATAGTATAAAATTGAAACATAACGCCTACAATAAAATATAACCTTCGAATCCAATCATTCATGCAGAGATATTTCTGTATGTGTTTCATATAGACTATTACAACTTACAATTATAACGAACAAATCGCGAATAGCAAATCGATCCGCTTTTTTCTATTCTAGTTTGTATGTGTGCGTGCTTTTGGGAGTATGTATGCGTATTTGCTTCTCTATTCTGTCGTCTTTATAGAAGAGCTCTCGAAATAAAACCGATAAGTGAGAAGAAAAAGAAACAAATTTTGTATAAAAATAACATACGCTCATCATTTGTCTTCGAAAGTAAATATATTTATATAATTCGTGGACAAGTCTTGTTAGTCACAAATTATACTCTCGTCATTTCTTTGATTTTATCTAATATATATGGAATAAAATTAAACTCATCGTCAATGGAATTTTCCTTTTTTCATATGCCTATACTTAGTCGACTGTAGTAGAGAAAGTTTTGCTATTTAAAAAGACGCCATCGTTTTCGTCTCGTATTGCTTCATATATATACTTATATGCCATCTCATTTTTTTTTGCATTGATAAATAGAATGTAATAATATCAATATATATATTTCTTCTTGTTCTTGATCTTTTTAATGATGTTTTAAATTGTTGAATGGATAAAGAAAACAAAAACAGGCAAAAAAAAACAGGAACAAATAGTTAACAAAAAATGTGCGTGTTTATGAAGGTAGAAATCGGAAAAAAACATAACATCAGTTAGTCTTGTTTTTGTTTTTTCTAGTGAAGAAAAGATTCTATTCGATAATTCTTTTTCTTGTTTTCTGTGGCACAAAAAAAACAAAAAAGAAAATGTTAGAAAACAACTGTTATATGTTTTGAAAATTGATGCTCGTTAATAACCAATCATTTTGAGTTTGATACGTCATCAAAGTTTTCCACAAGATCTTTAAAAATAAAAATAAATGCGATTGATTATAATAAGAAAAATGAATAAATGTATGAACATACCGGGAACTTCATCATCGCCTTCCTGTTCATTTGTTCCAGTTTGTCCATCGCCACCTGTTTGTTGATCTCCTTGTGAACCAATTTTGCGTCGCACTGCGTCACTTGCTAAGCCTAAATCGGTTGTCATACCCATTTGTGACATGATTGTCGGTAGCATATCTTGTAGAGCTAAAATACAACAACAAAATGAAAATCATAATTAAAAATTGAATTCTACAGTCGTACATTTTGTGTCCGAAGTACCGCTGATAGCAAATGTATTTGAACTTAGTGATGCCTGTACTTTAGGACTAGCAAAATGAATAACTTCGCCATTGTCTTTGAATAGATTGACCTATAAAATAAAATTACGCAAACAAGTAGATCAAATGATAATAATTGTAAGATTTTTTTTTGTGTTATGTAGTGTTCAAAAACACATCAATATACGAACCTCTTCAATGCCTGGTATATTATTTGCAGCAAGTTTTTTTAATGAACTTTGAAGTTTTTTGTCGTCTACATTAGCTGGTCGATGAATAATTTTCTTCTTTCGACGAGCTGTGCCCTATCAAATTGAAATAAATATTACCATATAACTATTTAAGAAAAAAATATACGCACCTTGCCACCGATTTTAACGGCATTAGAATTTTCGGCAAGTTCTCTTAATTTCTTTTGATTGACTTGAAATACTGGGGTGGCCTCACTTGACATTGTCTTCTATTCAGAGTACTTCAATAATACTTTTGATCTTTAATCTGAAAAAGAATTATAATATTTTGCCTATGATTATTGAGATTATTCGAAAAAAGAACGAAAACAAAGGAAATAATACACAATTATATTGCAAAGATAAATCAGATAGACAAAACACTGTTGTCAAATATAGTAAACTAATAATACAGTTGAACACATATGATATATATACGTAAATAATCTGAAAGCGCAAGATCAGGATTACAACGAAATTATCTGACGCCTAGCTGTATTTATCAGGATGAAAAAATTTCCTATGATTTTTTCGGTGTTGCTGATGTTATTTGTAAAGCATGTTTAGCTTTACGTTTGAAAAAGCAACATGTTGCTACTGATGGCTGTCCAATATATGATGAATATTGTTCTTTGGTACAATTATTTACATTGGTTGAAGGATTGGAAGAAGGATTCGCTGTTGCTGCTACTAAACTTTGTCGTTTTGCTGGTATCGGTCGATGAGTTTCAGTGGTTGAACGTAATGACGGTAAAATAACTGGAGTTTTTGTTGTACTTGCTGTTGAAACTGTTGTTTTTGAACCACCATTTAACGTTGCTGTGGTTGCATTGGCTGAACTCAACGGTAATGGATGTTGACATATGCTACGCGGAGCGACAGTACGATTATGTAACTCTTGATTATTGCGGACTGTTGACGACACGCCATTGACTGGATTAATTACTTTCTTAGTAGTAACACTAGATGGTGCTACACCAGTGAGAGTTGTATTTTTTGTTTTACTACGATTTGAACGATGTTCTTGTAAAACTTTAATCCAATCAAAATCACCATCATTAACAAGATTATTTTCATTGAGAGCATTATGAAATAGTTCTCGTAGTGCATTATACTAAAATTAGATAAATTGAATTATTTTCGAGAACGCTGTCTTTGTTTTCTACATACATCAGGTACTTGAGAAAATTCAAATTGACGTACAGTTCGCATATAAGTAAAAAATTGACGCGCATAACCTTCGCATAGAATTTCATGTGTTGTAAAACGTTTTGTTTCGCCAATCTTTTGATAACGTTCTTTTAATGTGTCAGCTTTTAAACCTTGCCACTAGAAAAAAAATTCAGATAAATGGCGAGTTTAAAATTCATAGACAAGAAGAATAGAATGAAGAATAATTTTAATTCTTATCTCGTAATTTAAATACAAGTAGAGAAAATTTATAAAACAGATCGAAACATAAGAGACAAAGAATAATATTTGTTGGTTCAAGTTTTTCACTATTACGAATAGAAACGATAAATAAAATAATAATGCTGTTTTCTGTAAGCCTGTTCCTTTAGTTGATATTTAGTTTGAATCATATTCTTGAAATATATACTAGCTTACACATCAAATACATGTACATTTCATAGAAACAAAAAATGAGATGTATCTCAAAAATTTTGTATATGATTCATCGCTATCGTAGTTGAGACTTTGTCATTTCTGTAGATTCTAAACAACTATGAATAATCTGCAAGCATCTGAGATTGCTCATATAATTGACACAGACCCTTATCGATTTTGTCTAATGTGAAAACGTCATATCCTTAGATGTACATCTATCCTCCAATAAGAACAGCGAAATTAACTGCCGCCTATGACTAATAACAAAAGAGACCTTTATCATTAGATGTCTTTGAGGGTAGGAAGAAAAGAAACGTGTAAAACTTTCCTGATAAGCTATTTTTATCAATATCTGTCTTTCATTCTAATAAGCTATTAGCCTGATTGAAAAAGACGTTGATGAAACTAAAAGATCAACTTGATCTCACGTTGTGACCATCAAACGAAAAGATAATAGTACGTTTTATTTCATGTCTGTTGATACATTCATTTTATAATATGAAAATCGTACATACCGGGAGACTTCCTCGTAGAAAATACATGAGCATATATCCCAATGCTTCTAAATCATCACGACGACTTTGTTCTCGACCTAAAAAAAAATTCTTAGATTATATTTGTCCTTTCCTCCAGAGAATAAAACATACCAAGATGTGTATTAATTGACATATATCGAGCTGTACCCGTCAAACTTTTATGTTCACGATATGCTATGTGCGTTCCATCCGATGTTCGATATTGTTTTGCTAAACCGAAGTCAACCATATGTATAATATGCTGGCGATTTGTACTACCACGTCCAATTAGGAAATTTTCTGGTTTAATACTAAAAAATTTTGAATAATTTAATTATGATTTTGAAACAAATCAAAGAGATTTTCTTTACTCTCGATAAATTAAATGCTTTGAATGAACATATTCAATTCTATCTAATAATTGTAAACCAATCATTAGAACAGTTTTTAATGAAAAACGTCTTGAACATAAATCGAATAGATCTTCTAATGACGGTCCCAATAATTCCATTACAAGTGCATTATATGAACCAGTTTGCCCGTAAAATTGTATACGCGGTATACCATCATATTTGCCTAATAATTTATAAAATCGATATTCATATGCTAATTGTGGTGTACGGGTTAAAATTTGTTCTAATTTAATTGCAACATGTTCCTGAGTTTCATTATTACGACCTAAATGTATTTCACCAAAATTGCCTGCACCTAATCGACGACCAATTTGATAATGTGAACCTAATGTACGATTTGTAGTCATTCTTCATTCGAATATAATACGATACGATAGAATTATATACATATAAACATAGCACAAACACAAAATATTTTCTTGATTTTTATAGGTGTGCAGTTTTTTTAGGCTGATAATTACAGATTGTCGATAAAAAAGGAATATTCGGTGTTGGACATAATTTTTACAAAAGAAAATAATTGGAAACGAACAAAATGTACAGATTCTAAAAAGACAATAAATATGATCAATAAAATAATTTTACTGTTATTTTTTCTCCTCCCATAATTAAAACAAAATATACAATGACCGATAGAAGAAACAGAAAAAAAGTGTCTCCAAGAACGTTTTAAATATAAATGGTAAACATTGGACAAAAACTCCCTTTAATGAAGAGTTTTGATCGACAGTAATTCGCGCAGTTTTTCTTCAAATTCAACTTGAAATTTTCATGTTTTCAATTGCAAATTATCCACAAAAATAATAAGATTCATTTATAGTTGTCGGACAAAAGAGGTCGCTAATTCTTAGCTTTGCAATATATATATATATTTTTTTTTTTGTTTTTTTCGCGCGCTCATATTTTGTACAGTTATATGTATGAATTAAGATTAGCTTCATTGTAGAATAATAGGATCTATTTTACAAAAGTCATTGAAGCGGAAAGATATTTGGATGAGTCAATCATAATTTTAACAAAATCATTTTTTTCCCCTAGCGACGGAGTATCGATTCAAGTTTCTATTACTATAACACAATCTTGAGTATTCATTCTGTCAGTTAATGTAAAACTCATTGTCTATCATTTTTTGATTCATCTGAATATAAAGTCTTTTGAATCACTCTAAAACTGTTGGAATCTTACTAGTCTAGGTTGAAAAATGAAACAACGACAAAAGCAAAATGAATATTATATTTAATTGTCTGAATTATGAGTAGACGGTGGGATTAAAAACAGTGATTCCCAATATAGAATTATCATGAACAAAAACTATAAACCAATTAATGTCAGTAGACAAAGATCTGCGTCAGAGAAGATTTTAATCTATAATCATTTGATCAGCTCCTGTATTATTTCCACCACGACGAAAAGGTGTTTCAGATGCATCCATCATAGCTTTGAAATGCTAAAAACAAAAGATTCAAAATATAAAATTTAGAATAATTTTTTTTTGGCCCATTAAATATACTTCTGAATTTTTGAATCCAAGATAAAGTGTAAACAAAGCATGCAATGACTGAACACGAGATTCATATACAGGAATATCAAGAAGTGCTATATCAAAGAAAGAAAACGAAGAAAGTTAGACTATTTAAAAAAATGAAAATAACATCATCGACATACAACATGCAATATCTGTATAAGTTGCTAAATCTGCATCGATATCAGCTGACGGTACTGAAGTCTAGATGAAAATAAAAATATGCATTGACACAAACTAAGATAATCTCTATTGGTAAACCTCTTTAAGGAGTTCTTCAAATTGTGTAGGCCATTCTTGCATCAAACCATCAATATCTGGCATCGGTCTAAAATAAATTGTTCAAAACTAATTTTATAAACAAGCAAGATTTCACGATTGATTACTTTTTATATTGAACAGTATCAACAGTTTTAGCTTTTTGAAGTTTACTTATATTATGAATCCATTCTTCAATAGCTTTAGGATTTCTATCAGCATTTGATACATTTCTTATATTCTAAAAATAAAGAAAATAATAGCAAAGATTTATTTTCTCAATATCTTCAAAAGTATCTTTCAATGTCGTGATCGTGAAGTTGTTTATTTTGTTCTAGAAGCTGACGGCCTCTTCCACAAGTCTAGCGATCTCGTAATTTCCTTGAATATTCTTTTTGTTCTTACCGTTAATAAACTACTAGCGATCGGTTGTTTTGATGTGTATCGCATCTGTAAACTAAGTACATGCGGATCACTTTGCTTTGATGATGGTTCATCGACAACAATCAGACCTAGAAAATCTTCTTTCTCATCAGGTCTTGGTACCTTAAAAAGATTCAATAGATTTTCATTTTATTTTAATTCTAATTTTCAGAAAATTAATAATAGATACTTTAAGAAAAGCATCAATATCTCCAATCGATGGAACAAAATCTGGAATAAATGGTTTTAATTTTGTTTCTAGTGGAATATCTTGTGGTTGATATCTGCATAGTGTATTGTAAAAAATATTAAAAAGAAAAATAATTTGATGAGTTACTTTTCAATATATTTAAATATATCTTTGACTTCCTCCGAAACAGGCAAATCATGATACATTTTAGGATCATAAGCGTTAGCATCTGATGATTTATATTCTTTCTGTCGACTAGCACCATTTGACATTTGTGATGATGGCGGATCCGAATCAGTTTCATCTTGTGTATCATCATTATCTTGCTAAAATTGATATTATTAAAAATCAATAATTAATTAAAAGACTAAAGACCTACTCGAGGACTAGCATCAGGAGTATCACCTTGTTGACGACGAACAATAGGCGGTTCTCGAGAAAACTGACCCATTCCTGTGTTCAAATGCGTATCAGGTGCTTAAAGATAAAAAGAAAGCAAATTTTAATTAAGAGGAGAGAATTTCGAATTTACACATTTCAAACTCTATTTATCTAAGCATACCTGGAGGTTTTCGATTGCTTGGTAAAGGTGTATACATACTAGCTACGTCTTCTCCATCGCCAACCTTTAAATGAAATTAAAAATTTGCTATTTAAAAATTAGTCGGCTCTTACGTCCATCGATTCATCATAGGGTTGATCTTGTACGACACGGTGCTAAATATATATATATATATATGAACATAATCTTTGTTTCAATTGTTTTTATCTTACTTCATCCTCGTCATCACTCATTTTCTTGTTTGGCTCAATAAATAGTTAAATGAAAATTTCTAATTGTGACATATGTCATTCTGTACTACTTAGCGATACCTCTGTTTAAAAGGCAAAAGAGAGGTCACTACTTGAGAATAAAGTCAATAAATGCTGTTTTAGAAAGTTTTTTTTTTATCAGAATGGCAAATACTGAAAGCTACTTCCTGTTTTACACTGATCATCGAAGTATTCTGTTTCTATTTTTCATGAGAATATTTTGAGCCCTATGGCATTATTTTCTATTTTTATTCTGCAGTTCTTTTTTTTTATTGAATTTTTGAATAACAAATAAAAATAAACATGACACCGGAGTCATCACGTAAATTGAATATAAACATTTATTTCAGTAGAGAAAAAGGAGTGTTTTTCATATCATATATATATATATTCCTTGTTGATATATTGAGCCATACAATTTGAAATGAATCGGTGTTCTCATTGAATTTATAATCGACTTCATAGAATCAGTCATAGTCAAAAGAATACCTTGTAATTTTATTAACTACAATGTTAATACTTTCTATGGCGCATATTAAATATGAATATTTGAATATTTAAAAGAATTTATCAAGTATTCAAAGATCAATCAACTTCACTCATGACTTCCGCTAAATTAATAAGAAAAGCAAATTCTTTTATTTTGATAACCTGACATACAACAGACATTTATCATAGATTTCCTTTCGTAAAAATAGAACGTTTCAATGAATTGACAAGAAAAAAAACAATTTTAGTATCAAACTCTTGTTTTCCAGTCGTTTTGTTAAATTCTAGTATTACGTCAATCTTGGACTTTATAATTTAGTTAAAAAACATTTGATTTGTCTACAACATTATTAATGAAATGTCAGCATCATTCTGTAATCCCCTTATGCGTCTTTATTTTTCTCTAGTCACGTAGTTACTTTTTAAACTTATATCATGCCTTCATGTACCCGTTATTATCTTTCTACTGTATCCAAATACCTACGCAAATACGCAGCTTATATTCTAATACCGGATAGCAAAGGTTTGCCCGTAAAAAAAAGTATTTAACCGGGTATGTAGTATAAGCCAAGCTTTATTCGAGATTAAAGTACATCCATCTTTTATTTATCAAACGATGACGATTATCGAAGTTTTGTTGTTTGAATGGATAAAAAATAGTTTGGTTTGTTATTTTATTTTTGTCTCTCTGATAATAAAAAAAAAAGAATCTATTACCGTTGACTCAATTAGTTTCGATGACAAAATACCGCCCACGGAATGGTTCCATGAATACTCGATGACGCACGATGAAAAGAAAAACATGATGATTATTTTTAGTATCTTTTCATCAATTTATTAGTATTAGTCTGCACGCTCGAAAATACTATTGAAGTCATACAAAGTCAATGTTGCCCTTTAATTTTTCTCATTATTTCTTTCTTTTTACGTATATTTAAAAATTCATTGTTTTTATTAGGACCAATGATAATGAATAATAAGAAGAAGAAAGTATAATAGATATAGAACGAGTAGAGCAAAAAATAAAAACATCATTAGATTTCGAAGCAAAATAAAATTAAAATTAAAAATTTGTTTTTAGAGCCAAAATGAATAGGAATACTTGAATATCATATCTCATGAATAGAAGATTCCAGAAAACCATAAAGCATTTTCAAAAGACTGAGAATAATAGAGAAAATAAAACGGAATAACTCCGACACTTCGTATTAAGTGAAAACAGCGTAAAAGGAAAGGACTTTAAAAGAATATCATATTCTCGTTGGCATGCGATGAAAATATGAAGCAATAGATTAAGCAACGATGTAATTAAACAATAAACCATTTCTTATTCTTTTGTTCGTCTGTGTTTTATCAATTATTGAATTGTAAGAACAGCTGAGTCTTCAGCTGAGTCTTCAAGTAACCATGGTATCATGTCATCTTCGACTTCATTTGAACATTCGTTTATATTGAAACGAACCAATTGTGTTTCGTATTGATATTTTTTCAGTTTTGGCAGAAAAGCATCTTTAACTGAATCCCTAAATAAACGATTTCGACATTCGCATAGGATTATATTTAAAACTATGATTACGTACCAAAAGTGCTTCGACATGAAATAAAGTGGTTTACCAAATGGTAGTCCATTGAATTCCACAGCTGCCGATATTGTATATGCGCCCATATTTTTCCATAAAATCCAATCGCCTATATTTAATTTTGGCATTTTGATTGATGTATGGATACAATCAAGGCCATCACAAGTTGGTCCCCAAATTGATGATGTAAATTTTTCATTCGATTGATTCTATAGAAAATTAAAAATTGAAATATTGACAATCCTAGTAGAAAGAATAAATAATTTAACACTAACATCAGCCAAAAATTTTGGTTCCGGTACATAGTGATCGTAGAGTACACAATTGAAAGAACCATAAACACCATCATTAATGTAGTACATATATTTCATAGCACCAGTTTCTATAACAGAAAAAATAAAATTACTTTGTATATTTTAATATTTTTAAATATCGTTTAATTAGTCAACCTGTGTCAACCATATCTCGTAATGCAATAACACTTGTAGCTAATGTATAAGCTGATGCGACATAGTATCGGCCAGGTTCAGCAATAACTCGAACAGAGCCATCATTAGGAAAATGTTCTTCAAGTGCTTGATTGACGGCAGTAGCAATGTCAGAAAAATGATTTTCTGTTCCAGTGTTTCCTGGAAAACCACCACCAATATCCAAAAGATTCATGGTAAAGCCTAATTTCATCCCATAATTCATAATTGTTCGAGCATTTTGAATAGCATCCACAAATGCTTTGCTTGTCATTTGACCACTACCGCAATGAAAGCTACAAAATAAAAACAAAAACAAAATAAAATTTAATCACTTCTTTTCAAGTTTTTCAGTACCTAACACCAACAATATCAAGATCATTCTGGCGTGCTTTTTCCAATAGTTTACGTGCTGTATTTATGTCAGCACCGAATTTCATAGAAAAACGACACACGGCATTCGAATCATCAGTAACGATACGTAAAACAAGTCTATATAAAAAATAAAATAGAATAGTAAAATCATTGAAAAACAAAAAGAATCAATGAAAATCATTTACTTAGCGTTTGGATAGATATCTTTAATTTTCATTAATTCTTGTTCATTATCAAATGTCATTGTTTCAACGCCGACTTCTTTTGCATAACGAATATATGATGATTGCTTGCATGGATTAGCATAGACAATACGGTCAGCTACATAAACTCAAGGTAAAAATTAAAGTGAATACGAATTAATCAACCGAAACGAACCTGATATCCCCAAATCAATAATTTTCTTGATTTCACCCTTTAAACGAAAACATATGAAGAAAAAATAGCTATTGAAAAGATCTTCGAAATTACTTTGCTTGCACAATCAAAACCAGCTCCAAGAAAGGCAAGTAATTTGATAATATTTATGTCATCATTACATTTCACAGCTAAAAAAAAATATATATATATATTTATATATGACATAGAAAACACAAAAACTAAAACAAGAGACTATCAAGACTATTTACCATAATGAGGTGTAACGCGTGGCATCAAAGTTATCCATTTAATATGTTTATTACATATATCTTCAAGATCAACGGCAAAAAATGGTTCAGCGTCATCTTTCTAATCATCGAAAATATTTAATCAAAATGTATATTTTCTTGTTTGACTTTAAATGTCATCACTTGAACTTACAAGTAATTCAATTTTCTTTTGAATAAATTCTTCAGCTGTATATTGTGTTTTTGTAACAACAATAGGACTATCTTTGCCTAGATGCATATTGATTTTGTTTTCAGAAAAAGAAGAAAAATTGGATTGCTGTTTGCACTTAATACGAAGTGTCAGATCGCTTCAAATAGAATAAAAATTTTGAAAAATAAAAATTTAAGAGAAAAACAAAGCAAGCAATATTTACATCGGAGAGTAAAAAAAGTTGTTCAGCGATTAGATCCTTGTGGCGGGTGCTAGCTAAGTGTACCAGGTGCCCAAGAAAATGCAGGAACTGTTGAGGCTAATAAGTTGTATATAGAAAACCTGAAGGTTTCGGCAATTACGCCCTAATAAGAAATTTATTTATGAATCGAATAACAAAATTGAAAAATAAAATTCAATCATACCGTAAAAGAAGCGCCGTGCCTTTTGTATTCGATGCTAGCGTTGGACAATATTTTCGGGTGTCTTTAAAAAGACGAGTTGGATGTTTTTAAATACGAATACGCGCACACACAGTAGATATTTGACTGTGATGTATGTGCGTTAATAAAGAAGAACGTTTGTTGAATGATGAGTATAAGCGAATATGGCGAGCCTTATAGACAGCGTAATATAATAAAGAAAGCAAGAATCTAAACCGAAGAGAAAAAAAATGCAGATTGCAAAATATGACGTAGAAAGAAAATAAAATAGCAGAGTTCAAAGTGCAATGATTGTTATTCACTGATCAAATATGTCGACGAAATCCAAAAGCAAAAATCTGAATTACTCTAGTGTTGTCTTGACATATTTTTTGTAAATACACTGTGAGACACTTGGGTCTTTTCAGGAGAATGCATAGAAAATCCACTGAAACATATAGTATATTGGTGCCTCTATGTGCGTATAGCAAGAGGAATGGTAGGTTAAAACCAATCAGAAGTTTTTATATTTTTGTTTTATTCATCGCTGTCGTATTGTTTCAGTGAATAGTAACGTCTGGTGTATAATAAATGGGTCAAAATGTATTTCTCTTTTTATTGTACTTTTCAGCACATACGAAATTTGGTTATACGAGCATTCAATAGAAAATTTTCCACTCTACTAAACCACCGTCTCTGTTATTCGAATTAAAACTTTTTGTGCCAACGTACAGTTTAAACGGCAAAAATACATACTCAATATTCTCACTACGGTTTTCAAAAAACGAAAAATTAATGAGTAGTTTTTAATGAAGGTTTCGTTAAAATTTCGAATATGCTACGAAATTCTGTATCTCTTTAAAAGTATTTCAGGTTTGTAGAAGAAACATTTGGAAGACAGCTTTTTGGCATCCAAATATGAAAAAACGCTTTCGTGACAGAATGATATAATCGTTCTTCTTTAGTTCCGTGTTACCTAATAGTTCTATGTTTTGATTTACAAGCAATAGCATTTTTCTTCTGAATGAAATTTTACACCCGACAGTATGACATGAAATGTGGCATGTACCACGCGTCGCTTCTGAAAACGTATTTTTCTAAAATGCGTCTCAAGATATCATTACGTACGAGTTGAAAGCCTTTTCCTCTGGAGCGATAGTAGCAGAAACCTTGAATAGGTCCTATAAGTGTAGAGCAGAATGCGTTTTTTTATCGAATGTTCGTAAAACGAAATCTCTTATGCACTGGCAAGTGCCCCGAAAAGAGAAAAACATTTTGATGCGTTTGGTATGCACCACCCCGTTACACCGTTCTTTCATTCAAGCATAGGAAACTAAAGTCATTTTTTTAATGCAGATATGTTTCAACAACTGAATTTTTGACATTCATCTTATGAAATGTTTTCGTTTTCGTTTTCGTTTTTGATTATATGATTAATGTAAACATAAACAAACGAAGAAAGCTTTTCACAATATTTTTATCTTTACAAAGGTGTCACGTAATCTTGCTTTGTTGACGAGTTGAACACCAGCTGTTTTTTTTTTTTGTTGAATTCATCTCGAAAATCAATAATACGAAAAATTCAAGAAGATAGATAATGTTGATTGAATAGATCTATGAAATTTTCAATGACAACAAAATCATTTGATTCTTTTTTATTTCTATCTCGTATATGTCAACGTTGGAGAAAACTTCTTTGTTCAGTTTATTTTCAGATATTGGTTTCTTTCTCTCGTAATAATGGCAGAAGAAAAACGACCTGCATTCGGCTCACGTCATTTATCCGATCAGCAAGACGTATTTTCTCATAATGCTTGGTAATCTATTGATTTTTGTTTTCTTTCTTATTTTCATAAAATCGCAAAATAAATTATTCCTGAAAAAGATGCCTCTGTAAAAAATAAGCTTATGAATATTTCAAAAATCTAAAATAATATTCGACAAGCATTTTCTATTTTCAAGGGACGACGTTGAATGGACAGACGAGCAAAGTGAAGAAGCAAATGCTATTATAGAAAAACAATATGAACATCGAATGTCTGATACGAAATGGGGTGCGTTGAAAACTAGAAGATAGTCCAACAATCAGGTTATCAAAGCAAAAAAATTGAATATTTTCTTTCTGATTTGATTGAGATAACAGAGTATTTGCGAAAATGTCAAGTACAGATTTTGCATGTCTAATACTTTCTCATACTAAAACTGCTATGTGGAGAATCATATTAGTTTTATTCGATTTCTTCATTCAGAAAAAACCTTCACTAAGAAAATAGTTTCATGTTTTGAGTCATTGCCAAAATAGCAGCACATACGCTATTAAAATGAGAAAAAAATTAAACTGAAAAACTTGGAAAAACTAGCAACATACCCTGAATTTTATATCAAGTTTCAAATAGGTACAAATAAAATAAGGCAACAAAATATTTGATTTGTACAATAGATGAAATGATCAGTTTAAGATTAAATGATTAGTATTTAGATTACTAGTAAGTTAAATAATGAGAAAGTGATCAGTTTATGATATAAAATAGCAGTAAAAAAAAGGAATTTGATAAGTAAAAGAAGAAAGCTTGACAAGTAAATAAGACAGATTTTACCAGTAGAAAAGGTGCAAATTATCCATATGACATAGCAGAGAATAAAAGAAAAAAAATTGAAATGGGAAAAATCAGAAATAAGTTTTTGCATTACCAAAGCACGTTTTACTTTTTCTGGTCGACTTCTCTTTTCTTCATACCAATCGAGACAGTCTTTGCTGCCGATGGCTGTATGCAAATTTTTACACAAACACCTATCGCGATGATGGGTGTGGGCGTGATATGATGGTGAGTGAGTGGGGACTGTGGTTGTTTGTGTCCACTACATTCATTTCTTCAAATTCAGTCAAAGCCATAGCCCACCCTAAATCACCTTGGTGTACTTTTTGGAATACTCGATCTTCACCAATATGATTTTCGCGAATTATTGGCGGGAGTTCAGGGGGTATACTGGCGCATGTCGACCCAAGTTTCGGCAATATTAGCGAAAGGCATGTGGACATTCGCCAATATTCGCGATAGTCAACTCGAGCAATTCACTATAGTAACCACATGCTTTGAATCATTCAACTTTGGATCAAAAGTTGCTGTATGTTCGTCAAATTGGCAAGAACATAAGATAAACTGTATAGGATTTGTGAAGAGTCCATATCACGTATCAATGTCATTTCCTCTAATAACAGAAAATGTGGTGGAGTTTCGCCAGCATTGGCGAGAGTCATATTAGCAAACTTATGGCTACTCTACTTTTTGGCTTCTTTATTTACTGTTTGATGCAACTAACTGTTACTCTATTTAATGCGGTGCGAAGCACAGCATTTATGTAGTCCGTCGCGAGTTTTTAATGCGATGCGAAGCAGAAGCATTTCTGTTATGCGTCGCGAGTTTTTAATGCGATGCGAAGCAGAAGCATTTATGTTATCCGTCGCGAGTTTTTTTTTTTATTTCATTTTTACTTGAGATCGTACGCATCATTTTCGTCGTTTTCTGACACGATGATCTCG